AAAATGCCTGTATTTGAAATAATTGACCCTGAGAAAAATATTCAAACTTTACCAGCTGATCAACAGGTGCTGATTACTGAGGCTATATTCCGAATTCAACTGGTCAGTACTGTCAGTAAATCCACTAACTCCGCTGAAAATCTGTGTTCCGAAATATAAAATCAAAAATACAGTGCTGTAATTCGGAACATGTTATGGTTTTCATCAGTAATCATCAGCGGTTGATCAGCTGGTGAACTTTGTCAGTTTTCAGGTTGTCACTTATGTATAGTTCTTCGTTCATCTGAACTAGATATTATTCCCAGCGTGAATTATTTTAATAACAGGCATTTTCTGATATTTAAAATGATATTATCAATTTATTATTGATAAAACGGAAATAAATGTGACATTCTTTCCCCCTTCAAAATAATGACAGTTTACTGAAGCCACACTACTTTTTGATAGTCAGCAATTTCAGCAGAATGTTGAGTCGAAATATTTGGAATGAATAGTATGTCTGCTCACAAGTATCTGTCACTTCCAGTGAATGTTCTGATTCCGGAATGAAAAATCAGCAGATTTAGTACTGTCAGTTGTCAGTTGAATTCGGAATATAGTCTGAATAACAGCTGCACTGTATTTTTGATTTTATATTTGGGAATACAGATTTTCACATTGAACGTCTTAAGTCCGTTCCGCCCCTACTAATTTTTGAACCATCTGGTATATCGCAACGAAATTTGGAGGGATCAAATAGGAGACGAAAACCTACTTCTTTATGCACAACTAACAGCTTTTGGTTTCAAAATGATAGCTGATTGCCATCTTGAATTATTATTTCGAATGGTACACCCAATATATCATTCCATTTTCGAAATCTTCTCATGATTCTTGAGATTTTTTTCCACAGCAAACTTGATTGAAAGCAACAATCGAATTTTTGGTTGGGTTTGAATTTACCAAAATTTCACTTTTCTAACGATAATATTTCGAAAACTATTGAATTTAGGAAGGAAGTGTATTTGATGAAACTGTTAAGAATAATTATGGGAAGGATTCAATTTAGTTGCCATTTTGCAACTTTGTGCTGTCATTTTTCCATAAAAAAGTAAGTTTTCACCTCCTATTTGAGCCCTTCAAATTTCGTTACGATATACCATATACCAGGTGGTTCAGAAATTAGTAGGGGGTAAAGGGACTTTAGACTTTAGCACTGTATAATCGAAACACATACCAACCACAATCAAACAATGCACTCTCTTACACTTCCGCAATGAGCCACTAGATCTCTGCGAGTGGCCTATTGGAACTTAATATTTGACCTGGGTTCATATCCCATTCAAATAAAACAACAGTTTCTGAATGAATTAACTAACAACAGTTTGGGATATTTTGTTTTAATTCATCTGTTGGAATAGACTATAATATTCTATATTTTTCATAAATATCACAAGCAGTAATGTGCCAGATAATCAGGATTGAATTAATAAACCAAAATTTTGGGTCGATGAAACAGTTGCCAATTGTTCAAAAATAGCTTACATTTGATTTAATTGACAGAAAAAAGTTGTACATGTCAACTCAAAGTAATATATGTCCAGTTTATGAGATTCAAGATCACCATGATTCGATATATTGATCAAGATCTTCAAGAAAATCTGCAATATTGTACACACAATGTCTAAGAGGGGTTACTTTAGATCTTACCTTCAATAGTCATATGAATTGAAGTTGACGTGGTTTAATTCACAAGTTTCAAAAACCATAACCAATATTGATGAGGTTCAAGCACACATAAGCTCTGTGAAAAAAATGACCCGAGTTCTAATTACCATGAATTGTTTGCAAATAAAGAGTTCCACTAAATGCCAATTACAGTTTTACGACCCGTCTGAACTGCTATCCTAAAAAAACTTTTTGTTTTTCACGAACATTTGCCTAATTTACAGTTGCAATTATAAATTAGAAGATGTGTAGAAAACAAAGTTCTCTTGATCTGGTTTTTAGGAAGGCAGTTCAGACGCGTCGTACAGTTTTGATTTACTAGATTTTTTGTTCTCATCAATCAACATTACCTTGGTTCGATAAATATATGATAAAATATATTTTTACTCTCAACAAAGAAGTTTCAACTACTAAGACAAGAACGAAAAACTTGATCATAAGGGAGTCTCAAAACCAGGATATTTTTTTTAACTAAAAATTATTTTTCTTAATTCGAATCATAACCTGGCAAGAATATGGAGTGATTACTCAAAGTAGATAATACTGATGATTATTGAGCCGCATTGAAGAAAGCTTAGCTGAGATTCACTTTCCGATATGTGTCAAATGTACCAGCTGCATTCATTGAAAGACTCAACATACATTATACTGGGTTGGGCAAAAGTCCTGGTCATGTATTCACAGGGCGGTTATTTGATATTTTCAATTCAAAAATGACATAACCACTGTTGCCACATTCTTCGTTTTCCTAAAACTCATATCAACTTCCTTATTTTAAATGTGACACACTATATGTATACTGTGCCCGTCTAAATTCCGTTCCCCCCTACTAGTTTTTGAACCACCTGGTATATCGCAACGAGATTTGGAAGGCTCAAATATGAGCTGAAAACCTACTTTTTTTATGAAAAAACGACAGGTCATTGTTTCGAAATAACGGTTGAGCACCATCTTGAACAATTTTGTAGATTATGTTATTTTATTTTCGGAATGTCATAATTGAAAGGGCAAGTGGATGAAGGGGTCAAGTAACATTTTCTGAAAATATTCGGTTATGTCATGGAAGAAGGTGTTACATGCATATGTAACTTGCCCTGTCAGGATTTGTTTCTATTCTTCATATCTGAGTAGATACACAGTGGCAGAAGGGGCTATGTTACACTAAACATCAAGAACACAATGGAAGAAGGAGCTATGTGCCCATTATTTACATGTCAGGAAGTGGAAAAAGGGGTTATGCACGCATGAATCATATGTATATCAAGAAATGATATGATACAAAAATGCGATACATCATAAAAAAACAACCTGAAACTATTCCTCACAATTGCATAAATCGAATTATTAAACTCGCTTTCATTAAAAAATACCAGCTAACTCTACTAAAACCTATTTTTCTCACAAACTCATATTTGTAATATAACTCCTTCATCCACTTGCCCCTTCAATTGTCAACAGATTTATCTGATAAACTATTCTTCTGTATATATAAACTGTATAGGATGACTCTTTGGAAATGAAGATGTTAATTTGAAATAATGTGACAACAATGACTATTTCCATTTTCAAATTAGACGTATTATGAGTAGTGTCGCGATAATCCGTATGCTTTTGTAGAGAGGTTATAGACAAGCTAAAACGCAGTCAGTGGAAAATCTCTAGTATGGAGTAGGGGCTTCGAGGATGTGAGCAACATTAGAAAAAAATATGATAAAATTAAAGGGTATGTAATAAAAACAAGAAGATACATTTGTATCGTAACTCTTTTATTGTTACATAACTTCTTGTTGCATGGTTTATTGCAACTGACTGGCTTTTAATTGTTTTTTTTTACTTGAAGGAAATAGAAAAAAAAAAATCCAAGATTTTTAATATGTAACTTTAAAATGTCTTGATAAACCGAATTGATCTGGTTTTGATTGCATTGGATTATTGCAACACTACTGTATGACCTCCCTGTGATTTTTTTAAAATCGGATGAACTGTTTCCGAAATATTCGGACGTTCCAGGACTTTCGCCCAAATCTGTCTTATTGATAATTGGTCGACTTACATTCACAAAGTACTCCATCTTGTTGAAAGTGTATTCTAGATTGAGGTATTTCTTGAGCATAGAATGCCACTGTATGTATTATTCTTCTAACCATTGGGCATTTATTTTATTCGTATAAGGTGTCACACATGTTTGTTATTCATTTTCAGTGACAACTTGGTACCTACTTGAACAAATTGATATTTGTACACATTTTGATTATGTTTAGTGAAAGGGAGCTGAAATACATCAAAAACAAATGACAAACTTTTCAAGTTTCAACGTCATATATCTCAAATATGAGATTCCTCAGTATTCCTACTGAAAAGACATCTATTGCTTTCAAAAGTTATATTTTCTCCTTTTTTCACTCATTAATATTATATTGTTTGAGGGGGTCTATGACTGACTAGTTGGAGTTGAATACCCCAAGTTATTGAAAAATAGTGAAAACTTCTTCCTTGTGGAAATAAGACTGAATTCTGGCAATCGAATAAGTGAAGTTCTCGTTATTTAGCCGACCTTAAGAAAGGATTAATTGATTAAACATAGGATTGGTGAAAAATGTGATAAAAATACATAACAGGAACAATATTTTTTCACCAATATCATGTTAATGCAAGTATAAAGATTGTTAAAAACTCGGGTAAATTAAAAATTCCACATATTCAAAGGCCAACATTTCGACTGTTGCCTCAAGAAAAAGAATCACTTTTTTCACAAACCATTGGTATTTTACCTTACCTATATTAACATAGATACATAATATATATATACACACACACACGAGTATTGCATACTCTCATAAAATCAATGCCCAAAACCAAAAAAATCACGGTACATAGGCTTCGTATTATACACAGTACAATAATCTATAATGATTGATTGAATTTTCAAAACATAAATGGCATACGAGAAAATATTCGAATGAAAAAAGTTGAATAACAATAAAATAAATAACAATATATTTCTGTAAATAGTAGATGCTTACGAAATGTAAATATAAAAAAAAATAAAAACAGGATAGTCAGACTAAGTATTATGAAGGCGAATCTATTTATTTTTTGAAATCTAAATAGACCATCCCAATTAATATATCATTTTGAATTGACCAAGATCAGCATCTCAAATAGCCAATCTGCTAAAAGTAATCCAATCGGCAACTGGTTCATCTGACCGATATGCTGACGTTCATCAGATTTTTCATTTCGATCATAATTATCGTTGATGCACATCACTGATCACAAAAGGATAAATTGATTCACAATAATGAATTTGACATTATAAATATTTTGTGTACATCATCGTCACTAAAGCTTCTCCCGAAACGAAAAAGAATCCATACCGCAGTCCGAGGATGAGGAACCAACCGAATAGGGCGAATCAAAGCAAACACGCCGAACATACCTTCATCGCCCATCAACCTGTGTCGACTTCGCCGTTTTGGGTGTTCCGACTGTAAATCGCCTGCCTGTAAATGAAAAGAACATACCTCAAATTAAAGGCTGCCCAGAATTATGCTGGTAGTTGTTACAAAACCTTTGAGAAAATCGCATAGGCATTCGAAAAAATCTGAAAGAATCATTAATTATTATGTGTTAATCCTCATCGACAATATATATTTAGTGTCATTATTTATTGTGCCATTTTTGATTCAGTTTATATTAGGTATGCAGCTCTAAATCAGAAAAGTTTTGGTTACCATTTATTACTTTATTGATGATATGAATAATTTCAATAACTGCATTACATTTTTTCATCAAGCAGATAGCCCATATAGGGTTGTACTATATAGTCTAATTTTCAACAAAATAGTACATTATACATCAAGAGACAGAGATGCAAGATTTTTTCCAAGGAGCGAGGAAAAATAGCATTCTGTCCTGAGGTGTATATGCTATTTTTCACGCTGGCAGAAACAGAAAAACTATGAAACAATGAAAATTTGGTCAAAGTGTTTTGTCATGATTAGTACTAGGTGAGCCAAATAAAATCACCCTATTGGAAGATGCTCTTATTTTTGCAAATGGCGGACAATATCAAATTTGTTTTGACATTCGTGAACTAGACAGATGTAGAATACAAGTGAACAAGCCATGAAGCGATACACTCGTCTATGGTGTTGGCGCAGCGCGAATTCCGTCGCCGATTCCCCGGTCGTCCGACATCGACTGCGCAAACACTGCGCCGTTTGGCCACCAACCTTGAAGAGTATGGGACCACACGAAACGCTGCCAAGAGTGGCCGGCCCCGGAGCGCCCGTTCTGCTGAGAATATCGCCACTGTTGCCGAGGATGTCGAACTGTCGCCAGAAACATCGACCAGACGCCGTGCCTCGCAATTAGCCATCAGCCGGTCGTCCCTAAGCGCGTGTAACCTACGCCCAAGCTATCCTCAATCTCGTGGACAAAGTGGACGATTTTTCAACCAAAATCATAATGAGCGATGAGGCTCATTTCCACCTCAGCGGGTACGTGAACAAGCAAAACTATCGCTTCTGGGGCACTGAAAATCGACGAGTGATGCACGAGGAGCCATTACATCCGCTCAGAGTGACTGCATGGTGCGCTGTTCACGCTGGAGGAGTCATCGGGCCATTTTTTTTCGATGACGTCGCTGGTCAAACCACAACAGTGGACGGTGCGCGCTATAGGGCCATGATAACCGAGTTTTTTCTGCCGCAATTGAACGAATTAGGACTGGAAGACATGTGGTTCAACAGGACAGAGCAACGGCACACACTGCCCGAGCCACAACCGATAACCTGAAAGCGGCGTTCCCGGGTCGCCTCATCTCTCGTTTTGGCTATTTGCACTGGCCCGCAAGATCGCCCGATCTAACTGTTTCAGACTTTTTTTGTGGGGTTTTTTGAAATCCCAAGTTTACGTGAACAAGCCCGAGACCCTGGAAGCCCTCAAGGACAACACTCGACACGAGTGCGAGAATCTGTCGCCCGAGGTTCTCGCCGAAGTGATGAAAAATGCCATGAAACGAGCCCATATAACAATCAATTGTGGCGGCGCCCATTTGGCCGATACCATCTTCTCGACTTGACCAATAAAATTCTAAAGGTTCAAATAAACATAATCAAAAAACAGAATCGAAGCTTTTCATTTGGAATAAAAATGAGAGCCAAACAACATCGGATGACTTCTTTTGGCCCACCTTGTATTAATATAATTTGTGGAATTCGTATCTTGACATCATGCATCTTGTTGACAACCCATGGTGACAGCAAATATCACTGAAATTTGACTGACATGGGATATTTGAATCAGCTACTCTCCCACAGACTCCAGCACAATAGCGTGATGAACGATTTACCAAACTACTCCTTCCTTGAAGATATTATGTACATTTATTTGGATCGAATACCCTGTTTCACGAAACTAAAAAAAAATCATTGAGTCTCACAAGGGATAGGTATTCCCAAAAACTTACAACCTCCGAAAGTAAAAAAAAAATCCAATACCTACCTCCCGTCTCTATCCCCTCTGTACGCACGATGTTTGAGACATAATAGGGATTTACTTTCGTGCGCCCAAAAAGATTTAAAAAAATAATTGGGGAAAATAGAAGACAATAGGAAATCAACCATTCATTCATCCTCATATTAGGCTCAGATCAATTCAATATCAATTGATTCTGAATAAATTAAATCATGAATTCTTAAATAGCCAGGAAAGTACTTGTTTTCTGTTGAATAAACCGAGAAAGAATTGATATTTTCATCACATAGAGAATGCAAATCTTCAATGTATTTCTTTATTTACAGGCTGGCATTGAAATAAGTGTCAATCTTTCAAACACTGAGAAAGTTTGATATCTACTATCGAATGAGACTATTAAAAAAATTTAGGGATCAAAATAAAATTTGAGGTAAGACCCCTTTTCCACCCAAAGGTCTACACTGTAGCAAATCTGACGTCACCTCTGTTCAAATTTCCATGCAGCAGGCACAATCACGCGGAGTTCAATCTTTAAAATTATTTCAAAGTGGCGACTTGTTTATTTCCATATTTTGTTCAATATTTGGGACGAAATTTCTTGTTAATTAGAAGAATTAGAAAAAATCTGATATCATGGGAATATTCCGTAGACTGTATCATATTGATGTGCTAAATATGTGCACTTATTTCAAAAACACCTTGTATACATCAATTTTTTTATGTTCATAATTTTATCTCAGAATATTCCTTTTCAAATTCTGTATAGTTGGAGAAGCAGTAAAAGTTAGAGACTGTATGTTCAGACAATTGAAAAACTCTTCTAAAATATCTAAACTGACTTCAATTCAAGAAACTAATAAAAAATATCTCAATGATATCATTTTTTCATAATTATTATACAAGGTGTCCCAGAAAAACGTACCATAAATTCTACAAGGTGAACTAGAGATCAAAATAGGCCGATTGAATACAACTTACCTCTATACGAAAATGCACCATTGAGCCGTGAGAGGACATTGAAGATTAATTTCATTCCAGATTTTCTTGAATATTTCAAAATCCTTTGAAGAAACCGCTCTAAAATTGATAGGGTGATTTACTATAGTGAATGTACATGAAAAACATGTTATATCAATTCAATCAATACCCAGGGAGATAGGTATTTGGCATTCTCTTTGGTGAACATTGATATAACTTTTTTGGAGAACGCCACTGACCACATTCTGATATTTCAATTAATCACAAAATTAATCATCTAACCTTTTTCCTACTGCAGTTTTTTTATAATTCTTCTTGGTTTTCGAGATATCTAACATAATTAATTATGGTGCTTCTCCATACTTGTTTATGATGTGTTAGGATTATCATGTTTTGCAAGTGTCTACCTCATTTGTGATTAGTTATGGACCACAACAATCATGTTCATGACCTACTTCAGGATATGATACGGTTGTTGGTTTTCTTCAAGAATTTATTTTATGCGAAGTTTTTTGCGAGACAATAGGAATGAAATTTGGAATCGGCCAGCTCCCAGACCATATATGATGATAAGGTTGCCAAATGATGAACATGGATAATGTGGTCAATAAATCAACACAAATGAGGTAGAAATTCGCAAAATATGATAGGTACCTAATCCTTACAAGTATGGAGAAGCACCAAAATGAATTTTGTTAGGTATCTCAAAAACTAAGGAGAATTATAAAAAAACTTCAGTGGGAAAAGTAAGATAATTGATTTTGTCGTCCATTGTAATATCGAAATGCTTTTTATGCACATTCATTGTAGTAAATAGCCCTACGAATTTCAGAGCGGTACCTCTCAAGGAATTTGAAATATTTAGGAAAATCTGTAAATGGAATTGTTCTTCATAGCCCACTCACTGCTCAACGGTGCATTTTCGTAGAGGTAAGTTGATTTCATTCAGTATTTTGGTGTCTAGTTCACCCTCTAGAATTAATGGTACGTTGTTCTGGGATACCTTAATAATAATAATAATAATAATAATAATACACTTTATTTTCCTTTTGATAGTCACAAAACCGATATAGGAATAGTCAAATAGTCTATTGAAAAGCTTCAGTGCTAAAAAGTTTGGTGCATTCTCCCTGATTTTGAGTTTTCAAAGGGTACATAATAATTTTTTTTTGATGTATGATTAATTGATATACAGGACGTGGAAAGAAATTCTCTCTACTTCAGAAGATATTGTTCTCAAACTCTTAGCGTGTGTGTTCAATAGATGTATTCAATATTCGTCATAGCCAGGAAAGTAGTTGTTTTCTGTTGAATAAACCGAGAAAGAATCAATATTTTCATCACATAGAGAATGCGAATTCTCAATGTATTTCTTTATATATACATCCATGTTTGTTGTGATAATTATGACGGTCACTATTCGAATAGAGCTTTTCCTTATTCCTAAAAACAAACATACACATTTTAAATATACAGGGTGGATCACGGTGGATGGAATATTAGAAGTATCTGGAGAACGAAAAGACAGAACATTCTGAAAATTGGGATGCTTTGATAATTGAACATTCTCTATTCGTCTAAAATGTTTTCATCGATACAGCTACAACTAGCAACTTTGTTATTTCAAATGGAACACCCTGTATTTTATTGCATTTTTAGATTCTTTCTAAAGAGCTGATTTCATCGGTGTATCACACTTGGGGTCTAGCAGGAATGATTACAGAGAGATAAGGTGTTCAAAATCAAGATTTTTCAATTTTAAGATTTTTTTGTGTCGAAACTATTCATTATTGGTCGAAACTATTCATTATTGATCAAAACGGCTTACATGTCCCTATCTTCACTTTTGATTCTCTATCTACTGGAATTTAATTGGAAAGAATACAGGGTGTCTTCATGATTCAGAATTCTGATCACCCTGTATCTGTTCCAATTAAATGTCAGTAGATAGTGAATCGAAAGTTGAGATAGGGACATGTAAACCATTTTGATCGATAATGAATAGTTTTGACAGAAAAAAATCCCAAAATTGATAAATCTCGATTTTGAACACCCTATATCTCTGTAATTATTCCTGCTAGACCCCAAGTGTGCCATATCGATAAAATCAGCTCTTTAGGAAGAATCTAAAAATGCAATAAAATACAGGGTGCTCCATTTGAAATAACGAAGTTGCTAGTTGTTTCTGATAGAAGTGGCAACACTGTATCGATGAAAACATTTTAGACGAATAGAGTATGTTCAATTATCAAAGTATCCCAATTTTCAGAATGTTCTGTCTTTTCATTATATAACTTTCCAAAATACAGACTGACATGAGAATTCAGCCACACATGAAACTTGGATCAAGCCCAGCCCAGTATGATATCAGATGATGTTAATGAATTGATTCACCAATTTATAGTGTACTATATGTACTTCGATGGTATGTTCATGAATTGTGTGTTCTGAGCAGGCTTTGTTACAAAATCCATGCGCCACCTTAGGAGCAACACTGTTATTTGGAATGCAACAATGGATCGTGTAGGTCTATCTGCAGCCGACCCACCGACACTTTACAATATTCAATTCGTAAATTAAATATTATCGCGGGCATGAGCCGGTCGATGGTATTTTGAAGAGCAGACATATCGCACACCCAGAACAACACTGTATTATGTCGAAAAATCTCAAAATCGACTTTTTCGACGCGTATACCACGAAGACAGGCTCATTTGTATCTACAAAAATATTCAACAGATGGCGCGTTAACTCTATATTGGTGAAAACACAGCATCAGTCGATAAAGCATCAGATAGGGAGGTAAACCCGTTTTTGTTTCATCTGATCATAACGATAAGGAAGATTTTATAGATTATTCAGATACGGATACATCCATTTTATGCCTGATATAAAAATACCTTGGCCTTTTGTATTCCCTAGCAGATTATTCTCTTTTTTCTCCTCGTGCTCCTCGTCAAACTACAGCTCATCATCATGAAGCTCCAGCAGTTCCAGTAATTCATCTGATGATGAATACAATAGACCAAGTCCTTCTACAGCAAATACTCAAGCCAATTCTACTCACAGTCGTCATAACTCAAATATTAGTGCACTATTTCAGAATCAATCAACAAAAAGCACGTAACTGGAAATAATTATTTTCAATTTCTTTTAGTCATTCCACAACAGTGAATTATGTCAAAAAAATGTTTTTTTTCTGCTTCATTGACACGTTTTGTATCTAAACTATAGAATCCTGATACGATTTGGATTCTTCACAGGCAATGTTTAAAACTTCAGCAATAACTTTGACATAACATAAGATAACGGTTTTTCGTCGATTCTGAAAAATACGCTATTTTGACTGGGTGCAGTGTTGTTTTGGGCGTGCGATATGTCTCCTTCTAACCACCTCACCTGTAACTGTACCTGTTGACTATAGGTGACGGTCTGTCGGGAATCGGAGGCGGCACAATTCCGTCGGAGTTGTCCATCAAGGTAACTCCGCACGAGGCCTCATCCACCTCTCCGATGCTGTGTTCCGCCAGGCTCACGGTCATCTCGGGATAATGCATCAATTTGGAACGAAGCATCAGAGCATAGGTTTTGTACCTACTCACCTGAAAAAAAAAAGCATTGTTCAGTGGGTGGTTGTGGAACATTTTTAAGGCGATTTTAGAAAAAAAAACCTATTTTTTTTACGTTCTTTTTTGTTCGCGATTTTTTTAATAACTTTGTCATTAAACTTGTCTATTTCGGAAATGTTTTTTTCCATAGATAGCATGCGAAGAGCTGTTAAACGATCCTCGGTCATTGAATTTCTGAGAAACGTCTTTGGGCGTGTTTTTCATTCCATCGAAGAAAGTGCGCACTGATAGATGCGGTTTTTTGTCGTGACGTCACCAATTGTTCTGTTGGAATTTATGCTGGAAGGATTGAACAATGGTTTATACAACACATTGATGGAAACACGGATTTTGTTGTGTGTCAGTCATCATGTATCTTGAGAATCAGAAAAGGCTAATTCGACTTTATTGATTAACACTGACTCTTTCTTCTAAAATCTCTCAAGAATCTCAAAAATCCTCAATATTAATTGTTTTCTATCAAATCAAAACAAAAAATAACACTAAAATGTGTCAACTGTCATGTCAATCTCCTCCAAACTGCTGGATTCTCGAAATGCGATTTAAAAGTGCGCATTTTATTACAACAGTTTGATGGATGTCCATCAACATTCCAGCGGAATTTTGCAACAGGTTGATGGTTTCTTCGATTCATGCGCATGATAAAATGTTGGAATGAAAAACGCACCCTTTATTTGTTTTTAGTCCAGTGAACGAAGGTAACGACCATGACATCAGATAGATCCTAGACTTCTTTTTAATTCAAAGATGTTCATGGGTAGATAACTATTTTCCCGGATATTGGCCAATATGACACTGAGGCAATTTGTGAAGAAGAGCAGTTTATTACTAATATGTATTCAATAGGTCCTTTTAAGAACAGAATCGGTATTCGAAGAATAACTTTTTATTTTAGAAAACAACTGCGTTTACAATCAATCATCATTCCATGACAACACCACAGCACACATTCTATATAACATCATTATACATACATATACTGTATGATATATCAATAAATACATATCATTCCTCCCTCACTAACTTTGTACCTGCGATACGAACCAATCTGGCGGTTTTCTCAATCTCATTGGTCTTGATAATGACCTTCCTGAAACTTCCCCTTCAAATGAAGGAGAACATAAAATATCATTCGATGTGGAAGTTCCACGAATATCGCTATTACTTTCGGTATTATTATTATCAATTTCTACAGGTTTATCAATTTTCCTCCTAGCGTAATCAAGGTAATCATCAGAATCATTGCTAATAGGAGTATCATTTTTCAAAATCTGGTCTAAATGTCTCTTTCACAACATATCACCGTTAGTTCTAACAGAAAAATTCCTATTGCCATATTTTCTTACAATTGTTGCAGGTATCCAAGTTGGTTTAACATTACGATAATCACGTACCAAAACCTTGTCATTTACCAAGAAATTGTTATTTCTCCCTCCTTTTCTTGGACTCACACATTCATTATTTCTGTATTCAATAGGTCCTTTTAAGAACAGAATCGGTATTCGAAGAATAACTTTTTATTTTAGAAAACAACTGCGTTTACAATCAATCATCATTCCATGACAACACCACAGCACACATTCTATATAACATCATTATACATACATATACTGTATGATATATCAATAAATACATATCAATTACCAACAAAAATGTTCCTTATCATTTTTGTCAAAAGTTCAATCATTTCAGAGATAAACAGGCCCCAGCGTAACCTGGAGTCGAAGCTGCTGCTCCTCGTCTCGGAAAGAACGCTCCGTGAATATAGGCATGAGCTTGCGGATAAATTGTCCCATAACATGGGTAAAAAATAATCTTTTTTTATGATTCAAAGTTCAAATGAAAGGAGGGACCTGTAGTTATAATATCGTTAACATCATTTTCCTTTCCTTTCTTTTTTTGGAATGATTGAATGATGAATGTTACTGATCACGAGAGAGATTACATACACTATCATCTACATTTCATTAAACATTATAAATTATACATTATTAGGACACTTGTCCTACCTACATGTTATGTTACAATTCTATTGTTCTCATACTAAATCTGTGACTAATAGATTTGTTTTTTCTCATTATTGTGATGGGTGTTCATCATCTGCATAGTTGCATATTTGGTCATCATAAACGACAAAATAGTTGACACACTGCCTTGGATTAGGCCATCCTCTGACATTTATCATTCTAGAAAACTAGTATATCCTCAATATATTTAGAATATGCATAATTATTCCGTATAGTAACTGAACCACCCTGTAGAAGTTAAATTTGAGTTTGGTCTCCATTATAGTATCTTCTAAAGATGTGAATATGTATTAGATTGGAAAGTCAGTGTAATGTGAGCATTGTGCAAAATATTTATATTTAAGGGATTATCTCATTAAAAGATCTGAGTTGGTAGATTATAATTTGTTATGTAATGATCATTACAAGATACAGAGGTGTAATACTAGTGCTATGTAGAGAACACCCTTCAACTTACCATTGATAGTAAAAACATCACCAAATGTTATAGTATTCAAAACTAAATCAAGGCAAATGCACTTAAATATTTGATAATATTGTTTATGTTCTTAAAATAATGTCAATTGTTAATTATATGTAATATAATAGCTATTGAGCTAAATAAACATCTATCTATCTATCTATCTATCTATCTATCTATCTATCTATCTATCTATCTATCTATTAGCATTTTCCCATAAAAGAATTCCTCTTCCCTTTCAAACTCAAAAATTCCTTTAGAAAAATACTATGTGCTGTCAACCCTGTTTGCAATGGAAACAGACTATTGTGAGGTGAACACTTTTGCTCAAATCGGTGCGATGAATTCCTGAAAGATCGTTTACTTTTAAGGAGTATACATATTGCCTTTAATGGTAAAAATACAAAAATGTATCTTCTATGAGAATAGGCTTAAGCTTATCAATAAGTAGAAGATATTAAAAGACTGAATAATTACCTCATGATTCAAGTATGCTTCTTTTTCTTTGTAGTTTTGAAGAACTTGTGATTTTGATCCCTTCTCAGGAGGCGTTTTTCGATGTTCTTCCATCATAGCTCCCAGTCTCATTACTCTCTCCTCATGATCAGCCAGTTGCTCTCTCTGATAACAATAAATGTATCTTCTGTATAATTTCACTATATAATTTCAAATAGAAAATCATACACTATATACAATGGTAACCAAATCAATTGGAGGGATAAAATAGAATAGAACAATAGATAATTCATAATTGTCATTATAGTCCACTAAAATGGTATTATCACTTGGAAAAAATTCAAGTAGTCGGTTTCTCTACCGATATGTATTTTTTACGGGTGCTGATTCCGAATCTAGTTTCCATTTTCGTACTTTTTTCAGATTTTTACCCGTAACTCAGAAACTATACATTTTATCAAAAATACTACCCTATGAAAAGTTGAAGAAGATAATATTTTCCATACGCGTGTTTTTAAAAAAAGCTGACCCCCTTGCTAGGGTAGGTAGAACACTGCAAAATAAGTTGGGTTTGCTCAGTAAAACGATGTCGTAACGGCACCCGTTTTCAAGATTCAAGGTGTTGAAAAATTGCTATTTCAACACATTTTTTACGATTATGTCGAAACAACACTGTGATACAAATTTTCTATGGATACGTTCTGGAAGGTGGAACATCGCAAGAATTGGTTTTTATATCTTGCTCTCATAGAGGGCGCTAGTTACACGGTTAGTACCAAGTAGTTTTTTTAGATGTAAGATCTTTAAATCCAAATTCAATGTGAACTTGAACATCATTCAATTCTAAACCAAAATGGTACTCTTGGTAAAACTCGATACTATGTACCATTTCCTGAATATTTTGATTTGAAAATGATGAAGTGATAACTGTTGCTGGTATGAAGCTATGTGTCAAAGTATCATGAAAAACTATTACCTATTCATTGAAAATCGAAAACAAAAATGAATTCCTGATGCTGAACTTCATGAATCACAAGAATAACATTGAAATAAATTGGACTAAAAACGTGGATTACACAGTTTGGATGTATCTTAAGGGAAACGTCTATGCTACAGAGGTGAATTCACGTCAAGAGTTGCAAGACAAAATTGAACATCGCTTGAATGACCTAACAGCTGATTGTCAACCGTTTAGGAGAATAATGCATTAAAATTAAAAATAAAGTTAGAATCGTGTATCGTTGAACGGAGGATATTTTGAACATTTTTACTCTAACAGATTGAATATTTTATGCTTTAAGTAAAATTTATCTAAATTTTTTACTTGTGATTCTTTGTTTAATCAATAACTTTGGGGCAAGACATTTTTTTTTTTGGATTTGAATAAATAGGTAATTGATCTCAATAATATCCATTTTATACCAACATCAGCTAATACTCCATTATATTCAAATTAAAATATTCCGAAAACGATACACAGTATTGAGTTTTATCAAGAGTTCCTTTCTGGCGTTAAATTGAATGATGTTCAAAGTCACATGGAATTTGGTCTGAAAAACCTAACCTCAAAGAAGTTATGTTTAAGATTACTCGGTACAAACCGTGTAAGTAGTGCTCTCTATGAGAGTCAGATATGAAAAGGAATTCATTCATTACAATATTGCCATTAGTTTCGACGTAATCGTAAAAAATGTAGAAAAAATGAATTGTATCTTGAAAACGGATACCATTACATTTTTTACTGAGCAAACCCAACTTATTTTGCAGTGGTCTACCTACCCTAGCAAGGGGGGTAAGCTTTTTTTGAAACATATAATTGCTTTTGATCACTAACGGGTAAGGAGCTAGAGCAAATTGGAAATTGACCAAATTTCAAACTCTGCAAAAAACGGCGTCCTTCGTCGGTTTTCGCAGATAATTCCCAATCTACGCATTTTTCGAAGAAACGAACCATACTGCCTGATGTGGAAGAGACCTGCCATGTGAAATTTGCTGTATAAGTGTCCCTCTTGGCAGCTATTAGTCTATCCGCTCCCAAGAACACTTCCTTTCAAATTACCATAACTAAAACCGTCTTATCAATCTGCTCAGGAAAAAATGGAAGAGTGCAGTATGGTATCAGGCAAAGTAGAGGACAACGCGGACCTACTTAGAGTGAAAATTGCATTTTATTGGCAGAAGAGAAAGACAAGGTATAACTGTCGTAGGCGAGGAAGTCGAATTTCTAGTCCTCTCAATTTCTTTACAGGTTCCGTTTAACGTATATTTTTTACATGAAAGAGGGAAAGTACCGAACAAGTTGTACCATCCAAGCATCAGCCTCAATCATCACGATTGATAGGCCTATATTTTTTGCGCATATTGTAACCGGAAATGACACATCACCTGCCTCATTCAGGCAAGGGAAACAAATGCCCTAAAGATGCTCAAGAACTACCCTAATATAAAAGACCGCCTCGAGACAGATTTTGAGGATATCATGATGGCTGGAGGAATGTTTTAGGCAATCTTATACTCGTCTCAGGATCAACCAAAGTGATTGGCTGATATGAGATACACTTGTCCTCTAACACGGGTTGCAGCTCGCCAGCATTTATTGCGAGTATATCTGCAGGTGCAACTATGGCTGGGCAAAGACACCTTCACGTAGACACATGAGGAATTGGGATGGAAAAACACTGTTAACTTCCTACAGCCCTTTCCTAAAACTGACTTCCCTGTTGCTGAAAATCTCCCCCACTTTGTCTTGCATGAAATACTGCGGCTGCAAAAAAGCCAGTGTGTTTTGTACGAAGATGCGTACATATTGTCAATGAAACTGCCGCAACGTCGTTCAGTATGATCTTGAGAACGACCAGGATCTCGACGATCCCAATGTCGATGACGCCGTGTCGTGCATCACAGAATCACTTCAACTGTATCTACTTTTAACATTGACTACAATCACACTTCCATGTTTGAACCCATCTCCAGGTTAATTACCTTGATCATAGAATTTTTTATGCATTTCTCTTTCAGATCACCAGATAGAGGATGAGGGTACCCTGGAGCAGAAATATTTCAAAGCAACAACTAGGATTCTAGAGTACAGAGTAATCAAATTTTCACGTCCCTCTCACTCCACAAGATGCAAAAACATAAATGAACGAAATGAAATATAGTAGAAAGGATGATGAACTTGTGTGTGGCAGCTACGACCAAAAACGTCTCTAAGTCCAAGCTCCCCAACAGCCGATCACTTTCTAGCATATTAGCAAACTCTACATGAGCTCTACAAGAAATTTGATGCTCTTTCAATTTGTGCACGATGCTTTCTTTCTAGTCTTTAATATCTCAAATCTATAAAAAACATACGAGTGCCTTACCAAGTTCAATTTAGTATGACTGCATGGTAACAAAGGCCTCTGGAATTTTTTTGAAGATCCAACAGCTGCTTCGAGGGGTGGCGCCGAAAAACTGGCACACACAAAATTGATGGTATCAATCCAAGATTGTAACTCCTTCGAATCACTAAAATAAATGGAAGGGATGAGTTCTTTATATCACTGTTACTGTTATTCCTAATTGACAATTTCCAAAAACTGTCTTAGTAACTGCAAACATATTTCAAACTTTTATGGTCATGATTCTGAGATGAAGAAAAAAATTGCATATTCATTTCAGGATTGAAAAAATAATAGTCAAGTTAGTTTCCCCCAATTGACTAGAAATGAAAGATACCTTGGTCAGATGCCGAACAACAAACAAGTCAGTTCTCAGTATTGTTATGTCATCAATTTTCGCGATTGAATTGTTATGTACTTCATACTAGGTCCAGCCAAAGAGCTTCAATTTTTCCTATACTCTGGAACCATAGTTCTGACAATATTTAATGTCTCACCAGTTGACGTTACTAGGGCGTGTGGAACTTTAAGCACTATTTTCAGATTTATAGAGGAGGAGTTATCATTATAAGACGCCGAATGAAACGAAAAGAAGAAGTATATCTATCAGTTATACCAACCTTGACCACACGACTAAATAGCGCGACATGGTGGACAATCAAAATATGTTAGCTCTCATTAAAACAATTATTTTTTTTTCTGGAACAACTGTAACCAAGTAGAAATACTGTCGAGATGAAATTTGAAGATCTTTGGAACACGAAAATCAGTCAGTATTAATTTTCAAGGATTACACCATCGTGAATATAATTCTATCCAAATATCCTTGGAGATATTCTTGAATGTATAAAAGCTCACCTAGTTTGAAACAAGTATTCCGCTTGATCGGCGGTCTGCAACCTGAAGACATACTGTTTTTTAGTATAGTCCGAGGCTTTGGTGGCGAGTGCGTGATGTATTCTGATGGCATTGTGAAGGTTGTCCCCCATTTGGTTCTTTTTGAATCCGTTCTCGTCCTTGTGCAGGTACAGGATCAGATCGCGCAGCGTGCAATAGTACATCTTCCAGCTACGCTTGTGAAATGGTGCTAGAAAAATGCAGCAAAGGCCTTCGAAACAGCTATTTTGTATTGCGACATGCGTTGCAGGCTAAATATTCATACAAAATGGAAAAGTGGTTGTGACTTATACTGATCGAAATTTGTTGCTCACTTGAAAATACGGTAGTGAAATTATTATAATTTATTTAGTTCAAAGAAGCTGTAGAACCGGTATCAAATATAGAAATAGGAATGCGAAAAAAAACTTCAAAGATAAAATATTTTTAATTCTTCAATTATATAAGGTGATTCACCTAATTGATTCATTCAAAATTTATGGAGAACCAAGAGATATCAACTTGAAATTTTGATCTACTTTTCTAAAATATTTACAATATGCTGTTATTTCTGGCCGAACCGGAAGTTACATCAACTTTGTTGTATTAAACGCAGCACTCTGTATATTATTAAAATCAGAAAAAGGTTGGATGTACTGTGAAACACCTTAATGTATATGGAAAACTACCAGTGGCTAAAGTACACAAACATAGTTAACCTTGAAATCAACGGAACATTGCCATCATCGAAAGAGAATTCTGTAAAGTTAATTGTTATGTAGAAGTAGAAATCATATTAGTTTAAAAACTTAATGAGGCTATCATGGTGAAGATCCAATATTGAGATTTTTAGGTCACTGTGAAATTTGTGAAAATTTAATATACAGGGTGTTTCTTAAGTACGTGTAAAAAATTAAGGAGTATGTTGTTGACGTCCGAATGAGAAGAAAATTTCGTATCAACACATTAGTATTATGTTGCATGTTACCACAGGTAGGAAGTGATGATCAGAGGATCAGACGCATTCACGTGCAGCTTCACCCTTAAGGAGAACCTGGGTAAATAACCGAAAAGGTTAAGCCCGAACGACCATATCATGAAAAATAACGAACTAACAAAACAACTATAAACTTTATACATAGGCTAATGAATAACTGGAAATCGTACGTACCCACAAAATCAGATCAGGCCTCGGTGTGCCTGTCAATATTTTGTGTATTGTGGACTACAGTGGCTATTTTTACAGGTGACGAAAATGGTGAGTAGCTTTTTGATTGGTTTACCTGAACAATGGCGGTGCATCCACCTAGGGTCCCTTGTTGCAAACTGACGTATTTGCCATCTAATAGGGTACGGACAGATCATAGCTCCTTTCTCTTTTAATCATCTAGTGACTTTGGTTTCGTGTATTGGCGTCCCTGACATGACATTGCTGTCACGTCACATTTATAAGCGTTAAAAGAGATCTTACAAAATATTAATTTCATACTTTATCCTAATACGACATTATTCAATTCTGTTTTGGAAGGATGGTAACATGTGGTGCGTTAGGCTGTATCAATCAGTTGGATTGCAAATTTGAATTTGTCCGCTTTCCATCGAATGCAAATGAACTAAGAACATGGAAAGTGAAGTGACCGAATGAGGAAAATTGGTAAATACATCAGCAGAATACTAGAGGTGAAACTAATACGAAATCACATATTATAATTTTTCATTGTGCCTATAATTATCCACTCCACAAGTTTTTGAATGCATTTTAGTGGAAACAGTTTTGATTAAAAGGGAGGATTAAAAGAAGAGGCATATGCCCTACCATTTGAAAAATTATACCTACATTCAGGAAGTGTTCGTGAAAAACTGTAAAAATGATTACCAACAGGAATATCGGCTATCATCCCTTCACTAGCAATACCAATCAGACGAACTAGACAAGCCCAGTCAGCACATCCTTTCGTTGTCAACCTCGAAAGATGTCGAACAGCACTTTATCAAAACTCCTTCATCCATAGAACGGCTAGGCTCTGGAATTCATTGCCTGTGGAAGTATTCCCAACAACATATAATCTCCAGAAGTTCAAAAAAAACTCCAATACCTACCTCCTGTCCCTATCCTCCCTAGGAACGCACGATGTTCTTTGAACATTATAGGGATTCCCTTTCGTGCGCTCCAAGCGATAAAAAAAAATATATACAGCACACATGACATATGAGCACATTAATTTGAATATCTACATAACATTTTTCACCATTTCTCAACAATGAGGCTTAGTCTGAAATCAAAATTTGTTTATTGATAGGTACTGCCTAAGAACAGTCCCATTCGGTAAAACCCTGTTATCCACCTAAGTTGCATTCTCTGCGATTCTTGATATATCAGCTGTTATTGTTGAGGTTATAGTTGTTAAGTAATTTTTTTGAATTTACAAACAATAAATAATAATAAATTGATGAAAATGGTTATCCAAATTTGAAGGCTGGATTGGTAAAAATGATATAAATAAGGCACATTCCTACTTTTGGATTTTGGAATCACTAGGCCGCTCCGGTGGAACTACGAAGATGAAATGATTAAAGTAAATGGGTTCACTAGGTACATGAAAAATGAATAATTATGGTGACCTCTATTATATTTGAAACCATAGGATAGTTGAGATCATTTTATTTGCAAAACCTCACTACGTGCCAAGGTGAATACAGCAAATTGAAGTCTTTTAAACATAATACTTACCCACTGAGTTCTTATATGGTCAAGTACCCATCAAGTATTGATATTGATATACAGACTATTTTTCAAGAAAATAATATGAAGAAGGCAAGGAAGTGCAGCAGTCCCAAGAAAAGTTCTTTTTTTCATCACATATATGATAATTATCAATAATAAAATGATAATGTGAAAGATGAAATTTATTCTATATCAATAATTAGGAATCAAAGTGTCCAGTTTCAGTGATGAATTGGTAATATGGTATGGTACATACTTACACTTACTGAATCTTTGACTGAAAGTATTAGTATTTAGTAGAAAATTGATTCAAAATGAATATTTCTCTCCCAAACTTTACCTACCTAGTTTGGAAGTTGAATATTCGGGATTTACTTGCCAGGTTATTCAATGATTCTATCGAAGCTTACAATGAAAATAACAGCAAATTCAAGTTTTTTGTTACCTACCTACAGTATGTTTTGCAAATAGTAAACCTACTTAGATTCATATAATTGTTGATTCCTGATCATAGAGGTACCTAAATAAAGATGTTCACAAATTCAACTCAAATTAGAAATTCTCAATTGGTTCATCAAACATTACTCTAACTGTATACCTAGGATTTCTGGCATTCAAAAATGTTTGGACAATATTACCATATTGTAAAATGCCTTCTTCAAGTCTGTGTTCCATGTTTACAACAGAATCTCAATTTGAATACAACAATAGCTGTAAAAACTATACTCCATCATGATATGCATGGACACTCATTAAATAATTCAGCTGAATGATTCATATTAATCTCAAATCACTCTCAACTTTATCTTATATGAACATAATCCGTATGCATAAAAGGTATTATATTCCTTATATTCAACACGTATTTCATGTATATGATATTATATATATCATTGAGTTTAATTTCACGTTTTTTTCTATATTAAGTACATAGGTTTAAATTTATACTCGACTAATTCACTCAACTATTTCAAACAATTGGTTTGCTCAATGTTTGCTGTAATATCAGTCTGTATCTCTGGATATCCATCTGGAATTTTCCTATAATATGCATTTCAAGTTGTGTTCTGTGATGAAGCATCAGTATCAATCTTGGTATCAATGGGGTAAGTAACATGAAAGAATGTATAATCCAATTTCAAAAACAGAATAAATTGAAAATAAAACTATAACACATTTTGATGGGGAAACATTCTTGGTACAAAGTCCATCAGTTTTATCCTCAATTTTACAACGCTGTAATACCGTGGGATGTGTGGTAGGTAAGTAGGTACTTTTTCACTATGCAGTCTTATTATGAAAGATCATTGATATATTACAGGTTTTTGATAATGATGGTGGGTATATTCAATTGCATAATTCTGGGATTCTTTCAGGATACAAACACAATAATTAAATTATATTTCAAGGCTAATCATATTCTAATCTAATTCTTTTTATATTTAGATTCTTTATTTTGACGTTCAGTGACATCTGACACACGGAAGAATTAAACTTTGACACTCTGTATCTTAGAAACGAATAACTTGTGGACATATGTTTACACAAACTTTTCGTCTTATTTTTACGTCAGCAACATGCTCCTGAATTTTTTACACGTACTTGAGAAAGACCCTGTATACGTTTTTTTTTCGCAAGATCAAATTTCACTCCAGAAAAAAATTTATGAAAAAAGAACTTGACTCCTTCACCATTCCTATGACGTACTTTCTGAAATGCCACATTCACACAGAGTTAAAATAGATTCCCTGTGTCAGTACGACGTTGCCGACATCATAACAACCCGATAAACAGAATGATGACGCTGAGTAACGGAGTGAAGTGGGACATTTTTAACACTGGCACTGAAAGGGCCAAACGCATTCTTGCCCTAATGTAATGTCTTTATATTTGATGTACATTGTATTCAATGTGTATATATGTATACATGTATCTTCATTAATGTTCTATGATATGTTTAGGAATCTGTTGTATAGACTATATATTCAAGTTTTTTTTCACTGGGTTCGCCCGTCAATAAATAAATCATCGATATGTCTATGTTTCCGGAAATAATTCTTTGAATACATTATTAGCTATATCAAAACAATGGTATAAAATAGGGTTTTAATACTATTTCCTCGAGTATTATGAATAATTATCATAAATCTTTTAATTGCTGGATGAAGTTGATTACTAATAAAGATAAATCATGACATTTTGCAATAGTATCTATAATTTTTCACTTTCGTTATATTACAAAATAATAATCATAACCTGTCAGTCAGTTTTCTGTGAATGAAATCGTTCCTTTATGGAACAGATCTAGGAAAACTAGCAGATTATTTCTTGTTACAGCGCATAATACTTTGAGCCCGTCCACACTACACAAAATATTGACAGGCACACCGAGACCTGATCTGATTTTGTGGTGACGTGTGTTTTTTTACCAGTTTCGTTAGCCTATATAAAAAGTTTATAGTTGTTTTGTTGGTTCGTTGTTTTTCATGATATTATGATCCTCCCTTTTTCAGTTTGGGCGATTCATATGGTATGGTAATAAATTGACACTATGGAACATTGACCAAACTCCTTTATCTCAAAAACACCAAGAAACTAATGTCCTCCCTAGTGGACGTTAAGCATTTTCTATCATGATAGTTCGTCTCCGACTGGTATGAAAATATTCGAAACAATCAGGACAGCAAGGTTCATCATATTTTTTACAAACACAGGGTGAGTCATGACTAACCAGCCATAGCCTAATAGCGAGGATGCCAAGGTGAGTTGATATATATTATATATAGATGTGAAGAACTATATTTTGCCTATTTGTAACAGAAATACAGGGCATTATTTGAATTCATACTGAAACTTTGAAGAACGATATTTGAGGAACGTCTATGTTATGGCAAAAAAAAATCAAGAGCCCGAATTTTAGATGTCGAAATTTCGATCTTCTGGATCGCATTCTTCAAAAACTATTATCCTACTCAGAAAAATCAGGAAAAACGCTACAAGTGAGGCTTTTCATTTTGTACGGCACACTTTGACCGATTTGGTAAAAAAATATCAAACAAAATTCTGATGAATATTTCTTCGATTTCGTCCTGGCACACTACCTGCCCTCTACATTCGACAGCAAGTATTCAAATATTTTTTTTTGCATTTCGATGTACCAGCAGAGAGTTGAGAAAAGGTGTTATCCAATAAATAAATTTAGGGCCGGACTCGGTTTCTGGAGAGAAACACACAACAATTATACTTTCTGAATCCTCCGGGATTTCGAAAATTGCTTGGAATTCATGTGAATAACCAACCACGTCATCAACAAGAACAGCCTGGAAACGAAAAGTGAAATGATCAGGTCATGAAATGCATGGCGTCCACTAGGTTGGACATATAGTTTTTCCGATTCTGACTGAGGCACAGTGCAATATTTTGTTATTATATATTCAAATTGCTAATTATAGGTTACAATAATCCAGATGTCGATTTATTACATTTTTTCTAGCACCTTCATAGAATGTTCTGACAGGAACAACATTGAAGTCTTCAGTAACCATTTTAAATTAGTACAAATATGATTCAACATATAGAATGAACCCCTCATTTTTTCCCAGAGGGTAGTAACACTGGAGATATGTCAAAATATGTCTAATATTGCCAACCATAAATAGTTTTTGATAAAACATGGAATATTTCCATTGTTTACAACTACTCATTCCTCCTATCCACTGTAGTAGGCATTATGCATGAGAGGGTTTGATCTTGTGAAAGTGTTCAGAGGTGAGACGATGTCCGGATCTCATTCTACACATTGTGGAGATTTCTCTATTGACTTCTGCCATGTGGAACCAGGGCTTTTTCGCAAAAGGTTTCTTGAAGGTTGAAAACGCTTTTCCCTTTAATATTGCATAGTTCTGCCCATTCCTCATTCCAGGCCTCTCGCATTCTATTCCTAACCGTAGGAAGAATATCTCTATAATCTAGTTTCCTGTAGTCCACCCTTGTTTTAACTGTGCTTAGTATGGCTACTTGATCTGTCTAAAAATTGTTCTATCCGTCATTCGGTTGCCCCCTTACGAGCAACCCTCAGAAGTCTTCGAAAGTCTTGTGCGAGCAAGGAATGACGGGGGGCCTTACCTTTTAACGTGTGATCCCAAACACTTTCTTGGGCCATCAGAAAAATTTCTGCAGTCGACGGGAATCGAACCCACGACCGGCAAGCGAATGCGAATTAGAATATAGACACTCTGTCCGCACGGCTACCTGGCCCCCTGTCATGTCGTTTCCTGGTATATTTGTGTGACTAGGTATCCATCCCAGTTTGATTTTAGTTCTGTTTTGAGCTGTCTTTTTTATCAAACTTCTTGAAATGAAAGTGGAATTGTTTGAGCTGGGGTTAATTCCAGTCCTTGCTAGTTTTAGCAGAGCGCTTAGCGAGTCGATGAGGTGATCAACTACGACGCCTAGTTGTCTTCTTCTATTTTTTCAATTCGTTTTTTATTCGTTTGCTATTCGCTAGCTATATTCTTCATCATCAGCTATATTCAGACCAGATTCAGAATGTACGTCACAGTTTGCCGCCCCGAAAATTAGAAATTGCTTTATTTTGAAAATAATAATGAGTTGGACTCTATCGGTCGCCATTTCGAATATCTCAAAAACAAACGAAGATTGGAGAACGATTCAAAATTGGATAGCTCCAGAATTTCAAGTACAATTCGAAAATGCAATGATATACTTAATGTTTTCAAATATTATATTGTTTATTAGTTTATTATAATTGTATATAGTTTTAGGTATTATTGTTAAATATACTTCCTTATACCAGAACTTGATTCTGACTGGAAGTAACATTTTCAATAAACAAGTGAATGTCACTTCTGCTTTAACCGGAAGTGACAGCGTATCCAAAATATTTTTAGAAAAGTAAATCACTTCACGCTCCTGCTCCTCTATAAACCGCTAATGAATCAGATAGGTGAATCACTTCGTAAAATGTAATTGGCTTTCATTTGATGAAAATGAGCCCAAAGCATAGAATACATATTTCTATAGCCGAACTCTATTAGCACCCGAAATTTTTAGTAGCGACGGAAATAAGTCAGAGAGGCGAGAACTGTCTTATGTACCGTGGTTTTCCACTACTAGGACAAATTTTGCTAATTGAGTTTTGTCATCAACTGAAAACTTCACTATATTGTAAATAGTCAATTCGAAATTCCAAATGACAATCAATTGTTTTTATTCTATTTTTCATGTTGACAATAGGATAAAATTCATTATGCCAGTATTTTCTGATTTTTACCCATGATGAAAGTTGAACTGTTGAATATTTAGTTGAATAATTTGATCCAGAATATTTAAAAAAATATCGTATACTTACCTGAATCGTTTTATGAAGTATAAATATAATGATATTGAAACAACATAATTGATGACATGGCAAACAACCCAAATGACTACATGACACACGCAGTTTTTTGATGAGAGATTGGATAATTTTGATAAAATGGCACTTGAAATAATTCACGTTTTCTTAAATAAATTTATTGGCTAAATCTGGCAATAGCAATTAGTTCCTAAATTGAAAAGGTATCATCAAGGTTATTCAACAAACCAGGTAAGCCTCAATAATTTTATAAACATTAATGTTTGAAAAGTGACGTTTTGTTCTTTTCAAACCCAACCAAAAATTTGGATGTTGCTTTCTATCGAGTTTGCTCTGGAAACAAATCGTTATCGCGGTAATATATTGATTTTTTCATTGCAAACTTAATTGAAAGCAACATTGAAGTTTTTGGTTGGGTCTCAAATGACCAAAATGCCACTTTTCAAACGTTAATATTTCGAAAATCATAGAATCTGGGAGTAAAGTGTGTTAAATAAAACTGTTAAGAATCATGAGCAGCTTTCGAAAATGAAATATTATACGGGATGTTCCATTTGAAAAATAATTCAAGATGGCGCTCAGCACCTTAATAATGTGAATCCAAATCATGTTAATTCTGGAGGTTCGCATTAAATTATCTTGACTGAAACTTTTCATGATCGCACATTTTTCGTAGACGAAACTAAATAATTGTGGATCATATTTAATCTGAAATCTTCGTAGAATATTAAATAATGAGATGAATATCAAATCAAAGATAATGGCCAGAAAACTTAAAAACCAGATATAGAATTTCACCTTCTCATAAGTTGCATTTGTTGATGCAGAATTGAATTTGTCAATTATAAGTAATCACCAAGCACAATTAGTAAGTTGAAACTGGAAGTTACACGCTCTTCCTAACACCGCACAGGTTTCAACTGTTGGAGAATTGGTTTCCAACTTTGACGTAGCGATATTTTCAAGAGTTATTCAGAAAAGTTTCCTAAAGGCTTTCATACAGGTTGACATAAAGCTTTGTGAGTTGTGAGAGTACAGACCATCATAACAAAGGTGACAAAATCAGAACAAAGTGATACAGATAAAAATCTGTGTGCACACTTTCACTCATTGAGTTCTCATTTTCAAATACCGTTCGTCGACCGTATGAAACAGTACTAAATATTTGCAAAAATTAATACATCTTTTGAAGATGAATAATTAATTCTTCAAAATGTGTGGATTGGCCAAGTGTTGAACTGTGCAATAGAAATAAATGTTAATCATTAAATCGCAGCTGACTATATACACCTTACTGACTCACCCCATATATCTAAAAAAATATTTCTCATCCGTTCTAGAAAGAAGTAAAATTAGTTTAGTAAGCCATGATCTTCAAGCTGCACTCACATTGAAACTTTGGAAAGATATTACACATTATTCAAAGTAAAATGATACAAGCGATTACACTTTGCAACCTAACACTTGTTTTTAGTAGAATTTGTAGAAATTTAGAAATAACCAGATTACATTAAACAAGAGGAAAAAAGTATCCCCCTATCATGAAAATAATTATTACATCACCAACAAACCAACTACTGAGTAAATCAGTAAATATCGACTCAAATGATATATTCCTCCTGAATATGGAAGTTATAATTGCAAATAAATGTGTTTATATATGAACTACCACAAGAATTTTTTGAAAAAATGGTGGTGAAAGTGGTTTTCAAGGAATCGTAGATAGTGCTGATAATTGCTGATAACAATTGTGTGAAAACCTTAGATCCAAATATTATCAGTAACCAGTGATTCAGTGAATTTTAAATTAAAAAAAACACACATGTAACAAAAAGCACTGGAGAAATCTTGAATAATAAAACATGGCTAAAAACTCACTTCGCTTTGCATTAGTCTCATAACAGCATTTCCTCATAACATAACCTTTCTTATATTCTATTGCATTATTTGCATCAGGCACTTCCAAGAATGGATTCCCTCCTAAACTGATTGGTTCACTGTTCTTCAGTTGTGACTGAGCATCTTCAGGTTCCTCATCCCTGAAAGGTAGTAGATATACAGGGTTGGTTGAGTCAGGAAATCTGTTTTTCATGCTGATAATTAATTCGCAAAATAAAAAGGAATATTTTCTGATTTCAATTTTTCCATTGGGTTGAACAAAAGGAAGAACCTATATTTTTTCTATAAGCATAAAATACACCACTAAACGGGACTGGCGTCCATTGATACCATTTGACATATTTGACATCTTATCAGAGTAAGGACAGATCCTATTGTATTCCTTTTTTATAATGTAGTTAAATCAGTTTTGTCTACTTCTACTGAAACTGGTGTTAATAACCCATTTATACATGAAGTAGGTATATGCTAAACATAAATAAATATATAAATCTACATATAGATAACACCGAAAAAAATTTAGGGGTGATTCTTTGATGAAAATCAAGGTGGTTATTTGGTATAACATTTTTTGAAAAACTTTTCCCCGGAAAAGTTACACCCCCGAAAAGAAAAAGATTACCAAACACCCACCTTAGTTTTTATCACAGAATCACCCCTTGAATTTTTTCGGTGTCATTTAGACACACCCTGTATACCAGACAAACAATTATATTAAAATAAAATATAAAAACAATTGAAATATTGAATAGAAAGTAAACATTCCAAAATAAAATCAACAGATATAGTACGATTTAAATTTTGAATTGGGGCAAAATCCTCTGTTAGGATGTGTGTCAGAATGAAAATTTTAAATTCTTCAACTGCCCAATGGATAATAATAAACTAGGAATATGGAAAATTAACACATGAAAAGACTGTTCATAGTATAATGACAAACTAAATATGCCGAAAAATCTGCTTCAAGGAACCCTAGACGGCACTAGGGGTACTATCAATGTGGCTGCCAAACCACAACTGCTATATTATGAATATCAACCTACTGATGTGGCATACCAAACAACCAAATATAATCAGCGAATGTCAAAAAGTAGAATACTCTGTAATCATTACATCATTCAACATTCTAAGCAATAATTATAATTGATTGATAATCAATTTTTCATTTATGAAATTCTGTCAGGTTAAGGCCATGTGAATTATTTACCTTTCATGAACTGGATGTTACTATTACCACTGATATTTTAATGCTGTTTTTATTATTGCACTTGATATAAGACATATAAAATTAGAAAAAACCTTGAGAGGAGTCAATATAACGTTATCAACATCTATCCGTTGATATAAGTTCATGGTTCTTGAAGTGACATGGTTGTAGTTGAAGAGAATGAAAATCACAAAATTACCATGTGTTAGACAAATGTGTTGCATAGCATACATACAAGCATTTTTCATATGACTGCAATTTTAGTTTCATTTGTTTCATAAAGATTGGGAAAAATTATTACCAGCATAGGTTTTACAATGAGTTTGACGTATCTTTTAAACGCCAGTCGACCATCACAAAATATAAGATATACATATTGAACATATTGAACACAAATTTGTAATTTCTACTTGCAGTGTTGATGTGAGCAGGGTTGGGCTGATTTAAATCAATTGATTTAAATCAAGATAAAAATCATGATTTAAATCAAGTGATTTTTTTTTCAAATCACAATTTAAATCAAAATAATAATTTCGAGAACATTTATTATTTATTTGAATAATAAAAAATATTAAACTGAAATAAAATAGTAAAACCCCTAAAAAAACGGGATATTGAAACATATACATATGTATATCTTAATCATACTCTACATTATTTCATAATCATAAGTTTTCTGACATTGAAACTAGAACATTTTAATTTTCATTATAATATTTAAACAAAAATACTAATTTACCTGCCTTTTCAACCCCCAGTCTATTTCTCAAATCTGAATGTACCAGCCCAAAGGTACTGAACACTCGTTCCACTGAGGCTGAAGAAGCAATAGCACAAAGAAATTGTTTTAACACAGGTATCTGTTTCTTGATTTCTGATTCATTTTCAGCTTGTGATAGCCACCACTGAATTCCACTGACCACTATTACCATACATTTCTTTTATAGTTTTTAAAGCCAAATTTTTTTCATTGACAGTCAACCTGTACTTTTGCTAAGATGGGTTCATCATATAAGCTATCAAGTGGTAAGGGGTCAGTGCTTGTTCATATCGGCGCTGAAATTTTTGAAGCTGTTGAATTGATAGATTTTGATCTTCTTCAAAGATATATTCTAAGTTTTTCCATTGTTCCACGGCATTTGAAAGAGTATGTTGACATGAATGTCGCGCATTAAAACCATAATAAAAAAAATATCTAGGAAAATAAAAAAAATCCAAAAAATCATGATTTTTTTATTTAAATCAATGATTTTTGATTTTTTTTTTTAAATCAAGATTTGCCCAACCCTGGATGTGAGGCCATGGTATCTGTATGTTAAAATTCCAGAATGATTTACTCTTGCTTCACATTTTGTTTTTACTGAAATTCGGCTTATGGTCAGATGGACACACAATCAAAAGGCGTGTAACGAACGGCAAGTGTCTGAACATCACAATTATCGCAACTCATCAGATGAAACTGTTTGTGGGACTATTATGACTCAATATAAGTGAGAAAGACATCAAGGATTAGTGGAATTGTAGCGAATGTGAAAACTTATTGTGAAACCAGTCTCATTTCCTGTACATGAGGAATTCATTAAAAGATATCTCAAACCAATGTCAATTATTCATCAACTTACCATGTCCATTCCAAAGGATAATTTTTGATAGCATGATATAGCTGTTTGAGAATGTCTCGTGGGAAATTTTCACATTCATTCAATCCAGCTAGGTTTTCAATGAACTCATTGCAAGTCATCTTTCTTCCAACATTCTGTCCATGCAAATCAGTGTTGAGCAACATGATGGCACATGTTAATGTGTGTACAGCATCTTGAAAAGAAAATTTGCGATCTTAAGGACTTGACATAAACTCAAGGCTCAGAAAACACTAACTATATCCATCAAACAGATAATTAAACAAGGGACTGATTTAGATTCATATAAAGCAATTATTGAACCAAAATTATAGATTCCTTTCAAGTTCAACCTCTGTGACGTAATATTTAATTATGCAAAATTATTATTAATTAGTACACAAGAAAATCTTCATTGACTGATTGATTGACTGTCTTTATAATTCCAAGACACAATGGAATTTATTATAGGGACATAAAAGTAAGTATACATAAACGAAGAACATAAAAAATATGAAATTTGACAATGATGAAATGAATTCAACATACCTTGAGAATTGAATGTACCCGGATTACAGTCTAAAAATCTCTTGGAAAAATGTACTAAAACTCTCTCTCTTTCTTGAGTTTCGCCAGTAAGAGAGAACTGCTTGAGGAATTTTCGCAATGCAATATCTAAAGTGTCTTTTTCAAAGTTGAAATACTTTAAGTATTCCTCTGCTACTGCTCTACTAAAGTCATTACTGAAAACAAAAAAAAAACAAAGATATCATGAGAACTCGACATATATTTTTTGTTATAGAAAAATTGATCAAACGTAAACTGATGAAAATTTTATGTTGGTAACACTCAAAATGAGATTAAATGGAAAAAGATCATTCTAACCAGGGTTATTATTCAAGGCGAGTCAGAATAAGACCCACATACTTCGTATACGGATTCCTTACCTCATTTTAAAGTGAAAAGTTCCTATCAACGTATGTCCTAAAATGCATCCTCTCTGAGATAGAGGGTGTCAAAAGTACGAATAAAATCAAGGTTCATATTAATTTCTTCCGAACCCCTGGAGAAAAAAAATTTAAACTTGGTATACTATGCCAGATTAATCAATGTAGTTTCCATTTTTAAATTTTGATTACCGGTGGCGTAGTAACGTTCGTATGTCGCCACATTTTCATTCATATTTTTTCTTTGACACAAGAAATGTCAAATTGGTGTGTGACATCAGTTAGGCTTATTGATACTCTACCTAAAAGTAATAACATTCCATATACCTAAATGTATAGGTTCCTGAGATATTTGCGAAAAAATTAAGAAATGTCGAGAAATTAATGCCCAATTGTACTTACATATTCTACAAATAGTATCTGTATCTCAAATAGGTTGCACTTTGAGATAGAACTTAATATTAACTGTTCACCTTGAGATAACGTGTGTCACCCATACTATGTTCCCAATGTTATCAACATTCAAGAATGTTCAGAAGGTTGAGAAGTGTCTGATATCTTTTGAAAATTCAGCGTTATGCGATTATAGCGCGCAGCAAATTCTACTCAATCTCACCTCAAAAGTCTCAAGATATATCCTATATGTGAAATGTTATTACTTTTGGGTAAAGTATCAAAGAGCATAACTGATGTTATACACCATTGACATTTCATCTGGCAGGCAAAGAAAAAAAATGAATGAAAATGTACATACGACCATAACTACGCCATTGGAAATCATAATTCAAAAATGGAAACTCCATGTGACTACTTAGATTAATCTGAAATAGTATACAAAGTCTCAATATTTTTTTCCTCCAGGGGTTCCGAAGAAATAAATCTTGAACTTTTTTCTTTCCTACCCTTGATACACTGTATCTCAGAGTGGATGCATATCTGGACATACGTTGATAGGAACTTTTCTCTTCAAAATAAGGTAAGGAATCCGTATACACAGTTTGTCGGTCTTACAGAATGACCCATTTGGAAGCAGGCCACCCACATAGATTTTCAATTTATGGACTGATTTTGACAATTTTTTTTTTCGAAATGTGGAGGAAAGAAAGGCGTATTTTGGAGCCAAACGTCGTCGATTACTTTCAAAAATCATAGCCTACTAGATCACAAACAGAGGCTGAAAAATCCAGAATTCATATTAGCGTCTTTTTTAAACCGTGTAGGCCACTGGAATCGGGGTTCTCTTAAGTAGATCTGTACCAAGTTTCTATGGACTTAATTACTGACAAGTTGTTAATCATGCATTGAGAAGTCTTTTATGTTGTAATATTCATAATAGTTGGCTTTGCAATAATTACCAAAGTCTCAAATGACCGCATTTTTTTATCCCACTTTCCTCCTAGATCTCTTGACTCAACTCCCCTAATGTGTAATTCATTTGTTAACGCATGGGTAACACATGAAAAGCTTCTCAATGCATAATAATAATGAAAACTGACACAGATCTATTTCAGAAGACGTCAATTCCAGTTGCGTACGCAGATTTTATCTAAAAAAAAATCGCTAATATGAATGCCTCTGAATGTGATCTACATAAATGAAAGATTTATGAGGTTGGCTTGCTTTCAAATGAGTCACTCTGTATATTATACTGACAGGGTTACGGCATAACCGCCATCTGCTGACGTCACATGAGGGAGAAACAGGATAGTCAACCTAAGGTAAGAGATTCCGAAAATAAACAGGAAAATTTCAAAAAGATAACAGACTGGACTGAAACACTGAGTGATTACTATGAAACACAAATTGTTGATAGGAAAGAGTTCAGAATATTATGGTTACACTTTCAGCAGCAGGTTCAAGTACAACATTTTTTGTTTTAAGAGGTGGGAAAAAGTACTCCTCCACTGGCCAAGCAAACTGATGCAGTGAGCACCATTAAGTGCCAATTTCTTATTCTTATAACGTGCTTTCACCGGAAAACACTACATAGGCAAAGTAATCGGTCGCATTCATCATAGGAGTGAGGAAAGCAGCATGGCTCGCTTTCTCGCTCCCATCAAATAACGATATCTCACGAGTTATGTCCTATATAGGGTCTAGATTTAAAAGCAGGGTATACACAAAATTCTCGTTTTTTATATAGGTCTTTGAATATAGCATTGAAGTAATCTCATACTACTGGAATTTGTAGTTATAGGTTGATAGAAGGACGGTAACGCCGGTTCAATGGCCGAAGACAATGTTTGAAGATAGTGCAGTGAGGTCTTCAAACAGCATATACAAGTTAGGTATTTGTATGTATCCTTCAAAATGATGTATGATCTCACCTACCGACATGTTCACTTACCGACAAGTTCGACTTAGACAGTTAACATAAGATACTCTCTAGGAAATAGATTCGGTAAACAATACAAAATAGTTGGTCAAAACGTTTCAGGTTCCAGGGTTGCCATATAGGAATAAACTAACCCATCCCCAATTGAACTTAGTTTTACATTGAACTGTCGGAACTTTTTAGATTTTAAAACAAATATTGGTTAATTAATTTGTTTAATTGATTAATTCAACTCATTCTTAAATTTTCATCACACAATTTTTTTCTATTCCACCCAGCCATTATAAAAAGTTGATGAATTTCGTCCTATGAACCCTTTACAGATGGAAGTTGATTCTTGGAGATAGTCGAGAAAGAACAATATTATGGAATCATTATGATGCACTTCAACGCCCTTGTACCTCAATAGTGAATTCAACGTAGGTATATGCTAGTGGTATAATAGTTAGTTTCAATATATTTTGACAACTTACTTTTTACTTAGGTGTCGCGATACGTCCGATTTCTTAAATCCTTCAAGACCAAACAACCTCTTGGCCAGTCTAATAGCAGAAGGCATATCGACTGCTTTTGGTGAATAATGGAAGCTGTGTAGACTTTCTATATCACTTTCATCTTCAGAAGACAAAGGTGATGATTTATTTGTAGTGTCTGGGTTTCCCATTTCTTCTTCTTGATCAGATTCGAAAGCTCCATCTGATGAGCCCTGATGAAACAAATATGTATTGAATTTTGGCTTGTTCATTATGATGAGTTTTTTAATATAAAGGATATTGATCCCGTGTGGCGGTACTAGTGTGGTTGGGAATCATCTGTCATCTACCTCACATGAACTACATGATGATTATATTAATAAGAAACTGAGGTTACGATGTATTTGTATTCTGTGCTCACTTCAGACATTCTGGAAGAACACAAAGGCATAATACAACGTTGAGGCACCTTAATAATCATAACTTATAAAGATTTGTAGAAATGAGCATTACTGTGAATAAATAAACAATCATTGACAGCTGACATGACATCCAGCCTCATTAGTCACTACAAGTCTGCTACAAACTTTCCAGGTTACCTGCAACCTGATCTTTATATGAGATATTAAAAAATATAAGTAATGGAACAAATGACAACAACGGTTTTCTGGTTGGGCCCTTCATTGAAAAACATGATTATCTTTTCCTTTTGAGAAAAGGAAAAGTATTTGCTATTTCAATATTGGATGATGAAACAATCTATTCAATATAGTAGGTGTTAAGTTGAGACAACAGTGGAAATAAGTTTGATTAAAACTTGCCTAGGCATGATAGGACAGTAAATAAGACTTCAAGTGATCTAAATAATATTTTGCATATAATCTGATGATTGTGAATTCAATTTTGAATGCTGAAATAGCAAATATTTCAACAACAGTTAGTATTGGTGCTATTCAACGGGTTTACTCTTTTTGTGGAGGATGATTATCTTGATTTTTCAGTAGAAGCGTCCATAAATCTACTCTTAATTAACGTCACAAGTTTAGAAGTAAGTTAATTTTCCTTGAAAACATCACTATACCAATTTGCAAGGCAATACCCACATAACACTAGCGAAGGAGCCTTGAAGGGAATTAAAACAAAAATTCTTATTCTGGCAGCCTCTATCTTTCACAATATCAACTTGGGACTTGGGCCATGGTAATTTTCCATAATTTTTTATATCAGGCCTTTCAGGAAGCAATTTGACATTATTTGTCATTTCAAGTAACTACCAAAAAAATACTTATCAATTGTTGAACAAAGCGTGACTAAAATAACAAAAACCCTGTGATTATATGATGAAAGAATTAGGACCTATCGATGATGGCTTTAATTATGAATAGTATATTATATAACAAGTGGTATGAACGCCCTTTTAGTAACAAGTATTTTAAGGACGATCACAGCAAATCGTCAATCCGTGATAAATCATTTAGCGTGGTACATATCCGTATGCTGAATGCCATTTTAGTTATGTGAGTATAAAAAATCATTTATATAACTAATTGAGCAATAATGAATAGCACACCTTGTATCCATACATTTCACATCTGAGTGTTGAAGCGCTCTCACTGTGCCTCGATCTATCCTTCTCAGGTCCTTTTACTTGTATCACAATACGATGTTCACTATTATCGGCAGCATTATTAGCTGACGTCAAACTTCCGTGAACTCTCACATGTCGTTGCCTTGGCTCTGACACCAATAAAGTACTATCACTATCACTATGATCACTAATTTCCATAACACAGTCTTTGATCCCGATAATATCGTCGTCATGATAGTCGGGGCTGGAGATATTAGAGACAGCCTCCGAAACACTGAAGTCCGTATGCTGCAATAAATATTTGCAAAATTATGATCGAAAATGTATCAAAAACCAAATATTCAAAATAAAAATGTTTCTTTATTCCACCTGGATATTACCTATCCACTCTGTCGCTTTTATGAATAATCATCAAAAATGCGTTAATAACAATAAACGGCTGAAAGACTTCAGTCAATTGCCTTTTGAAGTATATCCCTAATATAGATTTCATCTGTAATAATAAACACAACTGAATGTTTCTTTTGAACATGTCACATAAACTTTGAGAGAAAATGGTGCCTCTGCAGGGAGACATTGACATAAAGGTTAATAACAGTTTTATATCCGGTAAGTGGCGAGATTTAGACTAAGACCACTCTAAATCTAATCTCTTACTGATCAAATAGGAAGGTGAGTATGTAAGAGAAAAATTATGGGTATATATTGATGATGAGAAACTTGATAATATTAGGTTCCATAAAAGAATGGACCATACAAAAAATCACAAAAAGCGAATTGAAACACTACCAAGCTGTCACATAATATTGTGCAATTTAAAATTCAATAATAACATATTTCCCAATAACATTTTGAGAAAGATGAATGAATAGATGACATTAAATATGATATTCGAATCTTAGGTCCTTAGATCATCATCAATGACCCAAATAATTTTTTTGACAAATCGACAATACTCAGTGAAATATCATCAATACTCAAGTTCACATTGCAGCAGGTCTCATCATAGTAGTTTTGAGGGAAACAATAGCTGTTCATTTACAGGAATTTAATTTTAGAAACATGGAAACTATACGGTGAGGCATATTCTTAAACATGAAATAGGACCACAATATATTATCCTAAACGAGACAATAAGTTTATAGTTTTTAGAAATTTGGCAAGCGTCCCCACTTCTGCATTGAAACTCGCGGTCGATGCGCCGTAGCATAGTCAAGCTTGACGAATGTACGAAGAGGCTCAGCATCATATTTACATCGTGTTGTGTCCCAAAACTCCCAAAACAGTGTTTGTTCTATTGATATTAGAATTGTATTGGTGCCGTATTTGTTTAATTAGTGATTGGTGCAATTATTTCATTGTTTGTACCAATTATTCGCACTAGCTAATATTTTTTCATGTTTATTTTCACTTAAATGAAATAAAAATACGCCCTCGTATGTATGAGGTCTAAGATCGCGCCACGTGAGTTAGGCTTTAGTTGGCATTCGGATACAGAACAACAAGTTCGGTCAATGAGCAGTCGATGCGCATTGCAAAAAAATAAAACGTGTGCCACGAAGATCAAAGGCGCTGACGTTAAGTTAGGCAACTAACTGTCTCGTTTAGGCTAATATACTGTGGTAGAACTCATCAAAATCATAAATACTGTCTAATATTTGATAAGAAAATCTTTCTTTTAACAAACAATTCATTGATATTTATTCAAATATCATCCATTTTCCATTGTCGACAGTTATCACATAAGCCAACATAAAGATACAGAGGTTATTCTGACACATGCCACTAAGTGGATGTTCCAGTACTCAATATCTTTATGTATGTTGGTCCTTATGGAATATCTTACTTATTTTTGAAGTTAGAGATTTGCGGTTTTCGCGAACGTTGGCTACTTTTTAGTGAAACTCACGATACCGCAAACAAAATTTTCATAGCCAGCTTCGTTTTTGAGATACAGGGCAAAATTGAAAATGTTGCATTTTGGGACCACCACTGTATCTCAGCTATCTTTCAACTTATAGGAAAAGTAAGAACTGTCACTCATACAGTTTTCAACGTGGAATCCAGTGGCGTAGTGAGATTTTCAAGCTGTTATTATTTAGATACAACTCGAAGTTATGTTTTTTTTTATGAAACACCCTGTATATTTTTTTATATTTGAATTATTGATGCTTTGCAAACACTAATACGATATTTTGCTAACAGCTTTTTTATTGAATACGACTGTATCCACGACAAAAAACTGTCTATTATAGTCAAGCCTGCAAATTGATAGCCAAGGCTAGCTAGCAGGCGAGACAATAGATAGTTTTTCGTCAAGGTGCATATTACATTTTTTCGTCGACCTCGAACACTTATATTCACATCACGGTCTTATTCACACATACAATCTATCGAATTTCGTAGATAATTTGACTACAGCAAATTACAGTTACTGTCATAGCAACCACAGCGGACGAAAAGTTAGTGTCTGTAGATGAAAAGTACACTTGTGTGCATGAACAAGTCGTACAGCAGTTATGGGCTATTGTGAGTCAGGCTTGTCAATCTTGATTAATCTTCTTATCGACTTTGACAAGTAATGTCATAATTCAAACTATTTTTGTCAGTTAAGCGCAAATGTACTAGCCTTCGAAACTACTCGATTTTCAGTTCGTAAATTAATACGTAAAATGTAATTTTTCTATTTTGCGCCGCAAATGCGTATCGAAACAGCTTCTATTAGGACACGCTGAATTTCTTGTTTCAAAGTTGGTAATGGTAACGTCAACGTAAAACTGTCAGACACACTAGCGTCTAGAGAGACATTGCAACAAATAAATATAACATTACAGGTATTTTGAGCATTTATTACCTTTCAAATTCGCTGGTATGTTTAGTTGGGCTGCTGTTGAGACAAAATTATGCTCATTAGTCTGTTTATTCAAGTTTTTGTTTGTGCAATGTGACTGTGAGGTTGATGCATCAGAATGAGTTGTAGAAGTTGGAGGCTGAGAAGTAAACATTTGAGCTATCTACCTCAATTTTCCTCTCCACTGAAGCTTATAATATGAAACCATCAGCAACTGCTGTTAGGGTACGCGGCATAAGAGATGAGCCATTTTAGAAATACTTTCTCAGATAAAGACACAATTCTACCCCCGTATTATTTGGTTGAAATATTTTAGGCGTTTTAGTTGTAGAAGGATAGAACGATTAATAGATGATGTTGGTCTAGTGAGCCGGTTGCTGTCATCAATTACTATACAGATCAGAGAAGTAAGACTGTTTTTGTCTCTAAAGTCAAGGAGAGATCAACCTATTAAACATCCAGGGCTAGTTAGCAACGTTTCCTGGGAGGAATAAGGAAACTACTGTGATTGTCCGAGAGAAGAGAAAAGGGCGGACGATAAGTACCACATAGTAGAAGTTTTATTTTGTTTCCACTGTGAGTTTACGCGGGTTATGTTTTCTATCTGACCAATATTGATGAACGTTGTGTACTTTTGTGATCAATGCACCTAGTATTATAGTTTTATCTGAGGTGGTTGTGAGGGGTTGCGAGACAGGGCATTTTACTATATCACACGATACCTGGCCCAAAATCTCAAACTCTTGCAAGGGTTTTACCCATTTCTAAATGATCACCCTCTGAGTTCTCCATACGAGGTTTATTACTTGTAACTCACCATCCTTCATGATTTATAATACATTCTACTAGTATTTCATACTTGAATTTCTCTTTTTTTTTTTTTATCATTCTTATTGACAGTGAGGTTTAATGGTTTGGTTACTGTTATACCAAAGATTAGCCCAGCCTAGTACATATATAAATTTAACCTCTAGGATATGGATTTCAAAACCATTTGGCGCCCTTTCACTACCCTGTCACTTAATTGCCCGGTAGTTTTTCGTTTCGGTTGAACCCGGCCACCCACTGAGAAAGCTTACTAGCTGAGGTACCCTGGATTACCAGAGAGGGTAACGATTTCATGTTTTCATAGAAGAATGTTTTTAAATAAGAGACAAATGAATGCAAAATAGAAATAATAGTATAAAATACACGTTTTATAAGACATATTGTCGCGCTAGTTTTTTTACAACGCGTGCGACAATAGTGTCTTATAAAACTTGTATAATAATATAGTATTTTTGTAGAGGTCGACGAAAAAGTATGTTTCACTACTTCAAATGATATTTATAAAATAAGAAATTGCTCGATTCGAGGTTAGGTTAGTTTGCATTTCAGAGTAGGTACCTGGACAAGCTATAATGTATAACATGAGAAAAACTGAAGAATAATGATTCAAGATATTCTACTGAAGAATCCAAACTAAAAAAATATCACAATGCCCACTAAACTTTCGATAAAATACAGGAAAACCTGAATGTAAACAAAAGTTCAATGTACTTTCTATTAGTTACTTGAATATCCGCCAGAGAGCGTGTCGCTTATTTCGAATCGCCTTATAGGCGTTTTCATAGTTTCATAAATAGTCGTAGATATAGCTATTTATGTACCAAGGACAAACAACTATCTATTACAGCCGAACCTACAAATTGAGCAAGCAGGCGAGACAATAGACAAGTTTCCGGCAAGGTGCATATTAGTGTTCGTCAACCTCGAACACTTTTATTCACACATCACGTTCTTATTCACAAGTAAAATCTATCAGATTTCGTGAATATTCAATTTGAAAACAGCAAATGACAGTTGACAGTTGTCAACTCATTCGCCGCTCTCGCACTGTGCCGTATCCATATACCTACTAAACATTTACGGATAACAAGGATCTCCAAGTGAAGCCAAAAAATGAAATAAATGACAGTCTGCGAGAGAAACTGTATTAAAGCGCATGCGTCATCTAAAAATAAGAAAAGACATCAGTTTGCAAAATTTCTTTCAGCAGGGGATGGCTTTGTAATGAACATATGAGTATTATTAAAACTTTCGTGAAATGTACGACATGACCTAAAATTCAATGTTTATATTTTGTTATTTGAATCTGAAGCCTCAGACAAAAAATCATGACCGAGACTTCACTGGAATTCATATTTGCGAAGTTTTGGTGGTTTTGATGAAGCAAACAGCTTTAATTCGCGATTTTGGAACGAGTTTGCTGAAGTTTTTTGTCTCAGAATACTTCGGATAATGGCCAACAAGTGTAAGACATTATAAACATACAAATGTACAGCTTCCCAACATATGCAAAATTATATGAAGTGTGGCAAAACATTACAAAAATTGGGAAGCCCATTTACAAATATATATATGCCTGTCTGTAGCAGACACTTCTTGGAAAGAGATTATGAAGGCAATTTCTTTCATTTTTGAGAAAATATCTTTTCAGTATTCTATGTAATGTGCTTTTCTTTCAAGTTTCAAGGAAATTCTAATACAATTTCAGAAGTAGGTACATTTTCTGTGACGCAGATTAAATACCTTCACAGAATTCACCTATTACAATGCATCAAAATGTAAAATCTGTGATCAATAGTCACGTTCAGTATTTACATCGCAGATTAGAGCAGATTCTAGTCACGTGGTCACAGATAGATCGGAGCAATCGGCAATAAACGAACGAAGCGGACATTTTGTTGACAGTGTGACGGTAACCTAACCTAACCTAACCTCATTTATTTATTTCGTTTATTTCCATTTCAATATGAGTGTACCAGAAATTTTCTTTATCTTGTTCTTTTTCCAAAAGAATCGCAGCCAGAGTCAAATCTATAAGAAAAAATATATAAAAAAAAAAAATTTTGAATTTATCATCTGAGCACATTAATTAAATGTGTTCACTAACTATTATTTGTGACAATTTCTTCATAATTCTCATCTGACACCATAAAGGTGTGTGTTTTGTCTTGCTCAGAATCAAAAAGTTGTATTTCTCTCATTATGAGAACGTTATTTTGAAAATACGAATACGAGCACAACGGCCAGTCATACATAAAGATCAATTGCTTTGCTCGGTCAAAATTCTCCGAGCATTAAGATCTTTGTCAAATCGCTCCGATTTTAATTGCCGAACGGATGAGACCTACTTCCCCTACATCTAGATGTCATAAACGAACGATTCAGATTCATCGGTCTGATGTAAATACCGAACGCAACTAATGGATATGAATGGGAAAGAGGAAGGTCACTTCCATACAAAACTTGAATATGTATCTAATCATTCTTCAGCTAGGTATATCAACCAAATCATCCTCAGTAAGAGGAACGCATGAATCTGATAATGACAAAGATTTTGGGAGGATAGAACTAGCTTACATTAGTGCTGATGCAACTTCCACCAGGACTGATCATTCTTGTGAAAGTGCCTATGATGTTTCCATAGAAAAGACAAGTGCAATTTCAGTAGCCAATCTAATGATATTTTTTTCACTTTCTGTAATAATAAAAAATTCAATGAGTACCTACTCAATTTTGCTTTATTTCAACATATAAACCAGAATATGATAAACACTGTGAATAATTTAAGTGTGATTTTGACAGTAATGGAATCTTTTCAAATGTTGTACTTCCTGCTTCATTGTAGAAATGTATGTAGAGCAGTTAGTTAACTTGTTATCTGGAAAACAAATATCATCAGTTACCTTTTTATGGAAGTTAGAAATTATATAAGACCACAATTTACCAAGAATTCAGAATTATTCCTATTCATCAACAGCACGATTAATTTTGTAGAAAATGCAATAGTTTCTTCAATCTTTGTCTTCCTTCCAATTGTATGCTAGTATAGTGTTGTAGGCTTTACTTCATACATTGCATCTATGCCTGACTTTTTTCACTACTTGCTTGGATGTGAGCTTCACAACTGAATTCTTCCAGTTCTTTATGCCTAGCTAAAAATGTGGTTGAAATTTCAGTAAACACAAGGACCAATCAAGCATAATTATTGACTTCATGAGGCATAGACAAACCAAAGTTTCTCTATGGGCTGAGAGTTTCAAAGCAGCAGAAGTTTGTGCAACCATCAGCCCAAAGATCTTGAGTTTCTGTATACTGTTCACTTCAACAAAATAACATTATTTCTTGCTTTGTATACCTGTTCGTCTTCCACCATCGGCCGTTTTTCATAAGCACTCGAATCGCTGAAATTCCGAAATAAAAATGATTGAATTATCACAGAATCGAATGTGGAATGTGGCTCTCATTGACTTCCCTGCAGCATTGACATCAAAATCAATGCTTTGACGTACTTTTCCTGCTATCGGAAAAATTTTCGCGAAGGAATATCATTTTCAGAAGCATCGGTAAGAAACTTCAACCTCGTGATTTTGACAAATCCCGCGCATGCGCAAATAGGTATTTTCACCCGCAGACTGTCATTCGTTTCCTCAAAACTGGCTCCACTTTTGACCATGGATACATAGGATGTTACCCGTTTATGTTTAGTAGGTATATGGCCGCATCATAGTGACTACAGAGGACGAAAAGTACTTCAAGAATAATAGTCGATTTTCCATTCATAAACGTGTACGTGAAATTGTATTTTTTTGTAGAAGACGAAAAAAAAAATTAAAACGTTTATTCTCTCACCTGTCCGAAGTGCCCATTGGTAGCGGTGAACGGCAACCGCCTCGATCCCGATTGGCTCGACATGACGGAGGAAGACACCGACGTGGTGGGGGAGGCCGGCGAGCCGGAATGCGGGGGACTGGAAGAGATGGGAGACGCGTTGCCGCTGCCGAACTTGTGGTGCTCGGAGATGGGCGCGTTGTACGTCCACACGATGCGGTCGCTGTCGCTGGCCGTGCCCACCGAATCGGGACGCGTGTCCAGCAGCGTGTTGAGAGAGTTAGTGACGTCCTCGTCCGCTTCCGAGTTGGCCACGCTGACGTTACACAGTTCGTTTTGCCCTTGAAGTTGGTCCTGTAAAATGAATAATAATAATCAGTGACTCAATGAATTGAAAACGATGAACAGACTTTCCAAAATTTGCTATGCACGTCTACTTGATTTAGAGCAGAATGACAATAGTTTCAATTGGCTTTTGCAGGTGAAATGATACCTTATATTTGCTGATTGAGAAAACTTATGGGAGCATTTTCTCAACTATAACTCTAAAAAGCTCACGGACGATATTCTGGATACATTAAAAAAAAGCTAATTTTGCTTGACTCTGAGAAACTTGCAAGTTCTTCCTACCCGCTCAATTATAACTGCAACTAACAAGTAACCCGGCCTACTAAGGCATAAGGCAAAATGCGATTCCTTCTGAAATCGGCGATATTGATTTGATTTAGAGCAAAATGACAGTAGATTTAATTGGCTTTTGCAGGTAAAATAATACTTTATATTTGCTGATTGAGAAAACTTATGGCAGCGTTTTCTCAACTATAACTCTGAAAAGAGCATGGGACGATATTCTGGATAAATTAAAAAAAAAACTGATTTTGCTTGACTCTTGAGAGGCTTGCAAGTACTTCCTACCCGCTCATTTATAACTCCTTAACAGTTTCCGAACCCTTCTACTTAAGCATTCCCTCAAAAATTTATATATCACGCATTATTGCTGGAATCAGAACTTCTGGCAAAAAGACGTTGATGTTCTCGTTTCATGGTTCCTTTTACCAAATTGACACTACAGAGATGTGTTCAATATGCAACTTTCAAGTATCCCAGTCTTTGCAACAAATTCCGTTTGGAATGTCCTATCTACTCAGGCATAAGGCAAAATGCGATTCTGTCTGAAATCGGCGATATTGATGGTCTAGTACTCCTACTCAACTCTCACAATATCTTACACTTAGCAAACCTTGTTAAGTCCCTAATGAATATTATGAAATTACGCAGCCGAATGTGACCAATAAATTAGTTAGATTTCTTCATTTTTTGACGAGCTTTCGAAAATGTTTATTTTCTTTATCAAGACTAACTGAAAACATCCAATGAACAATAATGTTAATATATAAATGTACATCAATGAAACTGGTATACTTACTAACATGAAATTCTATATTAAATCAGCACAAAAAAGAAACAAAGGTGTGTAAATGAAATTAAATAATGTGATAAAAAATGTCATAGATGATGGTTGACTAATTCAAAGATGTTGAATACAGAGTGAGATGAATACTGATATATTAAATGTGGGATATAATATGCTATTGTAGATCATATATAAAATATGGATCATTCAAGGACGAGTTGATTTATTATCTTTCTGTTATTTAAAAGGAATGTATATATGGTACTAAGTTCTTAGATTTTATTGTGTGTGCTGATATTATATAGAATTTCATGTTATGATATAATACATTTATGTATTAACATTATTGTATATAGTATAATGTCATATGGCATACTACTGTGGGGTAATTCATCACATGCTAATCAAATACTATAACTGCAAAAACGAGCCGTGCGTGTCATATCAAAATCAAATTATAGAGAACCTTGCAGACCCTTGTTCAAGGAGCTTCGTATTTTAACCACTACAAATAAATATATTCTGGAAGCTCTAAAATATGCAAAAGAGAATCAATCATCATTATTTAGACAAGATAGGTACGAAACAAGACATAGACCCTACCAAATGCCACTTTTTAGACTCGACAAATATTCAAAATCCTACAAACACCAGTCCCTCAAATGTTTCAACAGTCTGCCAGAAGAATGGAGAGAATTAAATTTGGAAAAGTTTACAAATCTCTGAGAGAAAATGTGTTCTATGATATGGAAGAATTTTATAAACATTTCAATGTATGCTTTTAAGAATAATTTATGTGATTATCAGTGATTGTATATATTGTTTGATTTCACTTTTTATTGATATGTGTATTGTATGTTGTATTGTATATTGTGCCTGTCTTTGCCTGACGAATGTATATAATCACACAGAATAAACTACTACTACTACTACTACTACTACTACTACTACTACTACTATTGTTCATTCGATGTTTTCAGTTAGTCTTGATGAAGAAAATAAACATTTTCGAAAGCTCAACAAAAAACGAAGAAATCTGACTAATTTATTGGTCACATTGGACTGCTTCCCAGGAATACTCCCAAATAATACACATTGGTATACTTATGATCCATGTGGAATCATGATCGTATGGAAACCGAGCCCTTGTGATTAAAATGTAATTTTATTTTTCAACACAATATCTATCTATTTATAATGACAATGATAATAATAATAATAATAATAATAATAATAATAATAATAATGATCGTGGGAGGCCGCAGAGTCGTGACTGGAATTAACATGAATTCAACTATAATAATGATAATAATATTAATAATAGTTATTTATTATACAAGGGAAAAAAGTAGTAGATTTTAGCTCCAGGTTGTGTTGTCTCCCGACGCGTAGCGGAGGGAGACAAAAAATCGTGAGCTAAAATCTAATATTTTTCCCGTGTATAATACACTATTTTTTTCTGTGACAGAAGGAAGGACGAATCAATATTGGGAAGATATTACATTATTTCGAAATCTGAAAATTATCGACGTGAAATTTCAAGTTTTTAACAGTAGGGACACCTGCGTTTTATAGACATCTTCATCATTCTCTTGAAGTAATCAAATATCTGATGTCACTTCTGTCAGTTCAATTCTGTGATTTGATTTTAAAAAATTGCGAATTCAGTAGTTGTTTAGTAATATACGAAACCGCGAAGTCGAATGGAAGATAAAAGGACTTGCAGTTCTTTCTCGGAGACGGTATTATTGACTTATTTTTCGGAACTATAGCACAACAAAAGCCATTAAGAGAGTATATATATGTGATATATATCCGGGAAAGAAGTACTCACTTTTTTCCCACGGGAAAAAAGTAATTTATGAAAAGTGACATTTTATAACCTGCCAACAGAGATGAAATGCCAAACTTCTTTCCCGTCACAGAAAAATAATAGTTTTTCTGATGTCGGCATGTAATTTGACACTTTTCAAAACTGACGGAGGTTCTGAAACTTCTTATTTTACGTATTAAAATAAAAATCATGAAATAAATACTGACCTCAGATCGACTGGTCCTGACATAATTGTATGGATCAGAAGGCGGATGCTGGTGCTGGTCTCGCTTGTTGGCACTGACAGGAGAAGTAGTGACCGAGTTGGGGCCCGATTTGCCACCCATTCGGTGACCAAGGTCTGTTTCGTTGGGGCTGTTTGGCACTGAGTTGTGTTGCTGATGTCGCAAATGGTGTGCATGACTGTTGTGATACCGTAGGTTGTCCATCTTGGCAAAGAACAATATATATTTGGTGATTAATGAAATGTGAACAAAGTATAGATCAAAACAAAAAACAAATTAGCAACCATACAGGTGCCTTAGAGTTGGAGTGTCAGATGTCTAGGAGAGATTACGCTTAGGAAAATATGGAAAAAAGGGTTCGACAATGTTTCATTTCCGAGTTATAGGGTGTTAAGTTCAAGTAAAAAAATGAGCTTCCATCAATTATTGTTCAATTTTGCTTCAGCCGATTTCAATGAATTCTTTACGGAATATTCAAACAATTATCAGACCCCTACTTTCGAATTTTAAGAGTAGGTATCCAAGATATATTTTTTAATCAACTGGTAAAAATAAGATACAATAATAAAGTCAAAAAACAAAAATGTGGTATATTTTGTGGGTCGTGGGTCCATATAATAATTGATGACACCTTTCTTACTTGCTGGGAATACCCCTGGGAAATCTTAATGACATCTATCGGTCCAGTAGTTTTCTGATGACTGTTAAAAGTCGTAAAAATTCGTAGAAATCGGATAAAGCGTTAAATGTACTTGAAAAACAAACTTAACAACTTTCTATCATATTTTACTGAGCGGGAGCTTCCCTAGGCCCATGTCTCATCAACTCTAAAATACCCTGATAAGTTTTCATGGAAGCACACCTAATACAGGGTGGTCCAAATAGTCGTAAATATTTGGTAACGCTGTAGAAAATTTTGTAGGAGGGGTATTGTACTGCTTTTAAATTCGTATCCGATTGTTTTTGAAATAGAATTCCTCCAACTCCAATTTTACTGGCGTCTGTGTGGACCTCAGTGTCTGCGAGATTATCGTATATAGCCAGCACAGAACGAGTCACCAATCTATTTTTCAGATCTTGAAATGCTTGCTGTTCAAGGCAACCACAGCTGAAGGTTGCAATTTTTCTTGTCAAGTTTGAAATAGATTTTACTATCTGGGCAAAACCCTTGATACATTTTCGAAAATAACTTGTGAGGTCCAAGAACCTTCTCACCGCGTGAACGTTGGTAGGTGGTGGAAACTCAGACACTGCGGATATTTTCTCGGCGCCGGGTCTGATACCATCTTGGTCAATTTTGTGACCCAAATAGCTAATTTTTGTTTGAAGGAAATGGCATTTGTCCAAACGTAGCGTCATTTCATTTTCACGAAACAGTATCAAAATCCCTTCCCTCAATGCCACTCTGAACAGTTACAGATGGTACTAGATTACTAGAATATCGTCCAGGTAGGCCATGGCCAAGGTGAAACTCAGAGATCCTAAAATCTTGTTCATGGTTCTTTGGAATACCACTGGTGCATAAACTAGTCGAAAAGACATTCTCAGGTACTCATAGTGCCCGTCGGGCGTCACAAAGGCCGTTTTGGAAAGTTTTCAGCCATAGGAATCTGATGGCTAGTAAAATATGTACTCCCTTTCAACCGATCCATTAGGTCGTCAATCTGCGGTAAGAGATACTTGTCTTAAATAGTTTTGGCATTCAGTGCTCTATAATCAACACACATTCTCTCTTCGCCGTTTTTTTTTTTCCTTCGCTAGGAAGATTGGGCTGGCATAAGGGGAATCTGAATCGCGGATAATCTGACAATCGAGCAAGTTTCTCAAAATATTTTCAACATTTTCGCGCTGCGAGTGAGTGAGACGATATGGTCGATAGGTGATGGTTGGACTGTCCGTTAACGAAATTGAAACCTGGGAGGTTTTGCAGTGCCCTAGTTCGTTTATGATTATACTGAAACAATCGCGATATTCATTCAATAAAGTATGCAACTTGTCTATCTCTTCTCGTGTCAGTTTGTCGTTTGCCTGCCGTCCTACCTCTGAACGAGTGAACGGATTAAACTTTTCTGTTCGGATTGGGAGACAGTTTTCGGTTGCCAGATCTGTCTCTGGGAAACATACTTCACCCCGAGCGACAACTCTGTCTTTCTGATATTCGACAGGGAAATTAGAAGAATTCCGGATAGGAACGGCGTCAGCTTTTGTCTCAATTAAACACCTGGGAATAACGTGGAAACCTCCTGGCCATGGTCGATGTTGTAAATCGACGAATATGTTGTGTGTCTGTTCTTTACTATAAACTGCTATGTGACCCATGTGATGTGGAGGAATAACCGAAGCACATAGTTACTTTCTTTGGCGGTAAACCAGTAACTCCGGTCAAATCATTGTGGCTTTTGTTAAACAAACGAATTTGTTTGTCTCTAACCACCACAATAACATCTTTGATTTATAAATGGCTGGCCAACTATGACAGAAACCTGTTGTATTACGTCAGGGACAATAAGTGCAGAAACGTTGGCCTCGGCTAAGTCAACCTTGAGGTTTATGTCAACCTTCGACCTGACAATAACTGAACCACCAGCAAACCCACACAATCGTACTTGCGTTGGGTACCCTAAGAGAACCAGTTCATTGACGTCCGATTCCCGTATGGTAACAACATTGCTACCTGAATCTACATACCCCCTCAATGCCTTCCCTTCAATGACACAATCAATAAAATAGCAATCTTTAGAACTAATAACGTCATTTCTTATGGTGGACATTGAAATTTTAGACTCACCCTCGGTAATCCGTCTTGGTCTTGGGGGCCTCTTTGATTGCAGTTGAAGCATCTACGTGAGGCAGTTTCGCTTTCGTTCCTTTTGTGCTGAATGTTACGTCTCAAATCGTTTCTTCCTTTGGATATATCCGGATATTCATTATTCACCGAGTTATTCACTGATACTTTGATATTCTTTGTACCGGATATTTTTCGTACAAGGCCTCTGGAGTCTAGTATCGTCCGGCTCTGGCACCATTCTGTATAACCGCATCGTCCAATCCATCTATTAGGCAAGACAAACTTTTCTTGCCGGTTGTTCCGCACGTTCGTATCAATTCCATTTTTTCCAAGTAATACGTGGTCATAGTTTCGTTAGGTAGTCTCAGGAACATTTTAAGCAAGGATGTAGCATGATCGACATGATCTGTGAACGTTTTCCTAATCAATAACTTCCACTCATCCCAAGTATAGTTTTAGTTGGACAAGCTGTGATACCCACTCTTCGCCATACCGATCAGCCGCGATTGCATATAATATATGGTTGTTACGTCATTCCAGCCGTTGATTCCCCTCAATTGATCGATTTTATCCAGCCATTGATTCGCAGTCAGGTTCAGACGGTCAGGGGAAAATTAAGGAATGCAGTCGCCGTGTACTGTCATTCGTATGGCATCCTTATTCTTATTTTGGTTAGTCAATTGTTCGACCAGGCGTTCCAGTTGTTCGATTCTATTGTTTCAATGCCCACGGTCACAACGTAGGGGAGTCAATGAACGTCTTCGTGATTCCCTCACTGTTCTCACTGCACTCACCCGTGATGGAACTGCGTGTACCTTCACTTCGACTACTTTTTCTTGGCGGTACCTATCACCCTTCTTTCGTCGATATCTTTCCTCGCTAGCGGAAGAACTGCTGCTCGAGCTGGATGATTTCCTCTGGTTCCAGGCACGTTTGCCAATGTCTGGTGATTATAGTGAACACTCTGTTGACTCTGTATACTCTATCAACACTTTACACACCAAAATAATAGTGACCTGCTTATCGTAGGCACGTGTTCACCACCACACCTGAACTATAAACTGCTGAATTGGACTAACACTCAGAAAAACGTAAATAGGCATTACAGTTGATCACTGACTGAACGCGTTCGGCATACTGACTCGCCGCTTATCATCCCAAATTCCATACCAGCTCATCCGCTCCAGTCATTAATCCTTACATAACCCATAATGAATCAACACCCAACGAACATGAAATACAGGGTAGTTCCTTCGGATCGCTTATAGAAATATATTTTTTTCATTCAAATCCTCAAGGTCAATTACTACGCAAGGAAGTGTGATAGACATTTTTTATATGTAGTACTAACCACAGGTACTGACATTATTTTGGCTCAGTCTATCAGCCCTATCATTTACGTCATGACGTTTCCGGATACCCTGTACTGATCACTGTATAAATAAAACTATGATTTCAGGTTGAAGAATGATTTTTCAATTTATAAATAATAAACAGGGTGAATCTGAAAGTGAAGTTCTCCATTTAACAGGGTATATATTTCGCCAAGATAAGTTGTTTGGCCAAAAATTGTTTGTAAAAAATGTAAGATAACGGAGGTACAGACATTTCGAGGTTTTGTACAATTAAATTTCAATTTTATTAATCTGAGATTCATGAGAAAAAAAGTGATGAAAAATTCACTTTAAAATTAATAGGTTGAAAATGTAAAAAGAGGTTCTTGATTATGTTTTCTGATGAAATAATGAATCTATAGGGTATCGGCTTTTTTGCGTTTTTTTAGAAAATGTGAACAAAATGTTTTATAGTTCAAGTCTTCTTCAAACAAATATATAATCTTCAAATATTTTATAAGAGCAATTTTTTGCTGAACAACTTATTTTGGTGAAATATATATCCTGTTAAAAAAACTCACTTTCAGATTCACCCTGTACACTAGTATAATTTGTCACGTGGCAAATGTATATATGGTATATATGTCTGATTATATATTTATAAATGAATCGAAAAATACGCAGAAATGAATATGGAAGATGGAAGAATATATTATGTTTGAAGTTGTTGGGCACTAGTAGTTCAGTCAAGGAACGGGTTGTAAAGGACAGTTTTTTGAGACTAGGGATATGTTCGAAGTAGACAGGAAGTAACAATTCCAAAAATCCCTGAACTTACAAGGGGGCGACGCAGAAGGGTCCTTTTTTTGATTTATCGTTCATATCTCAAAAACGGTATGTCACAGCAAAACAGACAATCTACTCAAAATTAAATAGCAAATCATAAAATTTTTTAAAATCGCTTTTTTCATCTAGCGCAGCGCTACTCAGAGTGTGCTCCACGAAGCCCCGGTACTCCGGTAGAGCTCAGTTCCTTACCCACCTTAGTCTCAATGATACAGAAATATTTCAAAATCTAATTGGTGCAATATTTCATAGACAGCCAGCGACTTTTGAAGTACTTTCCTGAAGGACAAAATACGGAACTAAAAAAACTTATGGATTCAAAACCCTTTTTTATAGAAATTGCACATGCCTTAAAATATGTCAAATCAGAACTATAAATAATTTCTAGAAATGTCATTGGACATTGTAGGCCAGGTAGCCGCATGGTAGAAGCGTTTCTTCTTTCCTTGCTCGCACAAGTTTCTTGAAGACTTTTGATGGTTGCTCGTAAGGGGGCAACCCCTAACTTACTGCTTACTGCATCTACTTTTTTTTGTATGATTATCAAGAAACAATACACATTTTTGTTTTGTTTAAGTTGAGGATTTAGGGTTCCGTTATAAATTTAGTTTTTCAAACAGGGTTCCGTCACCAAAAGAGTTTGAGAAACGCTGATCTAGCGTATTCCGACGACTCAATCTTCAGTTTTTCATAAAGTGATTGACGTCTTCAAAATGATATGTCACATGTGCATTGTTTTATATACTAACAAAATTATATTCTCACTTCTGATTGAAGCACCCTTGAATATTTCGTAATTGTTGAGTTAGGATTCTGAAATTTGCAGGAGCGGGAGATATACCGAAAATACACACTATGATCAAGTGTATTCATCTTCAGTGATATACACTGCTCGCTAACAGCCATGGAACCACCCACATTTCCGGAAAATGATAACAGGGGGAAGGAGGAAATGTGGACGTTCGATTCACTAACTATTCATATTTTTCCTGAAAAATTGTCAGTTTTGAAAAATAAAATTTACACTATTCGCTAGCGAATATCTCGACAACTATGGAAGATAGGGAAAACACCTACAGATACAATTTTGTAGACAATTTTATCAACTACAATTTTGAATGGGTCTACTTTTTTTATGTGACGTACCGTTCTTGAGATATAAATGCTGACATATACATCAAAATACATTATCAAAATAATAGAGAACCTATTCTAGTATCTGAGATGAGTATAATATGTCTGGACCTAAAATTGTAGTAAATGTCTAGAACTAAACATGACAAGAGACAGATAGTTTGCAAAAGCAAGTAAGTAATAATATTTTCAGCTTTGTGAAATAATTCCCCCAATGCAATGTCAATATTCTTCTGTAAAAACCATACCTTTTTTTGTTGTTTCGGAACGATAGGCTGAGGCACACGAGAAATATTCAATATGTGTTCTCCTGTCATCATGTATGCTTCGAATTTTGGCTGACTCTTTGATTTATCTTCTGCTGCTAATGGATGCCACTGCAACCTCTCATTCTCCTCTGTGGCTTGCATTTCAGTATGTTGACTCAGAAGCGGTTCAATTTCGCCACAGCTGCCATTGGTGGAGATAGGAGAATATGCCGATCGGTGCATCTTGTGGATACCAGGTTCTGGTCTTCCAGAGAGGGATTTGAATGTAGAATGTACTCCAGGAATAGTGTCACTGTCGCTGCCGCCAGAAACAGACCGTAGATGTTTGCAGACCGTTGCCTTTATTTTTGGGTCTGGAATTTTTCCGAAATGACCATTATACCATTTTGTTTGCGAGCCTCATTGAAGAAATTTATTGGTTATATTGAAATGACAGTGACAGACAAATTACGACTGAAGACTAGTCAGAGAGGACAGGAACATACATCGAATTGAGAATTGTTTGTACTAATATCCGAGAATAAAATTGGATTTTTTTTTAGAAGCTAGGTACAAAATGTTGACGACATATCAACATGGTGAGACATTTTTTTAATGAAAATAAAAAAGTATACATAAGTAAATTATGAAAGATATATGAAAAAAATAAAGGATAGCTCTTGTCAGATATTACACTTACTGCAACGGCTGTAGTCTCATCTTGTAGGCAACCCTTGACTATGTCACAAGCATGATAAAAGTGAGATGGGGTGAATTTTACCGTTCGACGATCGTGCCGCCATCTTCATTGAAGCAGGTGATATTACGCATCGTCTATATGATATCATGAACAAAATAAGAAGATAAGGATCAAAGTGCCGACGTAAGTTAAACTACTCCCGATTTTTAGTTCGTATATTTTGATATAAATTGAAATGATAATGATCAATAAAGCACAATTTTCTTCTGGAATGGTTTCATCCATGATGTGGAACACTAAGGCGTGAGTCTGCCTGGTCGGTCTAGGGGACTTATGTGGGGGCGAGCGGGGAGAGTTGCAGAATTTTGAAGGTAATCAACGTCATTAGTACAGACATGAAAATTGGTGTACATGTGGTGGTGATATCAGAAAGATAGTTTGACAACTGGCAGACCGTTTTCCGGTTTTGCTGCAGAAAGTGTCGAAGTTGCGAAAAAAAAATCTGAAAATCAACGTAATAAAATGAAGTCTTGAAATTCGAAAGATAGGTAGAACTCGATGAAATAATAGTATATCTTCCCATAAACATAATTATGTTCTAAAACGTTTTTTATTCAGATTTCGGGCGTTGAAATATATAAAAACCGGGTGATTCTCCAAGCTGGCTCAATGAGTGTGACAGAGAAAGAAGTTTCGATATTGCGCCTTCACATCGATGGAGCAAATAGAAACTGCGCGAATGCAAATATCTTCATAATCGTTCGAAACAACACTATCAAACCCGGTATCGTTGAATTCGTTATGATTATCCCAAACTGATATGGAATAAAATACAGGGTGTAACATTTAAAAATCGATGTGTTCAATCAAGTAGCTACCCGTTCGTTCTCGCAATTTGAAAGATTAAGCTGTCAAGATGAAAATTGCAATTAGTATTTGTTTTTATATTTCATGAATCAAGCTTAATTGACAAAAATGACCTTGCAACTAGACTAATTGCCGAAGTAATCTGTCAGGTTACGAATTTTGGGCAGAGGTGTAACGATAATTAAAATATCAAGTTATTATGCACAATGACTTCGGAAAATGTATTATGTAAAATAGACAATTGTAAGCCCCAACCAACAGAAACTTGAAGTTCTTCGTCATCGAATAAGATTATTGTTTCAAATGCATTAAAACTAATCATTTCAGTTCATTATGCATCCTTTCTAAGGTATTATGCTTTAACGAAATTTGGATATTTGCGTGAACATAACCTGAATGGCTAGTCAACCAAGAGATTTATGGGTTGTACTCTCAAAATTACGCCAGCCAACCTTTTTAATTCATGGATTTGGAAGACATTTGATTTTCTAAATGAAGCAGTTTTAAACGAATAATCATCATTAATAAAGCAGTAGCAATGCCTGGTTATCTATTTTTCTACTAGTCACTGTTTATGTTATAGCTCACACATATAACAAAAATGTACCAAAATAGACAATAAAATCATTTATCTCTATTTAACTCATGGATTTTGTATATCATCTACATTTATGATGAAAATTATTTAGAATTTACGAATATTTGTTACTTTTCTAATGTTGTTCATGATGCGTGGAGCCGTGATACAGATTAGCAGAAATTCAAATAAGGCATTTGCTTCTGTTGTTTCATGAGTTGATGCGATATTTACCAATGAGTTCATCATACAAGATCGAAGTTTCAATTTGTCATTACATTTGCATTTTTATATACAGGGTGTCCCAAAAGTCAACGTCATCCCTTGGAGAGCCGATAGGCTACTTCATAATATCAAAATATGACATCAGTAAAACGTTTTAGAGATATTGGGATTTTAATGAATATGGGTTAACATTAAAAAGTGAGTCAATGCAAAATAAAAAATCCCAAAATTTTGCCGGATAGCCCCAAAGCCTGTGGTTTGTTCAATGAAAATATTCAGAAAAAATAATGTAGAATATTTGAACAAATAGAAAACCTCAAGTAAAGCAAATACTTGAGCAGACTTACGTTTTTTCACTCTCAATGTGTAACTTTACGGCCAATACGCGAGTGGAATATTTTTTTTATTTCTTGAATAGAATCATCACTTAAATACCTTTCAATTTCATATATTTTAAGAATTTTTTGGTCGATTTTTAGGTTCTAAAATCATCAATAATGCCTGTAAAATTCAAACGGCTGGAAATTTACCGCCAGTACAAACTGACACTACCATTTCGAAAGTAGGGGCAAACCATCGTACAGTTGCCATGTGTTGAAATACGATTTGGAATTTAGGAAATATTAGTTATTTGATAAGTCATAAATTCTCAATCGAGTATTGGTAATACTCTTAATTAGCAATAAAAATTCAATTGTCTTAAAATGTTTCCTTATGATTTGTGGCTTATTGCTTCCAATATTTTTTTGTGAATAATAATTATATTAATTCACACTAGAGGACATTTGAATCGGTGAACGTGACAACCACGGCGCACGACTTCTGGGCGTGGTCTTGTCAGTTCTCAGCATTCAGCACAATGTTGCCAAGTCTCCAACATGCACATGATATGTTGCTATGGAGAATAAGAAATATTCGGACATTGCTCGAAAAAGACAAGAATGAACTACAACATAATATAATAATAATATCATGGGTTCCTCCAATTATGTTTCATTCACCGACAGTACTCTAACATCTTTTTGATAACTTGATTATAATTGGTGACTTGAAAACCTTGCTTCATGAGTGGAAATGGAAGATTATCTGACCAATAACGAAACAGCATAAAAACTGACGTCACCATTTATTCGACGTATAGCCAAATAATTCATTATCAGTCCACTCGCCCATTCTTACATCGACGGAGAAGATACCTTAGGAAGATGCCGCCAAGACACGATAGTGCCATATCTTTGAAACAAAAAATATGTTTCAAAGCTAACTTGAGACTCCTCATTCAGTGAAAAAACGTCAACGCCAAGTTATTACAGAATATCGATCATGGTGAAAACCGCATATCGATTGATTACCATTTCAGAGTTACATTACAAGATGTCCTTGAAAAAGTGTATTTCTGAAAAGTAGCCAGTTCAGTTTGAACAAAAATATTCTTCGTTTTCATGAATGCATTTCCAAAATGGTTTCAGCCATTTTCCGAAAGTGCACATTCATGAAAAACACCTTGTAACTCTGAAACGTCAACAGATATCAATATTGAGTTCATCATAAAAATTGACCCACAGGCACCGATGTCAGTTCACATCTATCTAGTTTGAAAATAGTCCCACCCTGTACATGAAATTTGATGAAACTCTGTACTGTATTCGAGCATTTGGGATATGAACAAATAGACAATGCAATCAGTTTCCTAAATGAAATGAAGCCCAACTATTTACTGATTTTTGTGACGTAATTTTGATCGCAGCAGACCAAGAAATGATAATTCAAACTCAATTAATAGAACATTCAACTCCAAAATCCGACGGTCGAAGCGGGAATCATGATACGAATCAACTACCGTATGGTGGTAAAACATTGAATAAATAATGAACAAACTAAATTATCTTACCCCTTTTAATTTTCAATGTGACAGGATCTGCAGATAACCGGAGACATTTTAAAACTGAAATCATAAAATTAGTGGTTAGTTGAAGCAAAAGCAATATTCACAGCTAGTTAATCCAGTGCAGTCCTACGTATTCAACATATTTGATGTTTGAAATGGAGGTCGGAAAAGATGTAAACAAAAATATTTTGTTTCAGTATTTATTAGTGTTGGATATGTTTCCTATACAGTGCTTTTCTTTAATGCCGAACCCCCCTTTTTATTTTTTGAATGGGTCAACTTAAGAAATTGAATAATGAAATCGTTGCATGAATACTATATTTTGGAGTAAACTGGCGGATGAAAATTTCAAGATGGCGACTGAGCATTCTCTGTCGTACATCCAATATTGAAGCAGATGCAGTTTCGTACACCATTTGCCAATCCAACGACCGGGGAAAGTATTATCCAAATAGTTCCTATAACTTGTCTAAAGTAAGGTGGAGGTGCTCCATCTTGTTGGAATTCAATATCGATATTAATGTGTTTGTATTCAGTCAACTATCAAATGTTCCGCCATTTTGTAGTACGTGAAGAAACTTTATATTCTAGGGGTGGTTGTGAAGTATTCGTCATGAGGATATGTCACAAGACCCCTCTTCCATTTAATTGTCTTTTCTCAAATCGCGCTCAGTCGCCATCTTGAAATTTTCAACTGTCAATGTCACTCTAAAATATAGTATTCATGCATTCAGTTGACACGCTCAAAAAATGAAAGGGGAGACATTAAAGAAAAGCACTGTATAAATTGATCAATGGCCTCATTAGTTTCTCCATATCAGCTTAGTCTGATGAGATTCAATATGTCGGCCAGAACAAGAAATCTTCCTTTATTTTCCTTGACCTTTCACTCAACGAATTATGGTAACAATCACCCTATTTCAGTGCTTCAACAAAATTATGTTGTTCTTCATATTATTGTGACCAATTCTGTGGCAGTCTTTCTTTTTTTATATAAAGATGGAGTAACCGTTGAAATAAATAAATGAATAAATAGGAATAAATCATGTAGGTCCACAAAAATAAATGTCACTCTCATAACTAAAGTTAAATATGAAAATAGATATGCAAAGAAGCTGTCTATAGTTACAGAATCATCACTCATATTCAAGTATTCACAAGATCAAGATTAGTGCTCAAATCAAAAGCTAAAACAATGCTTCCTGACAATATAGTGACAAATTTCACCATGATTGAAAAAAAGGAAAGGAAAGAAAGGAATGATCAGTTTTTTTAATCCGACTCTAGTTTATGCATTCGAATAATATTGCAGCAAAAAGAAAAAATCCCTAGTTGCTTCCTTTTTGCGTTGACCTTGCTATTAATAATATGATAGTCTAGCTGGCCATGAATATACAGCAAGATATCTATTACTCACCTTCTTTTGTACTAAACCTAATGACTTCAGTTTCGTTCACGTTTAAAATAACATCTCCAACTTCTACCTGAAAATTCGAAAACAATATTTTAATGATTATGCAAGTGCTACGGTACTTTAGGTCAGAATTAGGTCCAGCAATTACTTTACAAAATATGTAAGCTCCATTTTATATAGTGAACGATTATTGAAAGGATAATCACAATCTAAAAGAGTTCCCAACTCATCTTCGGTTTGGTTTGTTCATCGGCTAATTTACTTTTCGACAGAAATACTTTCTTATTTACGAAAATGTTCTCTTCAGTCAATTTCTATATAAATTTTGATTCCCTATAATCTGTGAAATGAATATTGATCTCACAAATGCAAGTGTACATGTTGCGAGATTTCATTTACGGTACGGTTTGGTATGAAAAATGATATGTTTCAAGTAAACTTGTTAATGCATATCCACATTAAAGTAAAAAAACAATCCTTTCATAGACAGTTGGTAGCGAAAATTTCGCTGAGTGAAGTTTCTAGTGCAAGGTTTTGAAGCGGTACCTACCTTATATCATAATATTATTACATTCCAAAACACTGCATTTTTTTTGTCTACATAGAATACATACACGGTGACAATTTGAAAACGAACAGCACTCAACATTTCTTCAACTAATGACACTATGAAAATTTGGAGAAACACGTCAATTAAGATTTCAAGGGGGACAATTTTTGAAGTATTTGTTGTTAAATACTGTTATATTCAACTCCTTCACCGCCAGGTTAACTACCGCTAGAATTTTAAATGGTAACCCCCAATCATTTTGCTATTTTTGAAATTCTTGTGTGATTTCAGACAAGTCTTGAATTATTTGTCTTCAAAATTGCATAATGCATACTCTCAGAACTCTAGACCAGTGAATGATGGTTATTTAATTGTGCCTACAAAACGATGGAGGCCATTTTGAGAAATTCATAGTTATTAGTTAGGTCTGTATATAATTTTTTTCATCATCATAATAAATTTCAATACAAAAATTCGTTAGGTTGACTAAATACTGCAATTTGGAAAGAAGAAAAATAGATGTAACATATCTGGAATCACATGAGGATTTCAAAAGTAGCAAAATAATTGGGGGTTGCCATTTAATATTTCAGGGGTAGTTGCCCTGATGGTGAAGGGGTTGAATGTAAGATACCCACAAACATCTTAAAAGTTGTCCCCCTTGATATACAAATTGACGCGTTTCGCCAAATTTTCATAATGTCATCTGTTGAAGAAATATTGAGTGCTGCCCGTTTTTAAATTGTCACCCTAAGGATACGGACATGCCGAAGATAAATGGATGTGCGAGGACTGCGAGGTGGAGGTGGCGGTCGCGCCACATTCATCCTTATGAGACCGCACATCAGGCGAGGTCCGAGGGGGGGTCACAGGGATCATGACCCCCCCCCAGCCCCAAAAAATCTGCACCACGTACTGTATCTCGGCAGACTCATCGCGATAATCACGAACGAAGAGGAATATTACCGAAGAACTGTTTGTATTCCATTACTAGACAGCATAACGAATGATCTGAAAGACCGCCTTTCTAAAGATACTTTGAACCTGTTTGGCTTAGGTATTTTAATGCCAAAATCAGAATACACCCTTCTACAATTGAAGTTTGTGACAATGACTTATATCCTAATATCAAGATTTTACTGAAGATTTTGGCAACCCTCCCCATTAGCGCCGCCACAGCAGAAAGTTCATTTTCTACTTTGAGGCTCCTGAAAACTTGGCTAAGAGGAAGAATGTCAGAAGAGAGGCTAACGGACTTAGCTCTTTTGAATATACATCCCGAAATCTCTCCTAACGCGTTGAAAATCATCAACCGATTCTCCAAATCCAATATAAGATTTTCTTTTAGTTTGTAACTGAATCTTTCGTTAACTTTGCCATAAATAAATGTTTTTATATACAGTGAGGACGTAAAAAGACCTCCCCCCCCTTTTACGTTTGAACGGAACAAGCTAGCGAGGTCGGGTAAAATTCAGGCAAAAAGGTACCTTTTTTACTACTATTTGGCATGAAAATGGTTGTGGTCACGTGACCTAGTATCAAGTGGGCACCATCAACTTTTTTTTTTCAAATTCAAAGAGGGGTCACGTGGTACCTTGTTTTGAAGTCCTTTAGATTCTCTATCCAACACCGCTTCGTTTGTACAAATCGGCCAAGCCGTTTCAAAATGACAAGCGTTTGAAATTTGCTTCAAATATTAATATTAATGCATAAAAAATCTGAATAAATTTTAATTGCAACATGATTTCAAGTAGCAATTGTAACAAGTGCTCAAACATGCTCGAAATGTTCATCGTTCACTTATTGACACTGAAAAATCGGTTTTGGAATTCAATCCGAACGTGATTTACTGTTTCCCAGGTATACATTTCAAACGCTTGTCATTTTGAAACGGCTTGACTGATTTTCACACACAATGCAGAGTTGGATAGAGAATCGAAAGGCCTTCAAAACAAGGTACCACGTGACCCCTCTTCACATTTAAAAAAAAAAGTTGAAGGTGCCCACTTGACACTATGTCACGTGACCACAACCATTTTCATGCCAAATAGTAGTGAAAGAAGTACCTTTTTGCCTGGATTTTACCCGACCTCGCTAGCTTGTTCCGTTCAAAGGTTAAAGGGGGGGGAGGACTTTTTACGTCCTCACTGTATACTATACGCTTTATTTGTTTTTTGTTCCGTTAGTTCAGTCAGAAGTCGAACGGGCAGGCGATCACACTTGTAATCAAGAGGTCGTGGGTCAAATTCTGCTCAGTGCATGGTATAACATATGGAATGGAGCCTAAATGTCACAGTGGTTTGATTTCCACTTCTTCAAACTGGAGATCCTGCCGCACAAGCCTTTCAAGTGCTTCTGAGGGTTACTTTAATAGCTTATGTTAATTGAGTAAAATAAAATGAATGAGTTATCTAAGAAGAAAATAAAAATTGTCCTCTCCTGTTTCAAGTTGTCCCCCCCCCCCAAATGATTGGGCTGCGACCGCGCCTGCCGCACATACCAAGGATGTTTCACCCGCTCACCCTCGCTGCCTATCATCGCGTTTTACAGAGATGTCGGTGCCAGAACAATAGTAGATTGTTTCATTAGGATCGAAAGTGATCGCTGAACGCTCAGCCTCGCAAATGCAAAATTCGCTTGTCAAACAAAGTCACTTTTGATCCGAATGGAACATGCTATTTTTTCTGCAACCGAAACAATTAACTCAAATAAATATGTGAAATAACCACCAATGCCGTGCCATATGTACTAGTTGCAATGCAACAAATCAAAATCAATGCAAAATCCGTGTGGTGAGAATATTCTACATGCATTAACAGCAGGTTTATTCAATTTTCAAGGATGTTCGAATTGTAGTTTCAATATAAATACAACCACAGAGTGACTCTAATGGCAAATACCGCGCCAGTGTCAGGTATAGGAACAAGACCTGTAAAATGTTAGGTTAGTGAGCATATCAACAATAATAATAGCGATTATTTATTCCTTTCCATACAACACTGTGTTTGACTTGATAATCAAATAGAGGTAAACAATATCGTTGATTGAGACAAAAAACTCTTGCTTGCCGTGATTTATGGAAAAAAATAGGCAAGTGGACAATTTTTTTTTTCTCAAATAGAATTATAGAATTTTTCGGTCGATTTTTAGGTGCTCAAATCATCAATAATGCCACGGTAATTTTCAAATGGATAGAAATTTACCGCGAGTAAAAACTGATGTCACGAATTCCTGAGTAGGTGCAGACCATAGCACAGTTGCCATGTGCTGAAATACGATTGGGAACTTCAGAAATATTAGTTATTCAAACAATAATAAATTATCAATTATGTATTGGTAATATTCCTATTTTTGGCAATCAAAATCAATTGTCTCAAAATGTTCCCTTATGATTTGTGACTTATTGCTTATATATATTTGTGTAAATAGTATTTTAAATTAATTCACACTTGTGGGCGTGGTCTTGTCCCTTCTCATCATTCAACAAAATGTTGCTGAGTCTCCAACATTTACATGACATTTTGTTATGGAGTATTAGACATATTTGGACATGCTGGTTGCTCAAAAGAGTCAAGAATTAACTATAATATCATGGGTTCCTCCTATTATGTTTTATTCAACGACAGGACTCTTACATCTTATTGATAACTTGATTATAATTGGTGACTTGACAACGTTGGCTCGTGAGTGGGAATGGAAGATTATCTAACCAATAGCATAAAAGCTGACGTCACCATTTATTCGACGTCTTGCCAAATGGTGGCCATGACCATAAGTTTGAAATATGCTCTGAAATTAAACTACTTTGAACAACGCATACACTCATTATTTACATGAAAAAAGTGTGAAATTTGTTGCAACAATTAATTTAGATCCCCCAACCATACAGTGTAGTAATTGAATGCCAATAATTCATTATAAGTCCACTTGCTCATTCCCATCCACCTGTATTTTGAAATAGATATGATTTTTTTCTGAAATTCAGAAAAAAGGGCACTGTGGTCTATTCTTGCCAGACAAAATATTCTGAGATATATACAATTTATTGAGGACCCTTAGAGGAATACAATACTGGAAAATTGTTTCATCCAAGGATATATTTTGGAGGTTACAGAAATTTCATGACCAGCCACCAGTATAAATTAGTAATATATGACCATTGCTGGTGTGGTGCCTGGAATAATTGGGGAGTGGCCGGAAAGTGAAAAATATGTGAAAACTGTCCTCTTCAGATACCATCTATCTATACCAAATCTCATTTTGATACACCTTATGGTCTAGAAGTTATGACTTGTCTAATAGATTCATTGACACCAGGTATATTTAAATTATATATCATAAGTGTTAATGAGACCTGAGTTGGTAACATTTTCCAAATCTCATTTGATCACATGCATGGAGGTGATATTATTATTAATCAATTTACCAATAATATTGACTTGACATCTACAACTCAACATTAAATTAACTTATCAACTTAACATTAACTTAACAGCAACTCAACATTAACTCAACAATAGCTTAACATTAACTCAACATTAGCTTAACATTAACTCAACATTAGCTTAACATTAACTCACTATCAAATTGACATTAACTTAACATTAACTCAACATCAACTTAACATTACCATAGCATTAACTCAATATTGACTTAACATAAACTAACATCAACTTAACATTACCTCAACATTAACTCAACATTAACATGCATTAACTTAACATTAACTCAACATATGTGTATTTATGTGAATTCATTCAAGCAAAATTCAAAACTTAAATGCATTTTAAACTAAAACCAATAATATAAAACAATGAACTGTAATGTAGGTGTTCATGCAAGGAACTAAAAAATATAAATTGAAACTGAGAAAGATGGCCAACATTCAAAAAGAAATGAATTTCTTGCATAAACAACTAGCAGCACTTGGCAAAGATCAAACAGCTGATGAAAGGTTATTAATTGATGTTGCATGAACACTAATATACTCTTGATTTAAAATTCATCTAAATCTTAAATTCATTATAATTTAGTTGATATTGCATTAATCGACCTTCAGTCTTATTAGTGTAAGAAGAATGTAATGTGAGACTAACAAAAATGAATGTCTGTACAGTGATAAGTATATTAAAATATCATAATTTAGTATTATAATCATCCATACATCATGTAGACCAAACAAAGACCATCTGAGTGTGCAGGAATATTCCCACACTGTTCTCAGTTTCACATTGCTATGGTGTTATGACATATTTTCTAAGCAACAACACACAACACAGTGTGCTGCTTTCATAGATGTTCCTAAGAGAACAAGTTTTCTTTAATAGCCTGAGAAGTAGGATGTATGTATACTATGAAAATGTGTTTTTTATCTAAGAATGGCAAGTTGTCAAGTTGACATGGGTGGTTTTGTTCAACCTGTTGTTCAAGTGAGGTGGATTAGCTTTTCTCAATTTTAAGCAGCTGTGTGCTTGTGCTAATAAGAATAAACGAAACTAAAAGGAGTAAGACTAAGATTGATATCCTGGGAAATATTACTGTTTAATGAAGAATTCACAGAAATAAGTAACTATACCCTCCACCCAACATCCCCTAGCCATCTTCTTCAAATTCAAGCACAAAATCAGTTTGATGCCAGGTTTTAGGTGAGGTTTTAATGCATCTACTCTTCAATTTGAACATACAGTAAAAACCATTTCTGCAAATATAACATTCCAGAAGCTGCAAACTCTCGAGCAAACTCTTTACCTATCTTTACCACAACAACTTTGACAAGAAAATATCAACTGTCCTTCAACTTCCACAACCACTATGATGAATATATTATGCATTAAAAGGTGAAGATAAAAATTATCGGCCTATTTCGACAAGCAAAATAGTTAATTCTAGGTTAATTCTCAATCATTGTTATCTTACGTCGAAGAAGTCCAGAAGTCCGTTCTATAAAAAAAACAATAATTTGAACTCACCTCTCCACTTTCTGCTGCTGGCGAATTCTCCAAGATATTATAGATGATCGGCGGTAATCCAGGTTCCCCAAGCAGGGAAAAACCAAATCCAGAACTTTCACTGCGATTTAAGACGACTAATAACTCTTCTGCCAGTTCAGCCATGGTCAGACACCATCGATTTTAAAAACATTAAAAATAGGGATTTATAAAAACAGACATTTTCTCAAACAGCAGAACTAGAGCCAGAGGCACAAAACACATTTATTTCCACTTCCAAGTTCCACTCCACTCCCACATCCATTCAAAAATAGACACATGACATGTTGACATGAAGACCATCAATTCCATCATTATGACAGGAACTTGACGTATGACATGTTTACAATTTTGTTCTTGTGGTTGGTGACTGATCTGAAGTCCGCATGGTCCTGGTTGAAAAGTTTTAGGTTAGGGTTTTGGATGATCTGACTGAAATAATCAAAGATCAAAGTCCAAACAATTTTTTTCGTTATTATTGATCCAATTTGTGAAGTTATATCAGAACAACAAATAAAATGCAACCCATAGCATACATAGTGAAGGTTGCAATTCCTGATTATTTGGCAAGTTTACCAGTTCCAGACACTTTTGGAGGTTGGTTCAGGTTAGGATGTAAGTATTTTTGCGATTTTTTGATACATTCATGATACTTGAATACTGTGATTGCATAGTTAACTATCCCATCAAAATTTTCAGTTAAAGTTGGTCAATATTGATAATCTCCTGAAAATTTCCTTCATTTCTTACAATACTAGCAGGAAATGGTTCACTAAAAGGCCTGATTTGCGGTGAATCTATGCAAGGATGAATGGACTACTTATTATTTATAAAATTTATTATGAGATTGAAGTCAAAAAACGTCTGGCTTTCTTAAAAAAAATCTATCATCTTGTTAGTTTCAATACTCTATTCCTCTGAAATTTTCAGTTAGGGATTGGCTATCTCTTGTTCCTCCAACTGCCCTAGCTGCTGGTTTCACCTACATATCATACAGGGCATTTTGTCCCCATGGTCGTCCATCCCCATGTTCAAGGGTCAACCCTTCTATACTAAAGAAAAATGACAAAGTTGTTGATACTGTTGATGTAGAGGATATTAGTGAAAAGGCTGTATTTTGTAGGTGCTGGAGAAGTAAAAATGTGAGTACCATTTATGACAAATCTTCAAATTTCATCAAGCAACATACTATCAACAAAATAAAAACATGAAAATATATGGGGTATCCTAACATTCACAACTCTTACATCTACACAAAAAAACCACCCTAGAGAAAATAGAATGAATGCCTTGCCACTGCCATAGATTCAATTCATGCTGATCCCTGATATTGTCACATCAATTTGAAGTCATTTTCACCCCAAAAAATAAAAAAAATTGTAAATTTTTCATTTTCATTGGAAAAAAGTTATATTATAGATGGAATTCATGCTGATCCCTGATTTTGTCACATGGAATTTTCTCCATGTTCACCATAAAAATCGGAAGTCTGTCATTTTCATTGGAAAAAAATATCTGGCTATGTATATTTTTCATAAAAAAATACATAAGGTATAACAGATTGGACTCATGCTGTCCCCCGATTATGTTGCATTGATTTTATCCCATTTTCACCCCAACAAAGTGAAAAAAAATGGGAATTTTTCATTTTAATGAAAAAAAAAATATCTTGATATGTATTTTTTGATTCTGTTTCCCCATTTTGTCACACCGCAATTTCTCATTTTCATTGGAAAAAAATATCTCCTGTTGTATTTTTTTTAAATATATAAGGTATAACAGAGATTGAACTCATGCTGTCCTCTGATTTTGGTGCATCAATTTTACCCCATTTTCACTCCAAAAAAAAACGAAACAATCGGCAATTTGTCATTTTCCTTGGAAAAAAATATCTTGCTTTGTATTTTTTTCTTAAAAAAATACATAAGGTATTATCAGATATTGAACTCATGCTGTCCTCTGATTTTGGTGCATCAATTTTACCCCATTTTCACCCAAAAAAAAAAACAAAACAATCGGCAATTTGTCATTTTCCTTGGAAAAAAATATCTTGCTTTGTATTTTTTTCTTAAAAAAATACATAGGGAATAACAGAGATTGAACTCATGCTGTCCTCTGTTTTTGGGGCATCAATTTTACCCTTATGGAAAAAATTGGCAATTTGTAATTTTCATTGAAAAACAATATCTTGCTATGTATTTTTTTCAATGCCACAAAATCAGGGATCAGCATGAATTCAATTCATGATGTAACTCATCAAGATATTTTTTTCCAATGAAAATGGGAATTTTTTTTTTTTTGGGTGGAAAAAGGGTAAAATCGATGCAACAAAATCGGGGGACAGTTCAATCTCTGTTATACCTTATGTATTTTTTAAAACAAAAAATACATAGCAAGATATATTTTCCTAATAAAAATGACAAATTGCCGATTCTGTTCGATTTTTCTGGGTGAAAATGGGGTAAAATCAATGCCATCTAATCAGGGATCAGTATGAATTCAATTTCTGATATACAATATGTATTTTTTCATGAACAAAATACATAGCAAGATATTTTTTTCCAAAAAATCAAGGGACTGCATGAATTGAATCTCTATGTATTTTTTATCAAAAAAATCCTTAGCAATATATTATTTTCCAATGAAAATGACAAATTTCCAATTTCTTCTCGATTTTTGAGGTGAAAAAGGGGTAAATTCTATGTGACAAAATCAGGGATCAACATGAAATCAATCTATCATATACATATAAAAAAAACAGATAAGGTATCTGTTTTTTTTTACAAAAAAAATACATAGCAAAATATTTTTTTCTAATAAAAATGACAAATTGCCGATTTTGTTCGATTTTTCTGGGTGAAAATGGGGTAAAATCAATGCCATCTAATCAGGGACCAGTATGAATTCAATCTCTGATATACAATATGTATTTTTTCATGAAAAAAATACATAGCAAGATATTTTTTTCCAAAAAATCAAGGGACAACATGAATTGAATCTATGTATTTTTTTATCAGAAAAATCCTGAGAAAAATCCTCAGCAATATATTTTTTTCCAATGAAAATGACAAATCTCCAATTTCTTTTCGATTTTTGGGGTGAAAAAGGGGTAAATTCAATGTGACAAAATCAGGGATCAACATGGAATCAATCTATGATATACCTTATCTTTTTTTTTTTTTTAAATACATAGCAAGATTTTTTTTTCAATGGAAATGAAAAATGTCCGATTTGTTTGTTTTTTTGTTTATTTCCAAGGTGAAAATGTGGTAAAATCTCGGGTAAAATCAATGCGAAAAAATCGGGGAACAGATTGAGTTCAATCTCTGATATACTTAATGTATTTTTTTACAAAAAAAATACATAGCAAGTCATTTTTTTACAATGAAAATACATAGCAAGAAATTTTTTCACAATGAAAATGACAAATTACCGTTTTTTTTGTTGTGAAAATGGGGTAAAATCGATGCGACGAAATCAAGGGACAGCATGAGTTCCATCTCTGTTATACCTTATGTATTTTTTTTATGAAACAAGTACATAAAAAATATTTGTTCCAATGAAAATGACAAATTGCCGATTTTTTTTCGATTTTCGGGGTGAAAATGGGGTAAATTTGATGCGACATAATCAGGAGACAACATAAATTCAATGGATGATTTGCCTTGTGTTTTTTTTTTCTAAAAAAAAAAGTTTTTTTTCCAATAAAAATGACAGATTTTCAACTTTTTTCGATTTTTGGTGAGCAAGTAATGACCTGTCGAATTACCACTTTGATGTTTCAATCTCTGAGGAAGTTAACACTATAGATGATGCGGTTTCTAAATTGTTAGGTACATTATCAACTTGTGGTTTAGAATAATTTTCATAATTTGGAAATACTGGTTCCAGTGCCGGATTTATACTCCCCTACGCCGGGGGGGCTAACTGTTATGATGCCGCCGCGCCGCCGCCAAATATTAAATTTCATATAATCCTTTCACTGCTTTTTTTACAGCATATAACAATAACATGAAATTATTATGTACAAAGAGTCAAATTATATTCACTTCACACATTAAACATAACAACAAACAACAAAAATTTTTTTCAAATGAATGCTAAAATGGCATCACCAAAATTCAGATTTAATAACATGTCACTGTTGATACTTAAAATTGATAAGCTATTTAATGTATCCTCTATCATGGAAGTCCTAAGGTAGAGCTACTTCCACGTTGCAAAAAGTATCTGTGATCTTGTATTTGTGCAAAAGCGCCATCGACGATCTTGCATTGAATATTTCATCACTTTTGTTTCCGGCAATAGAATTCAGGAAATATTCCAATTGAACACATTCATTGCCGAGTGAATCATCTACATCATTTGGGTATACCTACATCAATCAAAACACGTGCTTTATCTACGATGACATCATCTGGCAGAGATGCAATTGAGAACAAAAATGCGAATGTAGAATATTTACATCACCCACCAAATGGTCGACTGCTTTGAGGAATACCTGGGTTCGCATTCTGGTCTGTGGTGTCAATAAAGCTTCAGTGTCAGCTTCTTTTCAAGAGCTAGTTTCCTCTTATGTGTTCTGACCTCCTTATAGTTAAGTTCTTTCGAGAGTAATTGTGTCTCTTTTCGTAAAAATTGAACTTTTATCCTCAATGAAATATATAAACTGAGACACGTGACTTGATCTGCTCTCTCTGATATATCATACCAGAAAACAACCAGAATAGCAAACTCTAGTGTAGATACTTTTTTTGCCAGTGCATCAGCTTGACAGCAAATTTGCATCTTTTCCCCTCTGTTCAGGCTTATTTTATGAAGTGTATCTTTAATCACCCAACTTACCATTTCCGTCTTGAGATCGTGAAGTTCCCGGAGACGATTCTGTCAGTTCTGATTCTGTCCCATTTGAATTTAGAAAAAATGAATGTATTTTAGGGCATTTCTTGATAACTTCGTCTAACTGCCTTTGTTTATTGATCTGCAGTTTCCAGAATGCACCACCTTCTTTTTCACTCATTTTTTTAAAATTTCAGTTCCAATATTTATTCATTATTAGTACCATTACCAACAATACCAACGACAACCTATTAAATAGTAAACTCTGATTTTTTTTCTCATTGAGTTAGACGAATGACGAAATTACCCCTACTCTACTGAGTATAATGCGTTTTTTTCTCATCATCAAATAAAAGTATGTAGCGCCGTTGATTTTATATTGTAGCGTCCAAGACACAGCTGACGCTAGATTAGTGCATGTTTTGATTTTCACAAAAACCTAATTGCGCGTTTGCTTCAAAAGACGACTGAAGAGGCGGCATATAAAAAGCAAGAAGCAATAATATATTTGTCGCCTCGTCGGCGACGACTGTATTGTTGCTTGCTTCTTTTCCTTTTCTTTACCGCCTCTTGAAATTCACCGCCGGGGGCTGATAGTCCCATACCCCCCCCCCTAAATCCGGCACTGACTGAGTGCTGAATGTTCACCAGTACTGAATGTTCACGTTGAAATTCCCAAAAAGGGGTCCTGAGGGGTTAATTCTTGCCCGACAAGATATTGTGAGATATACAGACTATCAAATATCAGAGGACCACATTCACAGAAAAAAAAACTTCCATCCACGTACATTTTGAACAAGTTATGATTTTTTTTTGAGTATTCAGAAAGTGGTCCTGTGGGGTTGGTAGATATTATGAGATATACAGATCATCGAGTACCATCAGAGGAACATATTCATAGAAAAAAACTCCCATCCAAGTGTATTTCGAAAACTTTATGCTTTTTTAAGTATCCAGAAAGGGTTCCTGTTTGGTTAATTCTTTTCCGACATAATATTGTGAGATTATGTGAAATTATCAAGTACGAGTTTTAGTAATTTCTTTGCCAGCCACGAGTATAAATTATTGGTAATAGACTACCATTGGTGGTATGGCGTGTGCCTTGAATAATTGGCGAAGTCGCGGCTGGAACTTGTGGCTGGTTTCATATTGATAGTCATATTCATGAAATCCACATAAAATGATGTATCATTTATCAAAGCCGTGGGTAAAAGGATCATGGTCAATATCCCTTTGGATAAGATTTTGGTTCAATAAAGTACTATTATTATTAATTATATAAGGTATTACACCTAGTCAGAATCTATCTCTTCATCTATTATAAACTGGATGATAAAAATCACTGAAAAAAGAAACTAACATAGCTTGACTTCTAAAAAGTGTATTTCATTATTTTGAAGTACTAGCCCAAACTTGCTCACTGTCGCAAATAGTTTTCTCCTCAGAGCTCTGTACTTTTTTTGAATAATTATTGAAATTCACAATATTTCATAACATGAAAAACGCGGGACAGCGTGTGGCGTCATATACCGCGATCAATCCATTGCAATTATATATGATAAGACTTATAACCGGGTGAGTCAATAGTGTTTTCTCTTTGGATATTAGCCAAACCTTCAGATATACCGGGTGAGACAGGGTATCGGACCACCCCTGTAACTTCTGCATTCGTGAACAGATTTTTCTGAAATTTGCCAGCAATTTCGTTTTTTCAAATAAAACACCCTGTATATTTTCGCATATTCTTGTTCAACAGGTCAAAGCGAGTGCAATCCTAATGTCAAATGAAATTTTTTCCAAAATGTTGAAATTAAAATCGTAATTTTATTTTACCTCGTAGAAAAATGAAATGTGGTCAAAGATATTCACAATGAGTCCCACATACTAGAGAAACGTACATTTTCCGGAAAAACTATTTTTTGTGTCACTTATCAATGAATTATTTCAGTCGCATCGCATTTTGATTAATAATTTTTTTTAATGGATTTTAATGGAACCCCAATGGGCCTACATGTCTCTCTAGTCTAGAACATACATTAAGGAAAAAAATGACATATCATGTTTGTATTTCGATGCAGTAACAAATTGTATACATTCGAAAATCAACAACTAGTTTCATGACTTCCCTTGCAGTTCGAATAATTTTCCAAGTAAGCTGTGGAAAACATTTCTGAATCTTGTCATAAAATTGTTACCTGTTACTTGTTACCTGTTGAAGTTGAATATGAAAAAATATACAGGGTGTTCCGTTTGAAAAAACGAAGTTGTTGGCATTTCCAGAAAAACCGGAAGTCCGCCATATTGGATTGTGATGACATGACTGTACCAAATTTCAGAAAAATCCGTTTACGAAAGCAGAAGTTATAGGGGTGGCCCGATACCCTGTCTCACCCGGTATAGAAAAAGTTCAAACACAACAGTTGAAGGGTTGATGAGAACTATCACCTTAAATTATTTTCATATCTATATTGTGTTCGAATTTCAAGATATCGGCTGAAGATGAGCCTTTTTCAATGGGACACCCTGTTTTGAATTCCATTTTCGAATGCACTATCAACATTGCTACACATCACTGTTTTTTGTCTGTATTTGACTTCACGGTTGCCAAGTTCAACTTTTTCCGTAAAAAATTGATTTTGTAAGAGTCCTATAAAAATGTTATTGTGATTCTGAATTTCAAGATATCGGCTGAAGATGAGTCTTTTTCAATGGGACACCCTGTATTCAATTGCATTTTCGAATGCACTATCAACATTGCTACACAACTGTTTTTTTTGTCTGTATTTGACTTCACGGTTGCCAAGTTCAACTTTTTCCGTAAAAAATTGATTTTGTAAGAGTCCTATAAAAATGTTATTGTGATTCTCATTTGGACATTGGAACGAAATAAATTCTCAGGAGTAGAGTCCAAGATGTGTTCCATTGGCTCCTACAAAATCAGTTCAAAATATTGAACACTCTGTGAATGATAGACGGAAAAACTTGAAGCAATTGAAGAGGCCAAAACCTTATTATTTCAAATGGAATACCATGTATTCTTTATACATTAACGGTTCTAGATCCCAATTACCTTAAAAGTGTATGAAGTTTGTCCTATACCTACCTATATAATACCGTTTTCGATATGTATGGATTTCTATTTCAAATCTGATATACAGTGTGTGCGATTTCAGCCTGCATCACCCTCCTGATTTGGAACCCGTCGACCGAATTTCAAATGGAAATGTGGACAGATCTGAAATATTCAGATTTTCAAGGCCTACTTTTGTTTGTTGAAGGGGTCAATGTTCCGAGAACGCCTATCAGGCAATTTTTTTCGAAACAGTGACTAACCTATTCGAATTAGGCATAGCTGAAATACAAAATACATACAAAATTTTAACGCAAAATCTCATATGCGGTGTTAGTTATCCAATGACAAGTTTTGATATTATTGATTTTTCGATTCACCCTGTATCAAGATCTAAGGAGTTGATATAACTGGTGAAGTAGTCATTCAAAGATACGAAGTTGAATCGTTGTATTTTCTTCAGGTCATAGGTCAACCAAAAATTGATGAACTTGAAGTTGAGATTTTTTTTATTATGATCCATTTCATTTTTCCTGGAAATATAAATATTGGTAACTAATCCGAGGAAATATTCTCTATAAATAACAATTCTCATTGTAAATTCAAATCTTCATTCCATTTCTCCAAATTCGGTATATTATTATGATCACATCAAGCATCAGTATATCTCCTTGCAGTCTTTTGAGAATGTTTGTCATTCTATTTGTGGAATATTCGACAGCTCTTTATCAATCGAGAAGATTTTCTGTGTGGTGAAGTGTGTGAAAAACGGTTTACTTGAGATTTCAAAATGGTGAACCTCAACTTTAGTTTAATTGATATTTGGTCGACTGAGAGATCTTCCTGTAGAAGTTACAACGATGAAACTTATTTTCTAAGTATTCGATGTGTTCCTTCATTGAATGACTACTTCACCGGTAATATCAACTCCTTAGATTTTACTATATTAAGGAATTTTTGTTTTTGAAAATTGGTCGACGGGTTCCAAATTAGGAGGGTGTTGCGAGTTGAAATCGCACTCCCTGTACATATATTTTTTTTCAGTGGCCATACTGTGATGGTAGCCATGTATCTCACAACAAGGAAACTGGTGATAATGCAGGACCTTTAATAGTGAAGAAGTAATAATGTAAAAAACAAAGGTAGTAGCTAGCTGGCTATAGTGAAGGTTTGCTGAATTATTGAGATTTATACAAGTGTTCAATCTTTATTATATGAAATATGTTGATGGTTTATAAATCCGGTGCAGAGGTGTATTATTTGTCTAATTGGTGCCTTCAATTCATTACTCTTTTGTGCAATGAGATAACACTCAAAAGCATCCAAATAATTTTAAAATACTAACTTGAAATTGAAGTGGAACTTTATGGAACATTAACTTGGTACTTGAAAATAAACCAATATACATATACTTATCTATCATTAGACAAATTTTCGCAAGTACCTACCTTTTGGAATTGGAAGGTTATCAATATCAAGAATTCCAAGCTGTATACATACATAAATATTTTCAACCATGACTATAGAACTTTCCAGTTGAGAATAAAGTGTGTGATTGTGATAAGATCACCAACATAACCTACTATCTAGACCGCTGATACCATAAGACAAAAGCTCGTCTACTTACGGGATCAAACTGAATCCCATGGAGTATGCACTTTTAGGGCTTGTCATATATCTTACTCAATGTCATCTTGACTCTTACTTATGTTTCCAAAAACCAAGAAACATAAATCGATGTTATGAATGATTGTTTCTAGTTTGATCAATTTCAAATTTCTATGAACAGTATAGGATGACGATCGAAGAACTAGAGGTGAATGATCAGAACTGTCAGAATAACAGAAACCTAATTCTCAACCCTTTGACTGACTCCAATAAAGCCAGCAAATGGCAGCAATAAGTTTTGAAGATTATTCAAACCACTAATAACAATTTTCATTCCTTTATTTGCAAGAACATTGAAATTGACTTATTTCAACTACATCGCATAATTTGATTAATTTGACATTCACTTATTTCAATTACATCGTATAATTCGATTACTTAATGTTTCCTTACAAGTGTACAACTGTTCTAGCCAATAACTTTTCCTGTAATCTACTTCCAAGACTCTGATCAACTTGAGAAAACACCTCCACCGCTCTCTTCTTGATGTTATCGTTAGCTAAGCAGATCTTGCTAGCCAAATTGTCCACTAGTCTCTCTCTGCCTCCATCATCTAACACTCGGTTCCAAAATACGCGAGGCTGTGTGTAATTATCGTCATCCCCGAGATCATAGTAGTCAATTGCTCCTGAAACTGCTTCTGGCGGAGGAGTCCATTTCTCTGCTTCAGGATAGACATCGGGCCCACCGAAGCTATTGGGATGATAGTTTGGCGCCCCATGTTGGTTCAGCAAGGCGTCGCGTCCGTCTCGCTGGAAATTTGCTACCTAAAACGGTGAAGCATATTAGGCATGTTCTTTTTAACACCACATTTTCATCATTGATGGAGGTGACGTCACTCTCTGATGCATCAAATTGTTGGGAGAAAAAAACGCAGTTATTTGACATGACAATCACAACTGTTTTTTCCTTTAGTTATTTTTCTTTTCGTGATTTGATGGGGATTTAGATTGTTTTCAATTATAAGCTCAGAATTGGTGAAAACTAATGGAAAATGGAAAATGATGTATTAAAAGTGTTATTGGAGTCCTTGTCTCCAGATCCAGAAGTTCTAGCAGTTCTTCTGATAGTTCCGAGGATGAAATATTGGTTATGTTGGGGAGTAGACGAGATAGGTTGAAAATTCTCAACAACCTATATACAAAACAGTGCATTAAATTATGATGATTTGGATGAAGTCATTAATAAGAACTCTATGTTAGTACTCAAGTTTCCTGAATGTTCGCACTGATTTCTTGAAATTCAGGATTGGAAAGAAGAAAGTATACCTACCACTCGAAATTCCTTCAATTTTTGTTGGTGTCAATTTAATGCAGCTATTCTTTTATTTGCACATTTTAGGCTGATTTCGATAAATTCATCCATATTTTTTCTTAGGCATAGCAAACAGCTTTCAAATCCAATATTTTATTATATATTAGTTTTTTGAGGTTTTGCTGGCGCTGTCATTTCAAAGGCCACAGAAATTCGTACACCATCTCTGTACATCGGTGGAATGGTTTGCAATTTTGGTTGACACAACAGTAATAAATGAACGCGTAGTTACGTCAAACTGGAATCCATCAAAGAATATATGAACGCAGTTGGTGGATTAATGGAGCCACCGGTGAATAAAAGAACGTCCCTATTCTTCTTAGAGAGGTGATGGCATCAAATTATACGTAAACAAATGAAATTCTCGCTTAAATCATCTACTGATAGATCTTCATAAAATTACCCATATAGCACTCGACGTCGTGAGGACGTCCATTTCAGGTCAAATTTACGTCTGAACGTCCGGGACCTTTTCATGACGTACTGAAAACGTCCATTGCTAGACATACTGGCTACGTACTATATCGATGTACTGATTACGTCCACCTCTGGACGTTGTCGACTTTTTGTGGACGGAATTGAATACATTGTATAATGATATATTTTAAATCATTGCATATAATTTCTGCCCTCGATCTCTGATATCTGTTGCAAACATGAACATAATACAATTCTCACAATCTGCCGTGAACATCTAATTCTATGAAAGTATCGATGTGAAGGGTCAATCGACATTCGCACATAATCTCTTTTTGTATACTGGCCGGACGTTCTCAAACCGTTTTGGGAGCGTACTCGTGCTATATGGGGATCGATTGTTCAACGAATCAAATGCGAGTATTATTCAGATACACCAACCACGCAAAGTGTCTCTTTAAAATGTTCGTTTTCGCTGGGAATTTCGCGAAATATTTATAAAAATGATCAAAAGCCGAATTACATTCGTGTTGGTATTTTTTTTTTAATACTTTCAACTAGATGCACGAATATAGCAATAGCAACAAAGACCAAAAAATTACCACCACTTGTCTAATTACTGTTGACAATAGCATCATCAATGGCGTTCCTTTTAGCATGCCCTGTCATATTTTTAATCAAAGAAACGAGTTTTTATAACGAAAATAATGTCACAATAAGCCGCGTATAGCCAGAGTATCAAAATTGTTCACATTTAAAAGAAATGTGTGTTACAAAGGTGTATAGGATAACTGATATTCAGCTCTTACAAACACCAACACCTTTATTTTATACTAATGAATATAACACTTCCCAAGTAAGTATATTAGATCTCACGAGTATTCAACTCTTAACTGTCTGCCTGATTCATTCTTCGTCCCGTAGCCAATTCATATCGCTGAGTCAGAGCTGATAAATACAATTATATAAACTCAACATATGTGATTTTGTTTGAAATTAATCAGGGGCGTAACATGTGTTCCTAGCATACTAGATTTTTGATTTCCTCATGTTTCTGATTCAAATTCATGTATCATACTGCTAGAAAAAGTGATAAATGCAACCCATCAAAAATACACCATTTTTATGTGAATTGCAATTTTTAGTGATATTGAAGGTTGCACGGATCACTCACCATAATCAAAACCACTGAATAATTCACAGGGTGCGCAGAATAGTGTGGCAAAAAAGTGAATGTGGGACATTGAGAATCTCAATTTTTTCCCCATTTTTTCTTTTCATAATTCATTTCTAGTCTTGAAATGAGCACTAATTATTCTGATAAGGTTCTCTATACCAAAAACCCATAATTTGTAGAGATTCATCATTTGTAAACGTTCAAAATATGGCTCGTATTGGGTATAATAATGAAGAATTCGTTAATGTAGGTATGAGTTTTCCAAGGCAAATGTAATAAAACGATACCTTGATTATTATGATTTGATGCAGATGATGAATCTTACAGTAAACAATTTCAATTCATTTATTGACAGATATTTTGCAGAACCTACTAGAAACATAAAAAATTTCAAGCAGTTATTATCCAGAATTAAGTACTGTTTATGGAATATCTCCAAATTATTGGTTAGAATTGATTTATGAGAAGAAAAATGGGGTCTCCATTTGGAAACATTGATATTTTCCATGTTCCACATTCACTTTTTGGACCCACTTCTCTGCGCACCCTGTAAATTATTCAGTGGTTGTGATTATGGTGAGTGATGTGTTCAACCTTCACTATTCACGATTTAATCACTGCAGACCACTGAAAATTGCAATTCACATAAAAATATCGTATGTTCGATAGGCTGCATTTGTCACTTTTTATAGAAAAACTCGTCTAACTCAAAAACGGTTTATCATAAATATCAATTATGATTAACGAATTTGAATCAAAATCATTAGAGGAATTCAAAAATGTTGTTAAATACAGGGTGTCCATTGAAAATAACAAAGATTGCGTTTCTTCCGGAAAAAAACGGAAGCTATAGTTGAATTATCCGTGTTTCTCTCACTATTCCTACGAATTTTCAGAATCGTGCTTCTTCCATTTCTCCCTATTTATATCGCGTTAACTCATGAAGATATACCCTGTATAATGATCAAGAATAATTCAGTGCGAAAAAAGGCCGAGATACTGCGACGAGTGGAAAACGATAATATTAGAGAAAAATTAGAACTATGTCTCATTCACCTTGGTTATTGTTCTGTTTACTGGCAATTGTTGGAAATTTGCTCCTAATCGGTACATGTGGGCATCCGGATAAGCGAAGAGCCTTGCCTGCAACATTCTATCTGGTGAGGCACCGATTCCAGGAGTTAGATTATTCGGACTGAAAGCAAGTTGTTCCACTTCGGCAAAATAGTTGGATGGATTTTGATTGAGAACAAATCTTCCAACTGGCTGTAGAGGGAACTCATTATGAGGCCAAACTTTGGTGAGGTCGAAGGGATTGAAATTTTGTACTCTGGCCTGCTCAGGTGTCATAGTTTGTATATAAAATGTCCAAGATGGATAATTTCCCGTTGTTTTTCCTTCTTCTATGGCATTGTATAGGTCTCGTAAAGCATAATCTGGGTCTTGGCCTGCCAATATATCTGCTTGATTAGGGTCCAAATTCTTTATACCTACACAGAAATAAGTCATATACAGTTATCTCAACTATAGGTATTATGTAAAATGAAAATTTTCCGGTTATAATTATATGTTTCAGTTTCAATGTCCATACCTTGATCAGTTCTGTAAACGAATTTGCACCAAGTCAGTTTTCTGTTTTCACCTATCAAAGAGAATGTGTGGGAACCAAATCCGTGCTGATGTCTGTGCCCATCTGGTATGCCTCTATCAGAAAATAGGAACATAGTTTGATGTATACTCTCAGGTCGTAGAGTAATGAAGTCCCAGAACATATCCCAATTTCTTAGGTTAGTAACTGGATTACGTTTTTGAGTGTGAATGAACATCGGGAAGAGAATTGGCTCTCTCATGAAGAAAATTGGAGTGTTGTTCCCTACTATGTCCCAGATTCCTTCTTCTGAGTAAAATTTGAGGGCAAACCCTAAAAATATATAGATATTATTACTCGTGAATATATGTATATATGATAATGTAATAGGTATTGTATAATGAAGCCATCTGAAAATGTGAAATGTATAGGATAGGTTTCGAGAAATCAATTTAATAAATTCAGTAAAGACCACAAATACAATCATTAGGGATCACGAAATTTCAAAGTAATCTACTGATACTTCTTATGATACACTAAACTAAAGAAACTGGCAAGATTCGAATCGAATTAAATAATATACAGTGTGTCCAGCTTTTGATGAATACACCCTAATATCTCAGTCATTAATGATGAAATTCTCTTTAAATTTTGTTGGTGATTGTATGTTAAAACTATGACGTATTTGGCATAGTGAACAGTTTCATTCACCAATGTCGTGCGATGTTGAGGAGTACAAAAAAGGCCTTTATTTGGGAAAAGGATATTAGGACTTATTTTAAATAACATTCAGAATCAACATCCCTAAAAACCCCCCAATTAAAATTTTCAAAATCTCAAGAGCTAATTTAAGCAAGAAAAAATATTTCAGAATTCCGCCTTCAATGTTTACTATGCCAAGTGAGTACTTCATTTTTTTAACATACAATCACCAATAAAATTTCAAGGAAATCCCATCATTAATAACTGAGACTTAAGGGAGTAGTAAAGAAAAGCGGGATATTGAAATATTTCTTTTAGCTCTTGAGATTTTGAAAATATGGATTGGGGTGGTTTTTGGGGATGCTGATTCTGAATCTGATTAAAAATTATCTAAAATAAGCGCTAATATCCTTTTCCACGTTAAAAGTTTTTTTGTACCCCTCAACATCGCACGACAATGGTAAATAAAAATGTTCACACGTGGTTCCTGATTTTGAAGGTCTTTTCGATTATCTATCCAACACCGGTTCATTTGTGCAAATCGGCCAAGCCGTTTCAAACTGACTGGGCGCTCGAGATTTGCTTCAACTATTTTAATATCAATAAATGAAAAACCTGAATAAAAAATGCTCGAATTGTTCAGTGTTCACCGTTCACTTATTGACACGATAAAATCGGTTTTGGAAGTCAATCAGAACATTATTTATAGTTTCCGAGTTAAGCTTCAAACGCACTTGTAATTTTGAAACGGCTTGGTCGATTTTCAAAAATGAAGCAGTGTTGGATAGAAAATCGAAAGGCCTTCAAAACAAGGTACCACGTGACCCCTTATTACATAGATAAAATAAAAACTTAATGGTGCCCACTTGGCACTAGGCTACGTCACCACAACCATTTCCATACCTGAACATTGTGAGAGGTACATTTTTACCTGAATTTTAGCCGACCTCATTAGCTTGTTCCGTTCAAAATTCAAAGGAGGGGGAGGTCTTTTTACGTGCTCACTATACAGGGTGATTCATTATGAATGGGAAATCTCTAAACTTCAGATAGTAAACACCAAAATATGAAGAAATGCTCTATATAAATGTTGCAGATACAGGGCGGTGTTCAAGGGAACATTTAATTTTGAATGTCCTTAACTTTGGTCGAGCATTTACTTTGAAAATCTGTTTACTTGTTGGCGTTGTTAGTGATGTCATCATTGATTCATGTCTTTTTTTTACACTATCACTTTGCTAACTTCATAATTCAACATTATTAAAGAGCGAATAAAGCAGAAACCGTTAGAGCTGGACAATTTAAAAAATAATAATTTTTTTATGTAAAATTGAACGGCCTTTCAGATTTTTCACGTAGTTTGATCATCATTCAACGGACGAAGAAGATATGATGTAATTTACCGAAGTAACAGAGTGCCACTTGCGCCCTCTATGAGCAATCACAAAATAAGTTGCAAATTCGTATTCATCATGTCAGAAAACCTGAAACTACAAAATTTCATGTTCATGCTGTTAAAACTTGCGAAGTAATTGCGAAATTTTATACTAATATCTTCCCCAAGAACGCTCTGTATCTCCTAAACTAGCAACATTTTTATCAGGCATGCAGATAGCAGGAATTAAAATATTGAATACGTTTTTTTTATCGTCGTGGGGAAACTCAGCTACACTGCGTATTTTTCTTTTTCGAGCCTTCTGACGTCAGATATTCTTATTGGGACGCTAGTAGTGGATTGAACCTAATGAAAAATAAGTATCATTTCTTCAACGTACTTTGTGTTTTTCATTTGTTTTAATATCTTTCTCAGTTCCCGAGTTAGAGAGCAAATAATATCAGGCGCATCCTAGGCCGCATCATACTCGATTGGTATCATTGAACAATGTTATAGTTTATCCAAAAACAATTGCAGAGTCTCGTGCCGCAGTCACCACAAAGGGAACTTCAATCACGCCGACGACGCACAGTGCGAAATATTCTGCAATTTATATTGCATATACTTTACCATGGTGTGCTTTGGACATTGTTGAAGGTATGAAATTCTGCAATGAATTGTTCGTGTCCGTGATCTATTTAATGTTCAATTCGAATGATAATTTTGATGTAAGATAAACATTCAGGATGAAGAACTGTTATGCATAGTATAACATTATTCCAAATACTAAGGAAATTTAGGAGGATATCAAAACAAATGAAGCGCAGATAGCAATGTGAATAAATAAGAATCATTTTTCATCAGCTATAATTCACTATAAGCGTCCCAATGGAGCAAATCTGTAGGATTCCATATCAGAGGAGATGAAAAAAATAACACCTACAGTGTACCTCAGTTCCCTCTATTGATAAGGACTGTTCATATTGCCGATAGAAAAGTGCCACCCCGTATGATGGAAACAAGTGTCGCACGACAAAACAAAAAAATACGTGTGTAATATTTCAACTTTTGCTATCGATTGTCGAAGTTAGATGAGTTAAACCTGAGACACCCTGTATAGTTATGGACGTTGAGTTATATGTATTACGAACACATTTTGAAAAACAATATTTATGAAATGATAATATTATTGCTAGTAGATCGTTATTCGTAAGAGTAGATGTCGTCAAGACGTTTCAAAACTTCTTCTACACATGCCTTCAATAGTCTTTCTAATAATCAAATTAGAACTTACCTCTTGGATCTCTTACAGTATCGGCAGCTCCTAGATTTCCAGCTACTTGAGAAAAACGAACAGCAATTGGAGTTTTTTTGCCAATTGATTCGAATACTTTAGATACGGTGAGATGAGTTATATCATGAGTTACCTAAAAAAATTGAAAAATGTACTGAATTAGGTATATTTTGTATGACGCAAAGAAAAATGCTACTTTTTGCTTGATAGGGGTGGCTCGTATTATTTTTTACTTACTTTGGCTTAAAATACATTTTATAATATTTTACCTCAAAATATCCAAAAGCCCCGGCACCCTTAGCATGAACAACCCTTTCGGGAATCCTTTCTCTATGGAAATGAGAGAGCTGTTGCAATAAGTTATGATCCGTTAATGGGATTGGTCCATATTTTCCAGCCGTTAGGCTCGTGTCCTTATTAACCAGTAATATTCCAGCATCGTCAGTGCTATTGATGATTTTATTCTGAAATAATGATGATGTATGATTGTAACATCCTAGTGGCCGTTGATTTTTTTGCATTTGCCGCTTCCTACTAAGAACTATGGCAGTAATGATTGTCCAATATATGTCAAAAAATATGACAGCTAGACATCCTATCGATCTCTATTAACTGGGTGCATTTGAAATTGGAACGATGAATAATAGTTATTTATTATACAAGGGGAAAAAGTAGTTGATTTTAGCTCCAGGTTGTGTTGTCTTTCGACGCGTAGCGGAGGGAGACAAAAAACCGTGAGCTAAAATCTAATATTTTTCCCGTGTATAATACACTATTTTTTTCTGTGACAGAAGAAAGTACGAATCAATATTGAGAACATATTACATTATTTTGAAATCTGGAAATTATCGACGTGAAATTTTAAGTTTTTAATAGTAGGGACACCTGCGTTGTAGGCATCTTTATCATTCTTTTGAAGTAATCAAATATCTGATGTCACTTCTGTCAATCTAATTCTGTGATTTGGTTTCAAAAAATTGCGAATTTAGTGGTTGTTTAGTAATATACGTAACCGCGAAGTCGAATGGAAGATAAAAGGACTTGGAGTTCTTTCTCGGAGACGGTATTATTGACTCATTTTTCGGAACTATGGCACAACAAATGCCATCAACAGTGTATATATTTGTGATATATATCCGGAAAAAAGAACTCACTTTTTTCCCACGGGAAAACAGTTTTTTATGAAAAGTGACATTTTATAACCTACCAACAGAGATGAAATGCCAAATTATTTTCGTCACAGAAAAAAAGTTTTTTCATCTATCCTCTCAAGATACCACATCTTTTGACAATTATTATTAATCGTCCAGGAACATTGAAAAAGTCATTGACATTTCCGGTGCTTCTGATCTCTCCGAAAGATGCAAATGCTCGGGTTCGACTGTTAACCTAACCTACTTCATTGATCGCTTCAATTTCGGAAACACCCTATATATCTGAGTTCAGGAATGGAAGATCTTCACACAGCCTATGGCATAGAATGTTAGTTTGTATTTGCTCTATCTGCTAATTTTTTTTTCTGAGACTCACTGTTTCATCATGCGATGTATAATAGAGATATATCCTTCAAAAAAAAAATCTTCGGCAGGTTGAGAAACATTTACGAACATACCTCTCTCTGATATGTATTCTTCTTGAAACAATTGAAGTAGGTTCATCGTAATTTGTTGAAATTTGGCAGCGACCTTTATCTATTGAAACTGTTCAAGATGGCATATTATGAAAAAAAATTCAGATCCGGACTTGGAGATAATTCATATTTTATTGTTACATCGAAAAAGTTCACTTTGTGATCACATTTCTCGGACATTTTCATCAGATTCAGAAAGATCAGACAAAATGCCATAAGAACCGGTCTTTCAATTCGCACGGCACACTTTGACGAGTTCAATGAAAAAATATGAAACAAGAATGTTCGAACGAATTCTCAATTGATCTGGCTGATACTTGAGTCCCAACTTCCAACTGGATTCACGAAAATTGGTTTTTTGAATATTTTTGTTGGATATAAATAGACAGAAATCAGTATAGTACCTACTGGTTTTTGATACTTTGAAGTGTTAGTTCTTGATTTAAATCCTAGATAGATATTATTAGTCGTGACTGATTTTATAAATTTGTTTTGAAGTAGGTCCTGTTTTTTTATTTTATGTGACGTGGCGTTTTTCAAATGCTGAACATGACGAAAATTCAATGTTGCAACATTTAATGCCATAGAAGATTTCTAGATCGAATAATACGTAGTTGTGAAACCTTCACGTGGGTGAACATTAGAAAAATTGAAGAAAGAGCAAATAAATGCATCCTTATCACTTGCAGAAGTATATCAGGAACAGAATGAATCTCGCAATTCACACGTGATAGTAGGTATAACTAATTTGATAAATCACATGAAAATCCTGATGCCGTAATTTTACCAGTTGCTATACCTATCAGTTCGAATTATCAACAAACATTACATCATGTCATAGAATGAAAAACAGGGCCTACCATTTCATGATTACTTCATTCAAAATTCATTAAACAAAGTCACGAATAATGATATCTAGAATTTCGATCAAAAACTAACATTTCAATATATTGAAAAATCAGTACTTAATACTCTTTTCTGTCAATTTATATTCAAAAATTCAATTTTCGTAAATCCAGTGTTGGTGATAAATTTCAAGTGGAAGCTGATGTGTTCAAAACTGAAAATACAATGAGATCAATTCTAACTCAAACAAAGCCAAAAAATGAAGAACAATCGTCAAAAAATTGTATTCACAGTATACCTTGTGTTTCTGGAAAGTTTTATACAGGTGAAACCAAGAGACCTCTTTCAGTAAGGACGAAGGAACATAAGTACAATATAAAGAAAAGACACATGACACATCGATAAATCGAAACTAGCTGAACATATCCTTACTGAAGACGGACAATATATGGTAGAGTGGAATAATATTAAAATCATTGGAAAAGAAGATATCAACCAGAAGAGAAAAATCAAGGAATCTGCTTGCATTCTTCTGAACGGAGACAATAGCATTGCTTCTTGTTCAGTTGATATAGACAGAACATGGTATTCACTACTAAAATCTGAACATGAAATTGGTAAATTCAAGATTAATTAATGAAAACATCCTGTAACTCATTTGATTGCCAACGTCACCAATTGTGAATGAAAACTGAAAAGACAGTTACGACTTTGCTATGACTTTGCTATTAAAATAATCATTTCTTATGTTGAAAACGGGAGCAGAATTGGTCCCGTAACGTCCAAAGATCAGTGAAAATTTGATATTTTTTCTATATACCTTCATTTCTCTTCTCCAAACTTTTTTCAATACAAATTGTCACTGACCAGCTAGTGAATTTTTCTTTTAGGCTCTCTGATAGAAAAATTCTTTAAACGCAGTGACATTTTGGGGCAAATCATCTGATTTGTCCTTACTACACGTATATTGAAATAATCATATTTTTATTTTATAGAAACGGGGAGAGAAAATCCCAAAAAATTTGGAATAATGAATGTACTACCTCCTCGATTAACCTACAGACAGTATTCAATCAAACATATTGGTCTATATAGTGAACTATAAACCATTGCCCTATTATTCAACGATGATTAATATATTATCTGAAAAATGAGTGTGACAGAAAGGAATAAATGAGCTGTCGTTCTATCACATTTCGGCTTCCACTCACCACATATTATCCTTTGAAAGGATACTATAACTGTGCACTCACTGAGCATAATGCAATAGAAATGCCCCTCTATAATGAATAGTGGTAGGGAAGAATTTAACCGCTTCTATTATTATAGGTATTATTATAATTTTTCGTAATAAGAAGGCTGTAGGTGAATTTGTCGAATTTGTATTAGGCCTATTATTTGATATAACAAAATCTCTTGATATTACCTTCTTACAGTTTGAATACCATCTTTCAAGCTGACTGTCAGCAATATCTCTGGTGCACATTTCAAAAAATCACTTTTGCAATGACACAGGAATGATTTCAGTAAACTATAACGTTGAAGAGATTTCCACAATTTTTATAGGATGATACCTCCAGTGGCGGCGTGTAGCTAGTAGGGAAATATTATCTACTCAAAAAAGTTTAAATAAGTTAATTTTTTTCATTTCATTATATCGGTACCTACTTATTCAAATATGATATAAAATAAGTCGTATCAATTAATGAATGGTACCTCCATATGAAGAGAGTGTATTAATAAAGGTACTCATTCACATTGTAAAAAAAAACAGTATAGAAAAGCAACGAAAAGTATGTAAAAGTGATATCATAGACAGAACCTATATATATGTCATCACCAAGATGGTATAACTTCGAAAGTTAGATTCGGTATACTTTCAATGTAGGAAAAGGAGAGGTAGGTTGTAGGTGTATCTTTACTTGAAATAATAACTATTTCTGAATTTCTAAAGAAAATAACACTATATTTTTACTGTTATCCCAAAATATATAACTCCCACCTAATTTCCTGGCATTAATTTATTTTTGATAAGCGAGCCGTGTACAGATGATAATAATAATATGTTTATTCAAATTTCTTTTTTTATATATTTAATGATAGTAGTTACGAAACAATTGGTACCTACCTTAAAGATACATACCGGGTGACACAGACTCCTTTGTTTTCTAGTTTTATTCCTTAAATTTTGAACATCGAATATGCTCACTAGAGGGCACTATCTCGCATTTTTGAAAATTGTCATCTTCCGGTTTTCCTGGAAATAACATATACTTTCGAGTTTCAAATGGAACACCCTTTATTTTATTCCATAATCGGTTAGGGATTTGTTATAACGAATCCAACGATACCGGGTTTGATTGGGTTATTTCAAACGATCACGAAGATATAAGAAATAACCCGGTATCGTTGAATTCGTTATATTAATCCCTAACCGATTATGGAATGAAATACAGTGTTTTCCATTTGAAAATCGAAAGTTGATGTCATTCACAGGAAAACTGGAAGATGAAAAAAATCCTAAAATGTGGTATAATATGATTCTGTGTCACCCGGTATATCACGATATAAGATATGAGAAAACTTGTCAAACGATGCCGAGTATAGTACAATATTTTACCAACTAAGTATATAAATTATAGCAAGAATTATATCCTATATCAGGTTAAAAAATCTATAGGTATTTCTATAGAGAATTTTTCACACTATTCAAATTGAAAAAAAAAACTAAATGGTAACTTTACCGTATTAGTGCTAGGTTTTAAAGTTTTTTAGTTTTGTTTTCTTATTGCAGCATAATAGCCTAATTAATTTTGAGAAACGTATATTTAGGGCCATTGAAACCATTATTCTTCATTCGTTTCAAAAATGCTCAACATGATGAACAATACCTACTCGATGGGTATCCGCCAAACATTTTTCCTCTATTTTTCAAATTGGTAGCATCAAATAGTTGTGTAAGCGCCACTGCATGGAAATTTTCGCGGAATAATATTGTGGTTAAGATAGTCTTGTTTTTCTATTGCTATTTTTCGGCTAGATACCTATCAACTAGGATACGTATATTTACGATTTCCGGTAAAAACAAGCTAGGTACAATCACAGTTTGATAAAATAATAATAATAAATGCTTTTATTGTGTCAAAGGAACAAAAGTCAGAGTTTAACTCGCCGATAAATCGACAGTTGCTCTTCCACTCAACCCAAAAGCGACCAAAATGAACCAAAAATTTCATTGACTTTTCCGCATTCAACTCTTCTGGAATGATTAGTCGTGAGTTCAATACATTCCAGATGTCAGAACATTGTTTCTTTTGTACCTATTTGTAATAAATTTTCATTATATCTCTTCTCCACTCGTGAATTCTATTTCCGCAAAAAATATACTGACATACAAAATAACCGAATGTGGATCATTGAGCGTTATATTGTGACAGATTGAAATATCTTCGATTTTCCCAGAAAGAATGGAAACTTTGTGATGAACCATCGAAAAGGGAATAATAAGTTCTATTCAAAACATACCTATTAAATCCAATATGGCGTCCATTGGAAAAAATAAAGTTGATGATGGTGGCCGGGAGACGAAACGTCAGTTAGCAAATCACCATCATGTAGTAGAGAAAAAATGGCAATGCAAAGTGCAGTTCATTTTGAAATCCTACAATTAACCCTTAACTACTAATCATACGTCTCAGAGGCGGCATATCAGCATCCGATTTGTTGGATTACCACTGCTTTTCAATATCGGCCATTGTCCTACTACGTAATTTATGTTCAACTAGCACTCATTCAGTACCCTGAAGTTGATCTATGTATATGGTTCAGTTTTAGAAATATCTTGAGTGAAAGACAGATTCCCGTCTCGTAGACGTATAGGTAGTTAGTTATTACCTAACAATAAAAGTTCAATTTCGCCTATAATACGTATGATTGCGTCTATATCTAGATATACAGGCATTGTCATTTTTTTCAATTTGCATGTTTATGACTTAGTTATGTGTCATATTTTATTACGACTCTAAACTGTATTCAGAATGACAATAAAATATCATCGATAATTTTAGTATTTCAATTTTATTTTAGTATTTCTATAGATCAATGTCGAAATTTTGAACATAAGGTACTCCTCTATTAAATTTTGATCGCCACTGAAACTTGTATTTCTATTTCAATTTTGAACATCATTTTCTCTTCGAAAAATATGTAGAGAACGTGTTTGAATAGCTCACAAAAATAAAATAAAAAATTTTGGATTTATATGGACATTCAAATAGTCCCGTCTGTGAGACGTATAGTTAGTGACAACGTTATATATTTGGGACGTTAGTAGTTAAGGGTTAATAAAGCCAGAAAAAATTCAAATCAATTTTCCAAAATGTCAGTTTTTTTCCGGATATCTACGTACACACTTGGAATTTCTAAACCAAAGAAGATTAACGCGTTCGTGTATAGCGTTAATCTTCTTTGTCTAAACTTTCTAAACGAAACGTACAAAAATAAGTGAAAATTCGATATTTTTTCAATATACCTTCTTCAAACATTTTTCGAAACAAATTGTCACTGACAAACGAAGAAAATAATCCAGCAAAATGGCATATTATTGTTACTTAGGTAAATGCGTAACTTTGCCCTATTTAACCATCTTCGTATCTCTTATAGTTTCCCATGATCCCAAAATGGTGAGGATGGAATTTGAAACACCCGGTAGAAATACTAATAATGGTGTACATATAGGACATTGAAATTGAATTACCTGACATTTTATACACTGAGTCTGCTAAACAAAGTCAACTCCCTGAAATACAAAATGTAACCAAAATCCAGGCCTGGACTAGGAAAGGGAAATGGAATTTTCTATCTGTTTATTATTCCTGAAAATCCATATGTATTAATGAACAAAAAAGTGAATAACGCCTTTGGCACATTTAAAGTACCTTTATAATTAAATATTGCTTTCCGACACACTTGCCATTTAATTTATTCTACTTGAAATTGAAAAAAAAAGAAATTAAATATAATAAATTTTCAAAATGCATTTCATTATAGCCTTCCTGCATTTTTATGTCCGCCTGAATAAATTTTCAATTGAATTTCGAATCATTTGAGGATTTTGTCTAATTTTCAATACGGTTCAACAAATCTTCTCTATTTCCATTTTTGGTATGTGGTATGAAGAATCAGTGTGGTATTTACTGTGATGCAATTTTTAGAGGGCACCACATGAGCCACATTCATGGTATAAACTATGTTTCGTCTAACAAATATTGAAGACACATTATCTAAACAAAAAGGGTACTACAGTTATCAACCCCCGAAATCAAAAGTTCTTGAGATAATCGCATCTTAGGTTTCAGCTGCCATTACGAGAAATATAAGATAGTGGACATCTTTTACACTGTTTGTCCTACCATCGATTTTTGTTTTATTCAGTATAGCAATCCTATTCATTTCTCCTTCGTGTTTATCCGATAGCAACCTGCCATTTTGAGTTTTCAAATATGTGGTTTGACAACATGAACAAATGTGTTATGAATTCAATTCGCGATAGAAAATGAGCGTACGCCACCTGTCGGAGTTCTTGGAAGCTGTCAAAGCGGTCTGTTTACTTTGTTTTAATCGGTTCACACTTGTTTCTCGTTTGTGCTTATTGGTCAAAGCATCAGAGCAAACCGCTCAGAAGTGTTCCAGTTGTTGTCGTCAGATGAGGCGACGTATTATTTTCTATCATGAATTATACTGGGTTTGGGATATATGGGTGAAAAAATGAATTAGCCTTGAATTTTGATTATTTATATTTTTGAATTGAATACAGATCCTTTATTGGGAATCCTAAAATGACTATTCACTATTTCATCAGATACTTCAGATAATGATGGTGGTTTCCATTTCGGTTGTTGGTCTTTATCAATCAAAAGGGCCCTCACACCTGCAAAATATGTATAATATGTATTTTAAATTTTGTTCTAGATGTTGAGTTGAATGTTTACTTTGCAAATTAAAAATTGATGTTTCTTGAATCTTACAATATGTCTGCATTATTGAACATTTTCCTGAATAAATATCTATAATTAGTCACGTTTACTCCGTTAAAAACGAGAAAATACCGAGGAAAATACATAGAATATTGAATTGGTCTTCCATTGACCAACAAGAGATAAAAGAGATAAGTATTCATAACCACTGCGGATTTCCTGAATAGTCTTTTTGCATCACTCGTCGTTCACGCGGGAAAATCTTTCCAAATGTCATGTATGATAGTGGAACAAGGCAATAACTAGGGGTAGGTATCTGAGAAGTTCCGGATACACCTCTGGAATTCGTATCTATTCAATACTGTATTTAGTGGATCCATACTTTAGTACTAGATTATTATAAAATGAAAAAATATTCAAACAAATTTCTTATCACACATGATGTGATTCAGTGATGCATATATATGCATTTCACATGAATGTCATATGATATCAATGGATGGGTTGCCTGCAAAATCTGTCAGATGACTGACCCTGGAGGTAAAACATTGGAACACAACCTCACTTTTCTTATTTGTTAACAAGAATTGAAAAAGTTTTCAGTTTTTCAGGATTATTTTGGCATACAAATCATGTTTGTCGGCTATTCATTAATTCAAGCATGCCACCACGTTGTGCTGTTGTACAATACAAAAAAATGCAATTGTGTAATTTTTCATTGTGATTCCTTCTGAGATAGGAGCTAATAGAAATACATACTTGTGAAGTTTCTAAAAGGAGACTGGAATCATGCAACCATAAGGGAGAGGACTGGTAGAGATTTTACTAAATATACTGTATGCTAGCACATACCATGCCCACCGGTATATCTCATCTTCAAAGTACTTTACTTAGGCAAAACTCAGAGACTATTTATCCTCAACAAACTAATAACCTATCCCTGATTGCAATAATTTTGAGGGAGGAAAACCGAATGGAGTGTAGAAACACATTGATTAATAATATATTTCAAAAGTTGAGTTCTTCAACAAAATTGAATAAAATGAGACTGTTTATCCTAAACGCACTAACCTATTTGACTTCAAATATTTTATGAAAAAGGAAAACCAGAATGAAGATATCCATGGGATATCCATCCTGTAAACCTGTAAGCTTTTTAATAAGAGATTCCATCAGTCTGTGCTAGTGTCTAGTGTAATAGGTCTCCTATGTTTGATTCCAAACAATTATTTTTGAAGAAAAAAATTGCAGGTTTTATATCAAGTTTAGGCACTTTCATGGCTACCATGGAGGCTTATATTATATAAAATATGCACACATGCCATGAACAGTTACTACATTTTACAAACCCATATGAAACAATACCTACTTATTAGTACTTGTAATATTGTGGTTATTCTTATTGATGCCCCTGAACCAGAAATCTCAAAAGGATGTGAGTAGCAATAATATACAGAGAAAAAATTACCTTCAGAAAAATCACTGTGATTCAGAAAATTCACTGACATTGCATATTCAAGCTCAAGACATTCCTTCAGATTCATTGTTTTTCCCAGTTCAAGTTGCTTGAGGGTGACTTTCAAGCTAGTTGGTGACATTTTATTCAAGAGTTTGATAGTTTCTTCAGCCCACTTTGAACTATCCATTTCCAATTTAATAATGATTTCTTCTATGGTTGCAGCAGAAAAATAATCATCAATTTTAGGAAGAACAGATTTTAAGGAAAATTCAGGAACATCTTTCATCTCAAAACATCTCAATGCTTGTTCTATATCTCTTGCACTGGAACATTTCATTAAACTCTCTTCTAATTCATTGATGTCCTTACTGTTACAAAAATGAGTAGCTATACCAGCTTTGAGAACATCTGATCCTTTCAGCCTGTGACCAGTTAAAGCTAAATACCATCCAAGCTTGCCTTCCAAACGAGGAAGAAAATATGAGCCTCCTACATCAGGGAAGAAACCTATTTGTGTTTCAGGCATTGCAAATACAGTTCTTTCTGTAGCAATCCTATATTGTCCATGTAGAGATAGCCCTACACCACCACCCATTACAATACCATCAATGAGAGAAATGTATGGAATTTTGTATGATCCTATCAAGCCATTTGTAGCATATTCTGTTTTGAAAAATTCTTGCCCTAATTTATCTCCTTTCAAGTTTGCTTCTATCACAGCTCTCACATCTCCTCCTGCACAAAATGATTTTTCACCAGTGCCTTTTAATAATACTATCTTTTTTTTTGTTTCCCAATCTCTCAATACTGGATATATTTTTTTTACCATTGACAAATTGAGAGCATTTAAAGCTTTAGGTCTGTTCAATATGATTCTTCCATTCTCTCCTACATCTTCTATTATCACATCATCAATTACATTGTTTAGCTGGGAAGACATTTTTCTTGAAGTAACTAATATAGTTTTGAAATACTGCCTCACAGATAACACTGATGTGTTGGTCAACTGAAATATACCAAGATAATGAATGAAGCTGTGCACTATGAACACTTGAGAATTTCATACCATGATCAGTTCAAGTCAAATGTTTCCAGTTTTCAGAATTTTCAGAATTCTGATGAATAAATTATAACAAGGTGGATATAATAATCACAAGCTATTTAGAAACAGTTTCTAAAAATCGAGAATGAGTGACCTTCCTATAATTTCATTACAGGTTATCATTATTGAGATTAATCTTCTTGTTATCAGTTTTCCTTGTGTTTTTTAGCTACATTTTTGATCATCCATATCAATATCAAATTCCAAAAGTCAAAGAAAATGGAGAAAATTCAGACAACCATGACTTTCGAGAAGCACCTAGAGACAGGAAACAACAAATAATCATCGCGGTGGGGGAACGTTACAGCCCGCGTACAACGACAAAAATAATAGTTTTCCAAAGTTTTCTACTAGCGTGCGAATTAGTAGATATATGGAAAAAACCCACGGACATTATAGGAATATCCTCCAATGCGCCACAAGAGATATACAGAAATAATTAATAATAATATTGATATTAACAAATTTACTTTTCCGCAATAGTGCGGAAAAGTGACTCTGTCAACACTTAAATGAGTGCAGAAAGGTGGACCTTTCCGAACGTTACTAGTTAGTTACTAGATAACTACTATTCTTCATATTATTATATTCGAGTAGGTGCGTGGCGTAGTTGATTATTGTCTATTCGCTAGATATTTAGCCGTCATTGCCCGGTTCAATGCCTGTGACAGTAGGCCTTATTATTTCTATCTACCCTTGCAGAACCACTGTGCAGAACAAAAGTTGCAGAACTAATACAAAACTAGTACCTAGTAGGTACCTAGTAGTACTCGTCAAAAACTTCCCGGGTACTCATGTGAAGACATCATCAGCTGATGAATAAATTATTAATAAAAGGGTGTCCGGTGCTTACACCCGAGTTTTGGGGGGATGGATATTATGTTTTATAGGATATCGAAGAATATTTTGTACCATATTTAATTCTGACAATACATTGCGAAAACACCCTTTAAATTATGTATTCAGCTGGGGGCGGCTTTTCCTATATATTTTTTATTGCATGATGCCGAAGAGTATTTTGTACTATATATTTGATTCACAATACAACACCCTTTTAAATTTATCAAGCTGGGGGCGGATTTTCCTATATCTTTTTTTGCAGAGGTTGCAGCGAGTTCTGAGGATTTTATGGCATGTCAAGGAACATTCGTACCATACTTGATTTTGCCAGTCCGGTGCTTACACTCTTCAAATAATTCGTTAATTTTTTGATGATGTAGATATCATCGGAGCGCCACTGATCCTTCGGCCAACTTCGGAAATTCGGGCTAATATTTTCATAGTGTGTCTTCACTCCGATGGACTTCCAGCTTTTCATTCCCACTTTTATTCCTCATCAGTATTGTCATCATTCATTTGTCATATGACACATATGTCAGTCGTCACTCAGTGGACTACTTTTGACCTTTTGACAGTTTTGACTAATTCAACTTCAACATCATCATCACCACTATCACCAGTCACCACACACACACATGAGAATTTTCCAAGTTTTTCCAGGTTTCTCGAAGAAACGGCTGTAAATGAATTAATTTAATATGCAGTCACCTACTGGTTCAATTCCTCATCAAATACCCAGATGGGGTCCAGATAAACAGTTTAGTGATAGAGAAAGGTATAAAGATTGTTCAATTTAATTATGTTGTAAAAATCTACATATTCAAAACATATGTTTTTCCTTGCAGGTGGATTTGCATCTACCCAGCATATATCAACAGTAAAAAATCTTTAGCTGAGGGTAGGAAAATATGCAAAACAAAGTGTGTTGAAAACCCTACTCATCAAGAAATTAGGGATGTATTAGTAGCTGCAGGATTGAAAGTTGGTGTTGAAAACAAGTTATACAGTAGAGAAAGGAGTAAAGAATTGCTCTATCGAGGAAGAATCAGGGTGCAGTTGAAAAATGATGATGGCAGTTTGTTCAACTCTGATTTTTCTACTAGAGATAGCATAATGTATCATCTAGGTGATATGATACCTAAGTTGAAGTCAAGACAAAATAAAAGTACTGGAGAGTCTTCTCAAAACACAGCTACTGTAAAAAACAAAGGCAAAGGTAAAGGAAAAAAATGATGAAAAATATCTCAATAAAGGGATTATAAAGAAAAACTTCTCAACTTTACCATGTTTTTCCTTCCTAATATGTATAAAAAAAACCTAAATGAAGTAGCAAATTATTGACATGGGTTAATTGGAAATTTTAGAAAATATGTCAAATTTCTCACTTCATGGATATAGGTATAGTATCAATTTCAAATATTAGGAAATGTTATGAGCTTGTGAAACCTCCACATATAATATATGATTCCAACACAATTCTCAATAACATGACATTTTTCTATGCAATAGAATGCACCTGTATAAGTTATCACCTACTGGTTATTATGCTATTAAAACATCCTGTCATGAGAATTTTGTGCATTTCTTATATTGTACATAAAGTTTTGGCAATTACTTTGGATTCCCATCAAGTAAAGTAACTGTCAATTAGGGCAATATCAGAATTCTAAAAATTTTGCTGGATAGCCCTGAGGCCCAGGCATGGTTTTTTAAAGATTTGCAGAAACATTTGTGTGTCCTATGTAAACAAATACAAAACTCAAGTTATGGTTGGAATTTTTTACTAACCTCACATGAAACTAGAGGCATGTGCCTTTGTATTGCAGAACTTGCTAAAGTTGTTTTTTCCCATAGTTGTCTTTGTTCATGGTATGATGTAAACAGAGAAGTTGTAAAAAGTTCAGCAGGTAGAACAGCACAAACAAACAGGGCTTAGGAACAATGTTATGCAAGTAGCACAGTCAAAACATTTAAGCTCTGATTCATCATCATTCATAAAATTATATTAGCATTACTATAGATAACTCCCCACCATTGAAACTCCAAGAAATAGTATTTACACTAGGCAACTAGGAAAGACTGGCAAGTAGCTATCCAGGTCATAATAAATATATTATGATAAAATAACATGGGCTATCAACTTATTCGAACCATATTCAAGACATGTACCCAGTCCTCTCACAACAGGGTCAAGTAGAAATTAACCAATACCACAGATTAACAATAAGGTTTGGTAATCTGTGCCAATACTGTGTAAACTCCACAAGACCATCTTAGATTCTTAGATATCCGACATGTACTGACAAGCTCAAAATGTGTGTCATGTGAGTGTCATCTTCATTCAAGATATGGGCGTCAACTCCTACAGTGTCCCAGATTTTTTCATACAGCCAATCTCAGTTATGCTGCTTGGAAAAAATATTTAAAAAATTACACTTTTGTCAAACCCAAATGACTGAAGCCATTGTGCCACCCCAACTTCCATTGGTACTTAGGCAAGGTATGTATTCAAGTCTCATGCAGACCACTGGTTTCAAACAGGAATTGTCATTCTGTCAAGTTTATTTACATTGGGAACAGCATATACCCACTGAACTAAGGACTATAAAAGATCATAGTAAATTGAGAAAACTGGTGAAAGATGCCCTTTTGAAAAGAGCCTACTATAATATTGAGGAGATTTACAATGAAACTGTGGTATGACAACATACTACTTCAAATAGTATATAAATATATATAATGGTCTCTCTCCCTCTCTGTACTCAATTTCGCGATCTGATAACGAGAGAATACCAATGGGCGTGTACACCTTGGTAGAACTTTTAACTCAAACCATGTTTATAATGATCCTTTCATACATAAATAATGATTGACGGCATAATTCGATCGAAAAATTTTCTGAAATTTTCAATTTTTGGACATAAATAATAGTACCATCTGAAAACGGACCCTCTTATGACGTAGAAACCTCATCTCGCCATAGTTAAAAGAAAATACCAAACGCCGGACGGAGACTGAGGCAACTGATATATTAATTCTTTCAACTGTGATTTCACGCTAATTCACTCTGCCATGCAGAAATCATGTATCATTCATCTCTGTCTGGAATAGTCCTGTTTCATTATTAGGGTTTTGACGTCACATCATCGCCTCGTTTTCAGAGGTCCGAAAAATCGGGGATTTCAATAATTTTTTATAAAACGTAGAGAGCTCACAGCGATAAACGGTTTGCTGTGGTGAGCTAGTTTCGGTGAGTTCTATCGAATTATGGAATAAAAATTTTTTGTGATATAAGCCCATTGAATGGTAGATCTCAAAAACGTACCTGTGCCACCCATCAATCTAAGCCAATTCCACGGCACAGCGATTTACTTGCTGCCCCACGTTGGGCGCCACTATTTACTAAAATTTGAAAATGTATCCTCTTTTTTTTATATTCCACAAGCACGCGGTGCTGTTCATTGTAGAGCATTTTGGGAGATGGATCTATAAGGAATTCAAAAGACAAAGAATGATATTTTTTACGTTAAAAGTTCCCAGAGCGCCACTTCGTTTATTATTATTTTTTAAGAATTCGAATTTGAAATCGGCTTTAGAAAATCGTGCTGCAAACTATAAAATCAGTCGAGAAATTAGTGGCAGAGCGTCAATATGTCCGAGAATATTTCGCCCCTCTAAAGATGATAACCGATGGACCAGTGTTAAACTCAACACGTGGATTAGAATACTTGTAGTGCCAGCGCTACATGAGTTTTAGACTGGTCCATCGGATAATATCTTTCGACAGAGGCGAAATATTTTCGGAAATATTGACCGTTTGGATATTCGCAAAGGAAGTATGTCCGGAATAATGGCAGCAAATGAATCGCTGTACCGTGGATTCGGCTCAGAATGAGGGTGGCACATATAGGTTTTTGAGATCTACCATTCAATTGATATCAGATGTCATAATTCTGATCTCGTTATCAAATCGCGAAATTGAGAGCAAATTACCGCACAGGAAAGTGCAGTTTTTCAATCATTTCGCTCCGGATAGTGATTGGCGCAGGTTTTTACATGCCTACGCCCTACGCAACATATACTATAATATTCCTTTATCAGATGAATCGAAATTTGCAGCCGGCTCTCTTACTATTAATTGGACTGACTAAAAGACGCGTGCACGAACAAGTGTAAAAAAAAATTTACTAAAAGACGCGTGTACGAACTGTCAAAAAAAACAACAAAAGGAATTATCTACACCTGATACTGTTTCCTTCGAATTTTCTAATTTTAGTGGTATTACGTTTTTTCAAAATATCAAGTGTGATACATCGTTTGAGTTAGAATTGATTTCTCTATCAGTTCTCAGTTCCTGATAATTAGTATGTTTGTAATCTATTGTTCTGACTTTTCAGAAACTTAACGATCCTGAATAGTTTGTATTATCGAATTATAATTGTTGTGCCACTTTCGTTGATATAAGATGAGAAATACAAAGATCCAGAATCCCCTATTGAACAGTTTACAGGGAAAGATTCATATTATTATATATTATCATATTAATACATAAATCAGGAAATCTATGTCAAATCACCTAGAATCCAAAATAATACACACGCTGGTTACCAAAATCATTTATTGTTTTATAGTCAAATACCTACATAGAAAAATAGTTGTTTATGAATAATATGAACTAAGTATGTACATATAAAAGGTAACTAATCAATTATACTGAAATCAAACCTTAGTTTACAGGATTTGATGGTTGTAAGATTATTGTTTTTGTAGTATTTAAGGGCACATACAACACCAGCAGTAGTTGATTTTAGGTTGGTGACATAATTACGTCGTATTTACAGTACCTGGCAGCCACTCTACATCACAATGTTTTTCCCAAGTTCTGATGAACACCGATGATAAAATGAATCATGTTGAATTCAAGGAGAGCAGTGTTTGAAAGACCTGTTATCCACGAATACTTCTAAGTACGCTATTTTTTTATTGGTACATTTTGAGATCATAAATATGGAACTAACAACTAATAATTTGAAATGGTTGAATATTCGTTAGTAATATTTTATTTGACCTTACATGGTACTCCTGTCAGATCAGTAACTGAAATGTTGACATATTTAGACTTCACATTTCTCGGGTTGATGATGCCGTATGTTGCCGTGGCAACTTTATTAAAAAATGCGCGTTTTTGAAAGATGGATTTAAACACGCTGAGGCGTTCTTTAAACAAGCATAGTTAGTAGGGTACCAATAAAATAAATGGAAAGAAATGTGTACCATCCTTTTGTAGTAAAATAAATTCTACGATTTCAAATTTAACCCTCATCCTTTTGTCAGTTGCTAAACAAATATCATTACCAAATTAATAATCATGAAATACAATGGTATTGAAGAGGAATATCCTCAGATATAATTATGAACATAAAAAAATTGATATATATACCGGGTGACACAGGAGACATGTAACAGCCTGTAGTTTTTTTATTTTTGAGGTACAAATTTGAAATTCACAAGGGTTATATTATCGATGGCACTTCCCTCGAACCCAATGACAATTTTCTTCAACAACTTTTTTATTCAAATGGCATTCTGTATATTTCTGTAGCCGTTCTTATTCGCCTTGAAATTCTCTATTCAACTATGTATCACAATTTGATATTCGTTCATTAATTGGCTGTTAAACTGCATTTTATTGAAATACATCAAGTTGGCTGTGGTCCAAATACAATGACATTTCGATGCTTGATAAGCTTCGAAATCCAAAGATCATTCCAATAATTTCATAGAGTTTAAAAAAATCATCCGAAAATAACTTACGATATTGAGAAAACGAAGATAGAAACTCAGTTTTTTTTCATTTGGCTACTCGTAAAGAAACTATTTGTTCTTCATTTTTGCCAAGTAACCATAATACGATCATCCATTTGGATACATCAATTTTCACTATCATTTCACTTATCAAATTGTGATAGCTACATAGTTGAATAGGGAATTTTAAGGCGAATAAGAAGAGCTACAGAAATATTAAGGATGCCATTTGAGAAAAAAAGTTGGGTCTACTTCCGATCAAACAGGTGGTTGAAGAAAATTGTCATCGTGTTCAAGGCAAGCGTCATTATCGGTAATATAACCCTTGTGAATTTCAAATTTGTACCTCTTTGAATAAAACAACTACAGGCTGATACATGTCTCCTGTGTCACCCGGTATATAAAGAAAAACATTGGGAATTCGCATTCTCTATGTGATGAAAATATCAATTTTTTCTCGATTCAATAGATATAATTCAATGTTCGTCGTGGCATATAGCCAGGTTAGTAGATGTTTTCTGTTGAATAAACCGAGAAAGAATTGATATTTTCATCACATAGAGAATGGGAATTATCAATGTATTTCTTTAAATACAAGGTGTTTTTGCACATATTCAGCACATTAATATGATACAGTCTAAGAAATGATATCAGATTTCTTATAATTCTTCTAATTAATGAGAAATTTCATCCTAAAAATTGAACAAAATACGAGAAAAATATCAAGTACGCCACTTTAAAACGATTTAAATGATTGAACTCCGC